GGCAAGTTCGGATGTCCTTTTGTCTCTCTTACTTAGGTGTCATACGAAAGAGTAATAAACCCATTCAGAGCTTCAGGCCCTAAAGCTAATATTTTAAATTTAACGGAGGACAAAGTTTTGTTTGCTTTGCCTGAGCACATAATTCTGCTTATAAATCTCCCTCGAAATAAACAGTTTCTCCGCTTCTTGATTAGGACTACAGCTCCATTTTATTAGGGGAGCGTTTGTCGGCGTGATTGCTATACTATATGCTATATATCCTGTGCAGCAATAGCTATGGCTATGCCTGAGGCATCTGGCACACGTCTGTGTTTCCTGAAAAGGGGAGTCTGTTACCCAGCAATTTATGCCCGCACGTATAAATAGAATTGATTTTGCTTAAGCATCGCGTATATTTTACCTGCGCTGGTGATTTAATGTCTGGCGACATAATCTGCCATTTGGCACTCGCTTTCCTGCCATCACGTACACTCACTCACTCGCTGGCAGGCTGGCTGGCAAGCTGGCTGGCTGGCATCCTTATCGCCGTGTCTTTAAGCCGCGTGCAAATCCGAATCCATTTCCCGGGGATTCCATTATGGTTTGGGCTTGGGTAAACAAACGAAAAAGCACACACGCACACTCAATACACAACACACAACACACAACAGGGGTATGCAATATCCACTCTCGAAATACTTCTTGGCAGCAGCAGAAAACAATTACGCAGGAAAAACACGGGAATACATTTTGGATTTTTCCCAACAGCAGCTCAGCAGAATGTTTCGTTTTGTAGATGAATCTGATTAAATCGAAACTAATACCGAGGGGCCTTCAAACTAAATATTGGATTATTCCAAAGCAGAAATTCTTGGTGAAATTTTAAGCAAATTGCTTGCCGTTCAAAGAGTTTTCTACTGCAACGTAACAAAGTGAGAAAATATGTTAGTAAAGTGGTGATCGGAATATGAAAACTGTTGCAATTTTCCATGTTGATTTTCAGCTTCCTTGTCTACCATCAGAAGGAATGGCTCTATAAAAAAGAACATTCTTAGCATCTGTAGGTGTTTTCATTTAATATTCCCGGCATAAAAATCTAATGGATTCGAAAGCAGAGAGATAAACAAATAAATAAATAAATACTTCCGAACCGAACAGAGCTGAACTGACAAGGACCTCCGGTTGTGTCCACAAATAGAAGCTAATGAAGGAAGCATTTTGCCTCCGCAAAGAAAACAAGACTTGCTTTCCCCAGAAATGCGACTGCTTTTGCAATTTTTATTTTCATAAATTCTCAAAGAATGTTTGCCAGCTCATAAAAACGCAGCGCACACGGCACCTCACCCCCGCCTTGACTGGTTTTCCACTCCACTTGGAGGAAAAGCCGAGAAAGCCGTGGCCCAAGTGGCTCATAATCTGAGCAATTTGCTAGCGTTTTATGTGATTTTTGTAGCTAGTATTAGTGGCTGTAAAGAGCACACACACACACACTCACACACACCCCAGATGAGCTCGGGAGTGGAAGAGTGGGTCTTCTGCATCATTTGTATGCAAATTGGAAGCATCTTTTCTTCGGAATCGCACTTCGACTGGCTGATGCATGTGCAGGCGCTGTTTTCGAATGAAATTGAAATTATAATCAATCCTCTTTTTGTCTAGTCTGTATTTATCAACTTCTGATCAAAATCATTTACATTCCATATATTGTTTTGCCCCGATGAGATGCCTTTTCCTCTCTCTCCTTCCCGTTGATTGGCAACCAGCCAGGCAGCCAGGCAGCCAGAAAAAATTATCCAATTTAAAAGTCAAATGTCATTTTTTCGTATTCCTTGCACGCCGCTCTTTGTTTGTTGCTTTGTGCTTGGCTGTTTTCCTTCTTTATTTTTCACGCCATCGCCGACACATAATGTGAATTACCTAACAAAGGTGGCCCTGCTGATGAGTTGACGGCGAGGACGAAAAGGAACCGAAGGTGACGGCCCGCCATTTCCATCTCAGCCTCTGGGGATACCCTTTCTTGAAGGTCTCTGATCTGTGAGCAAGATGTTGCCTTCTTTTGGTGAAATAAAAAATACAGAAGGCTATCTGTGCCACCTTGAGATCATGTTGGAATGACTGGGAATACCTTTAGAGTAATACCTTCAGAGTAATACCAGTAGCTTGTAGAATATTCCCTCTTCGGCTACCTAAACCAAACGCTACTCGAATCTTCTTTTTGACGGGTTTTTGCTTCCGCTTCCGTTTCTTTCGCTATTTTGGCAAAAGACATTTAATTCTTTCTTTGGCAACGACAGAAAAATTACCCGAATTTCATTTAACGCTCCAACTTTGTCACCGGCAGCAGCCAGGACTTCATACAGTCGCAAACACAAACATCCTGCTGCCTTTCCCCATGCAAAGCAAATGCGTTGAGTTTGTTAATGTGTTTGCATAAATTTCCAGGAGCGGCAAGCAGGCAAAAACTGAGACTAGAATGTGTTTTGGGCCCGAGTGAATGGTTATGGGAAGGCTGGCTTAGTTTTGGTTAAGACAGAGAGCGAAATCAGGCAAAGAGCGAGGTTCATAATATTAAAAATTCTATCAAAGAAGCATTATAAAGCCTGTGGGTTACACTTTCAGGTATCTTCATGTATCCCCTTTCCACTTGTATGTAATTTGTTCTTCATGTGGACTAGAAATCCCTGTCTCCCCCACCGGACAATCCAATTTCTTTAAAGTTGGCTGGGCAAAGGGCTGGCCGTGGGCATTAATCAGACTAAGCACCCTCCTGCTCCCAGTCGCAGATGCAATTGCTCTCCGACTGAAATTGGATTGTTAGTTTTGAAACATTCCGGTCCACGTGTGGCGGGGTCAGGGGTCGGGTTACCTGCATCAGCAGCCACTCACCTGTGACGAAGGGTGGCTCCTGGAAAAAGAGAAAGTTGAGCTGTCAACGGGTTCCATCTGCCCATCTGCCCATCTGCCGACCTGCCCGCATGCTGAGCTGTGCTGAGCTCGGTTGGTGTTGGGTGTCATGGGTTAAGTGCATGAGAGTGTCACCGTTAACCCCCTGCTGCCTGCTCGTTTGTCGTAATGCATTAGCCGTGTCGTCGCTGGAGTCACGGAGCAACCAAAGCCCGGAACCGGAATCAAAGTTTGGCCTTCTTTTCTCCGGAGACTTCATTTCCAATAGTCCGACAGCAAAGCCCCCGGCAGAAAGAGCCCGATTTAGTTGTCCTTTTTTTCGGTCGGGGACCCGTTTGACTTGCCGTGGCCTTTATGAATAATAGATCCTAGCACCCTCACGCCCCGAGAATGTCAATTGTTTATTTATTGTCCGATTGGGTGGCTCCCTCTCCCCCTCAATCCCCCACTTTCCAACCGCGACACTTGCATGTACAATATTCATGGACTTTTGTATTGCGATTGTGAGAAATTCGCAAACTTTGTTTATGTGGGGCTTAGGTTGGTGTAAATAAGTTGGCAGAAGTACAAAGAAATGTAAATGTAAAATAAAGAATGAAAATACCAAGAAAAGTGTCGCATTTCTTCTGCTTGAAGATATCTCAGAGAAATCTTTAAGTTATCCCAGAATTTAAACAGATTAGACTTGGCTTTGACTAAATCCAAAGCTAACATTTACCTTCATTAGAGTTTTAGAAACATTGTCATAGAATAAATCCTAGCTTCAGCTTAAAAGTCTGCCATAAACTGCAACTTAATCTGCACTAATCACACATAGTGCCGCATGAGTTGCCAAGCCAGTTGCCCAAGTGAGACTCTCACCTCCATGTGGCCGGAGTGTCAATTACTCTGGCTGCCAGCCACCTCCTCACCCTCAATCTCCACTGCTGCCTCTAATCCATTGTTGCCACTGTGCTTGTTGTTTGTCTGTTGATGTTTGGTCTCGCCTTGGAGATATTTTTATGGCTCATAAAATTCGAAATTAGAACTGGAGCTGCCTGTGTCTGGGAGAGTGTACGAGTACATATAGCAGTATAAAATGTTTATGCCTCGCCTCTTCGCCTTTGAGCATTCAGAAATCTGGACCTGCCAAGTGGATTTTCCTTTCAGAATTAGTATTACATTTAAATGGCATATAATTTGTTAGCGCCATAATATTTATGCGCGCTGTGGCCGTACACTTTTATTTATGTTCACTTGGCTGCCTCGGCTGGCCCCTCCAGTTGCCTTCTTGTGTACACTCCTGAATCCCCCAGCTGACAATCAAAGCGCACTTCTTAGGAATCGCGTTTAATTTGCGTGCTGGAGGCACTTGCTTGCCACAATGCAGCCTGTGCCACGCGGCGTATGCGCAATTTTCGCGCTCTCTCACTCAACGACTCTGGGGGAAACAATTATTTATTTGTGTTGTTTTTCCGCTGCGTAGATGCGGAAATTTTTAATTGCCGACTTAAAGCGAATCCGAGAGCATGACTCTTTGTTGGCCCATTTGCTTTTTCTGGCCAAGATCCCAGATTAAGCTGGCTCGCCTTTCTCTGAATTCCCTGAATTTAACGAAAAATGCGCGCGACCTTCATTTTTTGTTCAAGGCAAAAGTACATAACACAAAAATCACATAATTCAAAGAAAACATTTTGCTTACTCTCTGAAAAAGTGAACGCAGCAAAGAACATAAAGAAATTGGAATTGAAAGGGGGAAAGTAATGCAAAGCCAGGGAAAATAGTGGGGGAAATCGTATCCCAGGCGAATATCTGAGATTTTTAATAAGGTTGCAAAGTAATCCCTGGCAGGAAATCACTGGATATCAAACGGTCTAGCTTATCGAGAAGCAATGGAAAACTATTTGAGTGAATTTTTATTATTAACTTTTATTATGTTTAAATTTTTACATCCCTGCTATCTAATTATTGTTTTAAATGTTTGATTTTCTTTACTTAATATCAAGTTCAGTCTTCTTTTTCTTTGTGCACCTTTCAAACTCATCTCACCGTGTCCATCATCAGAGTTCGTCATGCAGCCTTCACCTAACTCCTGACTCCTGGCGGCTAATCATTGAATTTTCTCTTTCCCATTTCAGCTTATCGCAGAAAATTAAAGCCCAAGCAGACCGAGTGCGGGGAACGGGGGCAATGGGAGATGGGCGCCATAGCTGCAGCAGCAACAACAACGGCGCCCTTGTCCATCCGCCCAGAACAGCGGCCGGGCACGGTGCGGATGCGTGATGTTCTCGCCTCGGCCTTTGACAACTGAAAATGCCAAAAGGTAGCAAAGCAGCAACAGCAACAGCAGTCCCTGCGAATCGATAACCGCAGCACACAAAGTGCTGATCAGCCAATCAAGGCGAGTAACTAAGCGATATAGGGGTACCGTCAAAGCAGGCAGAAAAAAGAAGAGGAGGCGAATAGAATCCCGAGCCCCAGGATGCGGATGTGGATGTGGATGCCGCAGGCTGTGCAGCTGCTGTTTGTGATGGGCTTGTGGGTGCTGCAAGGTCAGGCGCAATTGGAATCAGAATCAGTGGCAGCCAGAGCAGGGGCAGGGGGAGGAGCCGTAGCAGGAGACGGAGCCGGAGCCGGAGCCACGGGATCCCCTCGGAACCGCATCAAGGCGGAAGCGGATGCCCTGATGACGGGCGACAGCTTCAACATTCGCCACGGGCGCTCTCGAACGCATTTCCTTCATGGCAGTAGCACAAACAGCAGTGGGGGAGCCACCACACGCCTCCTCCTGGTTACGCCCACCCAGCTGCCAGGGGCTGGTGGGACATCCCCAGCTCCCGTCACGCATAAAATCCGCAAATTGCACAAGAAGAAAATCAACGAGAGCATACGCAAAAGTGTTGACAAAAGTCTGGGCCTTCTCCATCCGCCGAAGAACCACCGCAGCTTGGCCGAGGCCGAGCATCTGCAGGGTCGTCCTGCCAGCGAGGACACCGATGACACGGCTCTCAGCGAGGTCATGCAGCTGGCGGATGAGATTGAGCTGGAGAGTTCATTCGCCACGGCGGCCCCAACAGGTGATCCGGATATCGGTGTCAAGCAGGAGCGCCAATTTGTGCGTGATGAGGCCAATTACCAGAACGACGACGACGACGACGAAGATACCATCGAAGCGGAGGAGGAGGTGGATGAAGAGGAGGCTCCTGTGTCGACTACCCCAAAACCCAAAATGGCCAGAACTCGACTGCTGCCAGTGAACGGCACTTGGGAGCGAGTTGGTACCATATCTCGAGACTCCTCCTCGGAATCGGATTACGAGAATAATGGCCTGGACAACGAGGAGGAGGTAGGTGAGCCATTTGGCAAGTCGCAGCCCCTCAACGAAAGTCTCAGCACCACCGAGTGGATGGACGAGGGTCAGAGGGAAGTCCACAACGAGCCGGAGGCGGAGGCCAGATCCCAGGCAGCCAGCATGGAGGTAAAGCAGATCAGCTTCGACAGCGACAGTGACTCGGAGTCTGGCCTGGATACCTCGGAGGTTACCATGGACGACGGCTATCCGCCGGACGTGCAAATCGATGACAAGACCAAGCAGTTGGTCATCGGCGATGTGGAGGGCGAGGAGACGGGCGAGAACATGGAGTCGAGTCAGATAACCGCCGATGTGATCAACGCCCGGGACAGTAAGATCGATCTGGTGTCCAAGTTCCTGCAGTACATCGAACAGCAGCACCTGATGGGCTCGAACTGTGTGGCCGGAACCTCTCTGAATCTGGGCGAGGGCGTGGTCGACCGTTACGCCCAGGACCGGTTCCGGGTGGAGGCAGAGGTGGCCGTCAATCGTGCCAATATGCTGACCAGGTGAGTGAACGTCAGGGCAAACTTTTCCGACTCTCTGCCCACATCATATTATTCACATGCCAAACTTTTCCAATCGAAAGTTTTCGGCCAGACGAAACGGTGAATGCAAGTGGAAATGGAAATGGATTCCGGGCTAAATGCGAACAGTTGTGGCTGAGAAAATAGTATTACCAATCCGAAGGTCATTTAGGGGTCAATCAAATCAATTTTCTCTGAAAATTTCGTTTTCTGTCGAGTAAGAAAGTGGATTAGTTTGCAAGTTAGAAGGATAAACATGATTTATCATATTAAAATATCAAAATATTCAGATTTGGAAAGTAGAATTTATATGTCACCAAACTCCGTGAGCGTATCCTCTTCCTGGACCTCCATCTCCTCGGGCTGTAAGTCCTCTTCGGAGGGCGAGAAGTCGTTGGTGATGTGGAAGGTCTGGCGAATCTCCTCAGCCGTGTGGCCCTTTATCATGTTGGCCACCGTCATGCAGGCGACATTCAGTAGGTTCCGGATGTCCAAATAGTTGGCCGCCAGGATGAGCTCGAAGAGGGTGCCCTGATCCATGGCCAAGAACTCGGCATCCCAGGGACTGATATCCACCATTGGCCTGGCAGCCTTCCCATCGTTTTCCTCTTCATTATCGCCCCGATGGTGTTTGGCCCAAACGAGGACCTTCTTCAGAATCGTCGAGTTCACATTGGGCAGCGGAATAAGTGGGTCATTCTCAGCCTCCAGAGCACAACCCTCCAGCAGGGTTTTAATGGTGCTCGAGCATTTGGCAGTCTCGGCATCGGTTTCGAAAATTTCGCCATCGGAGGACTGCAACTTGATGACTGGCATGGTTTTTCCTCCGCCCTCTGAAAGGGTGCCCTTTGGAATTTGTACAATACAACTTTTACACGAAATCTGAAAGTGCCAGAGTGACAGTTGAAAATATAAATGAAAGGGAGATCTGATGAAAGTAATGAAAAGAAAAAACAGTTTTCCATTGGGTTTATAGGAATATTTTGACTATTTACAGACCTCGTTTCCTGTTTTTAAAGCCATTCAAAGAGTTCGATTGACTTTATAATTTATTGCCTTTGAAAGCGTTTCATTCGTCGAACTATAAAAACAGAAATGCTAATCAGAGGACAATTTATGGCCGCCAAAACAATAGAAAATATGTAGAGACCCTTTTCATAGCTAAAAATAACAAATATTTGGTATTCAAGGACCCAGCATTGGTCGAGTGCTTCCCATTTTCCTCATTTTCCAGCAGCCATCGCTCATCGTTGCGGGGTTCACGTTTCAGTAGTTATTCGCCAATTTCTGCTCATCCAGATTGGCAAGTGGCCTTTGTCAACAACAAGCATAATGTGCTTTTCTTGTTGCGGATGCTCTCGGCGCTTGTTGGGCCATAGTTGGCAGAACTACCTTCGGTTTCCTTCAACAGTTTCCCTATGATTTTGCCCCCTCCACTGCCCTCTTTTATCCAACCTAGTCCATTCCTCGCGTCTGCTTGGCTGCGTGCAATTTTTTGATAAAAGTTCAATTACTTAGCGGAACAGGCGTGCCCGGCGGCAAAAAGTTTGCGGCATTCTTGTGGCCAGAAGTGAGGGCGAGGACCAGGCGAGGACATTGATTTACCTGGGCGACCAAAACGATGGCAATTCATTTGGTTTTTCTTGGAATTTCCAGCTGTCCGAGCCGGGCAAGCTGATATGTGCTTTGCTTCCCGTGTCCATTCCGTTTCCATCATCATCATCGATTTGGCCGTATCGTGTATCTGGATAAACGCCCAAGTGACAATCCCAAGGACATCGACATGGAGATGGACATGCCAGCCCTCTACTTGCAAGTTTTGCCAACATTTTTTGAGCTCTGCTTTTCTTTTGCTCCCCAGCAGCCGAGCAGACGAGCAGCCAGGCACAATAAACACAAAGTTTCATCAGATGTCACATATGTGGGTCCAAAGTCTGAGGACCGAACTCTGGACATCCAGAGTCCAGAGTGCTTTGTCCTGTGTCCTAATGTCCTTGCCTGCATACACGCATCGTATGTGTCAATGCCGATGGGGATGTGCTCCTTGCAGACATTAGACCCGGAATTTATGTCCTTCTGTTTTTCTTTGGTGCGTCTTTGGTTTGCGGCAAATAGCAATAGAGAAATCAGGAAAAACTTAACTTTTTTACAAGCAGAATTAGGACTCCAGAGAAGTGGGTGTGGTTGGCTTCGTGCAACAGGCCATTGGATATTGTCTTGTCCGATGGAGGTGATTTAGCCGAGTCTCCAATTCCAATGACATAATTTCCCAGCGAAGATAACAACTTTCAGCTCACTGATTGGGCCGGCAAATCAAGGCCATTTGTCCACGAAAGAAAAACTCATTTGTTAAAAGCCACACAAAGGCGACGACACGAAAGTACAAGCTGGCGAGTCTAAAGAACAAATGCCGCTTGTCAATAAAACGCACAAATAAACAATTAACCCAAGCGTCGAGCAGCTTGACAAATTAAGTGACTGTCAGGAAAAGGCAGGAGGGAGGCGAAAAGGCAGGAGGGAAATGGGAAAAGCGGACAATGTTGTAACTCGGCCTGGGGAGCAATAAAATGTCAAAGTCTCACTGCTGCTAACGTCGAATGTCAATAAATTAAATTGTGTGTGGCCACGGATCTGGCCCAGGATCAACATTATTGCATTTAGTGTCATATGCCAGACATTTGTTTCCATTATTTGTTCAATGGGGAATGTGGCCTCTGGGACCCGAGGCCTCTTGATTTATCCAGTTCTGCCTCCATTGGCCACCCATTCCAGCCGAAATCCCTGTTTCATAATTTCAACGGAGGCGGCTGCTAATCAGGGCCTGTTTTAATCAGTTTTTCTTGTGTTAACATAATCAAGGGTGGCCGGAAAAGTTTTACGTCGGCGGGAAAAAGGAAATTATGAGGGGTGGCAGAGCTGTAGGAAGCTCCCGAGCTACACAGATAGATACTAATTGAAGTTATTGTTTTGTGATACATTGTTATCGCCCTGCCAGCCGAAGGATCCTGTTCGTTGTTCCTTCTTCCTGCTCGCTTTTTGTGTTTGGGCATTTCCCGTTTACTTTGTTTCGCAAACAAAAACAAGAATAACATTTAAGGAAAACAAGGGAGGAGAAAGGAAAGGAAGGGCAGCCTAGATTGGAGGTGAGTGAAAAGGAGGAGAAGGAAGGCTAAATGGCAGTCAGGAAAAACAATATCAATTCAAGTTGAAATTACGAGCTTCAATTGTTTTCTTGCCTTGGCCACTTTTCGTTAGTTTCCGTTCACGCCGCCAAAGTGTAGACAGCAAACAGAAAGCGAAAGCACGACTCCAGTGTGGCACAAAGGCAGTGTGGCAACAAAAGTGTGGCAACATGGCGGATGGAATCGGAAAACTTTTAAGTACTTAAATGTGTTGTCGTGTAAGAAAGGCGCGGCGGTAGAAAAGGTGAGAATTGTGAGTGGAAGGCGAAGAAGGACCTGCCACTTTGGCTTGTCCTGAAATTGAGTTTCCGGTTGCCAGTTTCCAGTTCTTTGCCAACTCTAAACTCTTTTGTTGCCTTGTTGTTGTTGTTGTTGTCGTCGTCGTCAACTTCAAGTGCACATCTCTCTCTCTCCCAGAGCCAGAGCAATGATTTTGTTATTTCGCAGCGGAAGTTCGGCGATAAACTTGGCAAATAATTTATTGCCTCGCCGTCGCTTGTTTCAATTCTCAATGCCTTTGGAATTCGAGTGGCATTTGCGTTCAGTCCATACAACAAATCGAAATTGAAATCTGCATAAGCGATGCAGTTTCCAATTGCCAGCGGCAATAAAACGCGACAGCAGCAAGGACACCCCAAAGGAGGATCCTCTTCCCCCTCTGCTCTGTAGTCTCTTCATATCCCCATGCCACCGCGTCATTGTCAACATCCTTCAAAAGTTCTCCGAACGGAAGCAAACAAATATCTATGCAAGTCAATGTTCAGGACACAGTTTCACACTGAGAAAAACTAAGGACCTTAATCAATTCCTGAAAAACTTTTTGGCTTGAACTTTAAAATTAACTTTACCATTAAGGAAATATTTTCAAATTAAGACTTCCTAAGAAAAAAGGCTTCCTTTTACCATTCGATTTCTCGCCGTGCACTTGGCTTCGGGACTTTGTGCCGCTTGATTTACTCGACTCTGCTTTTGCCCAGCGGGCGGTGCTAATAACGCTGCCTTTCCCCGGCCGACATTCCACCCCATTTCAACCTGCTACGCCCACAAGCCTTTCTCTCGCTATTTTTATTGTTGGCCGCTGCAGAATGCAGTTGTCTAGCCCCGAAATGGAAATTGTTTTCATTTTTCGCAAAACAATCCTAATGTGGATTTTTCGTCCGCCTTCGCCCGCCTGGAAACCCGCAACTGCAACTGTGCAACTGTGCAACTGTGCAACTGCCACTGACATGGACATGCATGCCTTTGTAGGCCACCGGTGGCATTTGCCCCTTGCAGGTCTCAAAAATAAAAAGAGGGGGCGACTCCTTTGGAGCCCTTGCACCACTGCATCACGGCACCACTCGGCCGCGTCCCTTTTTCCAGCTGGTTTATTTCAGTACTCGCATCTGGGCTTGACTCTTGTGCCCACGAACGCTGCCCCTGCCGGCAGCCTGTTGGCGATGTTGGTTGCAAATGGTTCTGGTTTTGGTGCTGAATCTGGCTCGGCTCTTTTGACGCATTTCACTAGGCTACAGTGGAGCTTCCGTAACCCAAAATTCAAAGCAAAAAGTACTTAACTTTATAAAAAAAATCAATTTTAATGGACTTAAAATAGAATCACAGTTGTAACGTAGTGAAGGCATTTTCATGAATTATATTAACTTCTGTCTTCGTAAGTTGCCTTAACTAAGTTTCCGCTGGTATCTCCTATTCAATTAAAGTTTCCGAAGAGCAAAACATTTATGAAAGTTCAAGCAATGGAAATGAAACTGTGCAAAGTTTAGCCGCTAAACGCTGTTTCAACTCAATTTAGCCGGGCTTGCAGGACGATTCAACTTATGGTAGATGGTTTGTGAGTGTTTTTAGCTGGTTACCCGCTTTTGGCGGCTTTACAAACTACACGACTGCAACGCTTTGGCGCTCTTTGTGCAACACATGTTGCCATAACTTAACAGCTTAACAAACTTGTCGAGTATCCCCACGAAAACAAGTCCTCCGCCTTTCGAGTGGCTGGCCCACTCGGCGAATGCGTAACGTTTAAGCCGCAGCAGCAGCAGCCGCAAAGCTCCCTTTTCTTTACCCAGAGTCTATTTTTGCGCAATAAAAACATTTGGATCGGAACTCCGAGCAGAGTAAGAGCCACACAGACAAAGTTTGTCTTTGGAAGAAAGGCGCGAGCTCTCGACTCATTATGCTCGGCGGCAGGAAATCAAAAAGGGAAACTTTTTGGCCAAAATGTTTGCCAACTTTGCGCCCTCGCGCTGCTCGCCTGCAATAATAATAATCATCGGGCTGGGAAAGTACGTTGCAAAGAAGTTAGCAAGTTGAAAGCAATTAATGGACTAAATCAAAAAGCATTTTTTGAACAATAGAAAAAGTGGGGGCGAAGTGAGAGTGGAATCTCGGAGGAGGTCCTGTGGCCAGCATAAACATGTCAACAACAAGTGCCTCGGGGCTCAATTAGCCGCAAGCCAACAAAGCAGAAACCAGGCAACCAAACTGGGCCAACATGGGTAACTTTTAATTAATTGAACTCCTTTTCCTGCTTCCTAATTGAACACACATTGCCATGTCGCCATCGCCACGTCTCCGGGCCAGAGTTTGCCAGAGATTTCCCAGCTCGAAGGCTGGGCAACTTTTGATCTTTTGTGTTTAATGTCAAATTAGGTAACGGCGTTGCCTGCTAAATTTACCATAAGCTTGGGGAAGTTTCTAATTTCTGGCTAACATCTTTGCTGAGATAATTTTGTTGCCTTTTAGTTACCAGAAAAAAGAAAAAAGGTTTTCGAAAATATATCCCTTTTGCATTTTAATTTGTTTATTTCCCATAAAATATGGAAATTTACCCCTTGCTGCCGTATTTTAAAACATAATTCGCAGAAGTCAATTAGCAGGGAATCATATCTAAATATATATCTTATCAGCTACGCCTTTGCCTCACCGTTTGATCATTTAATTATGGCCTAATTAAAATTGGCAAAAAGCCTTGACCGTTATGGGCCATTAAAAGCGCACCCGGCAAACAAATAAAGGACGACGCCCAGCCTCAGACAAAAGGGACGACGTCGTCTGAGAGTTCCAAAGAAGCATCATCATCATCATCATGGCCATTCAGATATTCAGTCATTCGGCCAGGCTGCCTTCCCAAGGAGTGTGCGAAGTGTCCTGGCTTTGAATAATTAAACCGGAGCATTTCGCTTTCAATTAAGATGTCGACACGCAGTCTCAGAGTCGGAAGGCAGCGGGTGCTCGAGGTCTTTGGCCAAAGGACACGGCAGTCCTGAAGGGCCCTCCAGGACTTTCGGTGCGTTCGTGTGTCCTGAGAGCCCTTTGCCGGGTCGCCTTCCTAACGAGTCCCGAACCATCATCCTCCAGGTGGCGAAATTTGAAATTTTATTTTACTTTCCCTGCATAATTAATTCCCTCGTTCACACTTCCAAATAATAGAAATTAATTTCCTTGTTTATGGCCAGCCAATTAAATTATTTCTTTGGTTTGCGTGCCGTTGTGCATTTTTTTTCGGAATCAATAGGGACCTTGGCATCGACTTGACTGCAAATATGAGCCAACAAGGGGCCGGGTAAGCCGTCTCCTCGACATGCAACGGCCTTCCCAAGTCAAATAATAAACAGAAGAAAAAAACAACACAGAAAAAGCGGCTTAAGTGCCGGCAGAGAGGCGGCTTTTCTCCTCCACGCGGAATATTTTCAAGGCGCTTCAAGTTTCTAATACGCGTTTTATTCAGCTGACTGGCTGTCTGTCTGACTGGCTGACTGGCTGACTGGCATCATGTGCTAAACAAATAAACAAAAGAGCCATCTCAAGTCTCTTGGAGATACCCCAAAATCCCGGTAGTTGGGGATTTTGACAAAGCAACGGATATAAATTGTAATGCTGCCGTTGGCTAAGAGCAGAAAACAAAACGCAAACGCAAAAAGGGGAGTCTAAGGAAAACTTTAGCCTGGTCAGTGATGGGCGAACACATTTTTAATTAAACGTCAGGCAGATTCACCGCTCAACTTTCCGATGCAGTTGCGTAATTACAGCACAGGTGGGCATCAAGGAGTGAAAAAAGAATTCCCAAGGAACCACATCATAGGAGAGATTGGGGGCTGGGCCTGTGCCATGGAGGTCAGAAGCCTTTAAGCTGGGCTTTAAGCCTCCGACTCAGCTAACCCTCTCGCCTGGCCCAAAAACACATGCAGACAAAGGCCAACGGAGAGGGAACACTTTCGAGTACTTAGTGAGTTACTTACTCCTGGTTCCCCCCTGTCCTGGGCACCGGCACCCGGAGCTTGTTTTGCGCTTGTTTTCGCCTCTTCCCCAGCACTCAAGTGCTGAAAAGTGTTTTTAGCACACTTTAGGTCCACACAGTCTCAGGGGGCGGCGGTGAAGGTGGGAAAGGTGACTGGGTTGGAAGAGCCGGAAAACAGGCAGCCTGCAAATGCAACTGTAAGCGTCCCAAACTATATAAGCACAACAGCACCGGCACCAGCAGTTCAAGTTGTCTGCGGAGAATGTTAATTGGGGAACGAGGACTTGCCGGCTTGCACAGCGAACTATCTTCCCATTCCCAAAATCAAATTTATGTGGGAAAAATATAATATTTTTAAGCTGCTGAAAGGTGGAACTGCTACTACTACGGCCAATATTAGCAAACACTAATAAGAGCGATTGGAACTAGAAGGAGAAACTGCACTGTTAAGAGGCAGAGATTTGCAATCCTCATTGGGAGAATCCTCGAAAAAAAAACTGCCTGTTTGGGCCATAAATAATGGGAGGGATGTTGGAAAAAAGCTGTCAACTCCATGTCGGGCTCCCAGCTAAGTCAGCATTATCACCAGCGAACAATGTCGGCGGCGTCATCATCATTAGGCGACTTTTGAGCCCGACATGGCCTTGGACACTCGCATGGATTTGGATGGGTGGTGGGCCGTGGGGGTGTTAGCTGGTGTTTGGCTGTGTTAGGTGGTGCAGAGCTGACAAAATGCCTTTGACATTTACAAATGAGGCCCGCCAGCGAATTAATGAGCCACGCCCAATTAGCGAGTGCCTCACATGAGAGAGAGTCCCAAGATCCGGAGTCCCAGGACCAGCTTCTGTTATGTCGCTCCTGGCTAATGTATTGGAAAATGGAATTGAAGTCGATGCTGTGACATTTTTTTTTGTGTAAGCTCTTTTTTTTTTGGCCCCCCATCCTTATTGTTGCCTCCTTTTGGGGCAACAATTTAATTAATATTACACAGGCAGGAAGGAGGTGGCAAGTTGGCCCCCACCTAAGCTGAAATCTTCAATGTAATTTTCTCGTTTACCCATTTTCGAGGCACCAAGAATGGTGGCCAAGGGGAGTGCTCCGAGAGGCGAAGGATATGCCGGCATCCTGTGCTGAGGCACCACAGACAATGGCACGCACTTGAGCACAGTTTGAGGCGGCTTGAATGCGCCGCGCCTATAAGTATGCACTTGTAACAGCCAGCGGGCCATATTTCACCCCGAAAGCCACCCCCTGCAACCACTCCCCTGCTCGGGGTTATAAAAATAAAAATGACAGACCAACAAAAATGAAAGGAAGCCAATTGTAGGGGGAAGGGCCTGGCGCTGGTCCTGGTCCACTGAGCCACTTTCGGTGCTCTGCTTGAGTTGCAACAAAACTTGTTATATTACATTATTCATGCCCTGCCACCCCAAAGGGTTGTGCCTCCTTTTGGGTTAAGCCGAGCTACGTGCCAACATAATTTCCACATAAATCGGTTAACGGCCTCTTGTTAATATTTAAAGGGCTTTTCTTCAAGGCAGAAACATAATTAAATATATAATTAAGATTTGTGGCAGAGAGTTAAGGACAAGATTTATGCTAAGGAAAGGGTAAGAAAGGATAATATTTGGAAGTATTAAAATGCTTTTAAACTCCATCATTTATATAATAATAATTGTTAAGTTTAATGTATGTCTCCCTGTAAGAGTATCACATTTTCATTGCTGAAAAGTCCAGCCATTTTTCATGCATTTTGAATGCAATTTCCTGGCCAAGCCAACGCCATAAATTGCATTTTTTGCCCTGCCCTGCCCTGCTCTGCTCTGTAACTAATATCCGATGTATGCCTTGCTTGTTGTCTCCGGCAGAATCTTCAAGACCACCGGCCGCTCCGTGCAGGAGGATGTCAACCTGCTGCACGCCTCCGTGCTGTCCATGGTGGAGTTCGACGATGATATATTCGCGGCCGGAAATTGCTTCGATTGGAACGAGCACCCCGCGCAGCCGGGCCTCTTCTGTCCGTTCGCCTACCGCCTGCCGCCGCCGAATCTGGGAGCGGTCTTCGCCAAGGATCTGGCCATGGAGTACCACTATCTGGGCAACACCTCCGAGTGGTTCTTTCTGGCCCGCAAGAATGCCGAGAAGGTGATAGCCCGCAACGAGCAGTATCTCAAGTGTAAGTATCTCGGAGCGGGATGCCATGGGTCTGTTTCGGGAATGTCCTTGATTTATTCCCCGCCTGGATAGCAGTTGGCCCCTTATTTATGGCACCCCGATAGCGCTATACAGCCTGCCCCATATAGCATTGAATATTTATTTTTGGAAGCTTTAATCTGCGACTTCATTAGTCACCAGGCCAGACAACAGACGAATCCTGGCAGGATGGGCTCTTGGTCCTGCCTAATTGCGTATATTTCACCCGACTTTATCATGGCCAAACCCCGGCGAAAATGTCTCCTGACAGCGCAACAATTAAGCAATAATAAATAAAGGGAATAGGATCGTGTTGCCTCCAACTTGGAAACTCCACTTTAAATGGAAATTAGCTGGCCAAGGGGCCATGCCAATTTCGCAGGCCACCTTTACCAGTTCCGTTCGTAATTAGCCGGATTCCGTCTGCTCCGGCGAGCAGCTAATCCATTCTCACGGCCTTCTGCCCACCGCCTGTCCGGCGTATTTGACAGTGATGCGTGTAAGCTAATTTTATGCAAGACCCGCCACACAAAGGCTTCCTGTCCAGCTCGTCATCGCCCGCCCCGGACTTTAGGATTTGCCACTCAGCTGTCAGTCAACCGAGGACCTGCTTCTTGGCTTTAAGCTTTCAATATTTAAGGCCATGTAATGGCAAATTGCGGCAAATGAATTTTAATGATGTTGGCCCATCCGAAGCACACACTTGTCCGCCTGTTTGCATAACTCCAGAGCACCGCCTCGCCACGTGGGGAGAACAAATGCACTTGACACGGCCATGCCGCAACATTTCAAAATAATTTGCAAATTAAAGGTTACGGTTACGCCACGTCGCATCGTTCTCCGTTCCCCGATCCCCACATCGCTGTTTTCCCATTCTCCCATTCTCGAATTTTCCCGTTTTCACATTTTCCGGCTTGCGTGTGCAACGGCGGCATGCAAATTATTTGTTTGCTTGCCTACAACTAATACTAAATGCCGTGGTTGCACCACTACATGAGCTTTTCTGTATTACCCCGGGCGGTGCACTTGGAAAATAAGTTTATGGTTCGCTTTCCAAGTTTGGTCTATGAAATGTTGCAAGCCGCATAAAATGTTGCAACTTTGGCGGGAATGACATGATATAAAGAGGTTATCTTTATTCTTTATTCCCTTGGCAAGACTTAGTTAAGACCAAAAGCAGAGTTTCTTAGGTGGAAACTGATAGCATTTATGGTAACATTTTCTTGCTTCAGTTTGTGGCTTTAAAACCATTTCGAAACTTAAGGAAACATCTTAAAATGTAAAAACTTATTGAGAACAGGCAGATAGTTCTATGTAAAGAGACGCTAAAACCATTTTAGTTTTCCTAATCAACCTAAACAAGCTTGTAGGTTCACCTCTACGCTATGCATTACTATCCAATTTGGCAATGTCCATGCATATTTCCCTCTGTGTGTCCACATCCACTGCTTCACCCGTATCCGGGCCTGAAAACCGGACTCGGCCGCAGGCTCTAGGCCTGCAAATTGCATGGGCGAAATTGCATGAGATGCCGTTGAAAAATGTGTGTTACGTATACGCCATGTTCGATTGTTCGCCGTGACTTTGGCTGTGACACCAGCACTCGCCCGCTCGCACTGAATGTCCCTCTGTGGCTGGGGAAAAACAAATGGAATCGAAAACAAACATTTTCAGGACGGACCGAAGAGATGGAGGTCCTGGGCCATGCATACTAATAGCGTTTTTGGCCCCGGCCAAAAGCTGATTGCAGGGCTGGGAGCCAACTATTTGCCATAGATAAAAGTCCAATGTACGTTCCTCATTCGTCCGTTTGCAAATTGAAAAGAAGGCCAGAAAAAAGCTAGCTTGCCAAATTATATTTGCAGCTCTAACAATAAACGGAAAGCGGTTCCGTTTTGGCCGTGGTCATGTTTGACATCGGGTCATTTATCTAGCGCGGAAACTTCCTTAAGCCCGGCGAACTATGATTTATGGGGTGCTGAAACTTCATCCGGCCGGCTGGCTCTGCCTTTCGATTTATGCATATCTACTCGGCGTTTTAAAGTTTTGCCCCGCCTGAAAGTTTCTCCTGGGAAAGTTTCTTACTCGCTCGTAAATTGCTTTAATGCGACCTTGTTAAAGCCAGTCGGTAGTCGGTAGTCGGTAGCTTTTTAAGGACATTTAAGCGGTGGAACCTTTTTCACACCACAACCAATTTGCGGCCAATTCATGTGCAATTAATTTGATTATATGTTTGCGGTGCACAATGCAAATGTTGCTGCTTTTTATTTGCCGCCGAAAAAAGCCAATTCACGGAGTGATTACCTTTTCATTGCATAATTAATAATATTTTTTGCCAGTCGGCGGGGGGTCGGTAAATAGGGACTGGCGCCCCACCAAATTGCGCAATCAATGCGAATCGAGTGCTTTTAATAGCCTTTTCTGTTTCATTGAAATCACTTTACTGGCTGTTAAATTCGGAAAATGATTAATAATGTCGATTTAAGTGCTTTCAATACTATAATATCACCTAATTGCACATGGCCCATGCTGCTGCTGGCGGAATATTTAGCAAAGTCTTCCATAAATTTTGAATTAATACAACCAGTGATGGTAATTATTTGATTTTCGTTGAATAAACTACCTTTTGCAGATGTTAATTATGAATTTATACAAAAAAGTAAGCCAACTAAATGTTTGCCATGTCAATATTAGCTGAATTTACTGCAAAAGTAATTTGTTTTAGTTTGTGGAAAACTGAAACTTCCTGCTCTTTATCAGCACTTAGATGGTAGTAACTATGTTATAGTAAATCCCAGATAGCTTTATCTTTAATACAAATATGGCTTACGTCCACAGATAAAACGTAATATGAAATTAAATTGCCATATAAACATGAGTTTCTGTCCGTTTGAGTAAGGATTCGCCGGACAAAGGGAACTTGTTAGAAGGCAAAAGAAGAAGGTGGATTGGACTATTGTTGGCTCATGTCTGGTATACATTTTCCTATTCGTACGAGTTCAGTGCAAACATATATCAGGGGGTCCATCTATCTTGCCTCCGCCCAAGCACTTTGCATGTTTATGTACTCATCCAGGGCACATTCGTATGTGAAGGGTATGGATATGATGACGCGTGTGCGGCAAGTAAACCGCAAAAATATGTCATAATATTTGCTTTTGCCACAGTCTGGGCGATCCGTTTTATATTATTATTTTCGTGCTCCGCCTTTTCGCTGGTTGCCAGTCACGTGTTTAACATAAAATTTAAATAAAAATCGCATACAATATGTAAACGGTTATATGTACTTCCTGTGGTTGCTCCACATCCTCCAGTCCTCTCGCCCCCTCCAACCACCCCTACGGAAATACATATATTTTACCAGCTTTGAGCCCATTTACTCCCAGACTTGCTGTTGTTACACTCGTCGTCGTCGTCTGGCCGTTGTAATTTCCGTCTGCTAACGCAATTTGCAAATTCTGTCTGACTTTCACATCCTTTTTGCCATGGCCATTACCATTTACCAACTAAATCAGCCGAAATCTTACGAGATAAGCCACAACAAATACACATTTTATGCAAATCACAGGCATAAAGAATAGCCGGGGGTACATTTTTTAAGGGCAGGATAATTCGAAATCATTTTTGTTAGCTAATTCTACTGGAACTGCTCGGCCAGATTCATTTGTCGCACTATAGTAATGATGCTGAAGGCGAACTTGGCCACCTAGAAATGTTGAAATATGAAATGGAAGGACTCCATACCTCCTCCTCCTCAATCCGTAACTCACGCTTATGTTGCTGTTCATGGAGATGGGGAATATGCCTCCTGCTATGAAGATAATCGGCTGCTGGACATGGTGCATGAAGTGGACCAATGTGGCCCTGTATCGCGGCTCGGCATCAACCCAGTTGGATTGGAAAATCGTGTTGGACAGCTCCTGGGCATCGTCGATTAGCAGGTTGCAGGTGTAGCAGAAGGGGAAGGTCTGCAGCAGAATGGTGATGACGAACAGCAGAGAGGCCACTCCCTTCCAGAAGTTCGAGAAGAAGAAGACATTGACCAGGGTCAGGCCCAAAACGGATCCAATCAGAGCGAACTGCACGAAGATGGTGCGGGATATCATAGGTCGAATCATGTCACAGCATCTGAGGGATCATATATACACTAACGAAATGAGATACCAAAAAAAACCCACTTCAATATCGTCTTGTGATCCATTACGCAGTTAACCAAGTCCTGATAGTTATCCGCCTCGCTCCGGTCGGGATCCGTGCGGAGATTGCGTACGTGATCCTTCAGAACCTCCATGTGGGCCCGGAACATGATGGTGAACATCAAGGGGTACGTATCGGACAGCTGATCCTGCAGCACAGCAAAGGACATGGTGATGTACTCGAAGATGGCCTGGATCCACAAACTGCCCAGGCCATCGCGCCAGTCCAGGAAAGGATTATAGACGGACCACGGAGGACGACCACTGAGGGCATAGGACAGGAAAGTGGAGCCCGCATATCCGCAGTAGATGAAGCTGTAGATCAGGAAAGCATAATTGCAGCGGGCCACCATGTTGTGGATCCTATCCCGGTCGCTGTCGTTCTGCAGCCTCTTGTCCAGAGAATCCAAAAGCATCTCTGTTTTCCTCAATCGCCAGAGGAACAAGTAGGTGATGGTTGACTTAACAGAAGCCCCATAGACATTGATGCACACCTGCAACGAGGTGAGGAACTCGCCGGGAGTGAAATTCTTGAATTCCTGTACGTAACTGATGATGAAGCCCACGGGCAGGTAGAACACTCCGAAGGCGAATGGCACGCAGGTCCAGAAGAGGTAGATGTATCGCAGGACTCCCTCTTTGGGAGGAATCCAACCAATTAGCCACATGGCCCTGTATAAATAGATGTTCCCCTGCCGGGACTGCACCTTCTCCGTCAGAGGTGCCGGGTTAATCAGCCTGAACAGCACCATGTTTACTGGCCTGCTAGGTCCCAGCACCTCCTTTTTATACTCTCGACCGCCCCCTTTAATTGACCAGATGCTCGATTCCCTGGCCAAGCCACGCCCTCCCGCTTTGCGGCCTGTAATTAGACTTAACCACCGGCGGTCAGGTGTTAAGTGCTATGGGGGATTTATTATTGAGGTGCGAGCAGGCCTGTCAACTGTCAATTAGCCAGCTTAATAGTTAATTGTTGGCGGACATTGGTTAATAAATCAATCAAGGATTGTGAATTTAATTTAACTTTTAAAGATGGGGATGGGAAAGGGACTTGGTTTCAGGGAAAACTTTTTCTCTGAAAGCCATTTTGAAAGGGAAAACAACAACCTAAAACATGGAAAATGCTACTTATATGTAAATTTATAATTGGTTATCATCTTAAGTGGGGGACTAGCGCATACTTTCTCTGGTATTTGACCCCCTTTATCTTCCCATCACTACATGGTCTTAAAGATACTTGAAATCCTCAAAAGGGCACTCATTTCTAGACAGTTTAGTGCATGTGCAAGCACCAACAAAGTGCAAGTGTCGAGATGCAAATATTAGTCTAAGAACTTTTCACTTTGCACTGCACTTTAAGGCTCAAGTTCCGCATTTCCCCTGTCATTGAGGAACTTCTCGCCGAGATTCATCTGATTGACGATTGTGATGATGGTGAAGGCGAACTTGGCCACGGCAATGTTACTCTGAACGGAAATGGGAAAAATAGCACCGGCCGTGAACTGAATGGGCTGCTGAACCCTGTGCATGAAGTATACAACCGTCGACTTGTAACGCCTATCGGCAGTTAGCCAATTCGAGTGGAAAACTGCATCGCTGAGCGTGGCGCAGTCCTCGATAAGGTATTCGCAGAGCATGCAACATGGAAAGGACTCCAAGCAGATGGCGATGATAAAGGAAACATTCGCCATGATGGTCCAGATGGTATTGGGAAATAACAGGATGCTGATGGACGCCAATCCCAAGTCAATGCCAACCAGCATGAACTGGGCAAAGATTGTGATGGACAGGACGGGTCGAAAGATTTGGGAGCACCTGAAGGAAATCTTTTCAATTACAAAGATCTGCATAAGCTAGGACCTTTTACCTTATTATAGTGCGATGATCCTGAATGCAGGACACCAACTGCTCGTAGTTTTCCCTCTCACTGAGCTCCGGATCCTGCCTTAGATTCTCTATGCGATTCTTGAGAATGGCCAGGTGAGCCCTGAACAGGGAGATGAAAACAATGGCATTGGCATCCGAAATGAGTTCCTGCATGGTTCCAATGGAGACCACAAAGTACTCCAGGACCGACGCAATCCAGAGTTGCCAATAGCCATTTTTCCAGTCCACAAATGGGTTGTAAAGCTGCCAAGGAGCCTTGCCAGCGAAGACCGATGTAAAGAGGTTCATGAGACAGAAGCCCAAGTAGGTGGACAGGAAGAGGAGCACAATGAGATTCACCCGAGCCACCGTAGTGGAGAGGATCTTCCGTTGCGATGGGGTGAGACATCTGTCATCCAAAGAAACCAGCAGTTCGATCATCCTACGAAATCGCCACATCTGGGTGAAGGTCACACAGCTCTTGATCACATTTCCGATGCAATTGATGTCCACCTGCAGGGAGGTGAGAAACTCCGTGGGCGTGAACCTATCGAAGTGCTTCACATAGGTGAGGGTCAGTCCAAGCGGCAGGTAAACGATTCCCAGCCACATTGTGGTCGCAGTCCAGAGGAAGTAGATCCATCTAAGCAGGCCCTCCTTGGGCGGGGTCCAGCCCAAGAAGAGAGCGATGCGATAGAAGTAGTCACTGGCATCCGCGGAACTGACTGGCCGGTCAACAGGAGCAGCTTGCAGGCGTTTAAAGAGCGGCTTGTTCATCTTAGTACTTCTGATTAAATGTCGCAAGTGGAAGGGGTTTTTATATGGCAAATTGCATTTCCTGATTCGCTTTTAATGTCTTGTCATTTCTGTTTTATTCATCGAAGAATCCGCATGTCACCCAAGGCCGCGTGTTTGCACTTATAAAGTCATTAGTCGCAGGATTGGCTTAGGCAATGCAAATAATCAAGCTGAAGCACTGAGGAAAACTAAACATACTTTCCATCATTTTAGTTCTATCTACATTTAGCCATGAAAAACTTCCATTCCCCTTTCGATTTCTCGCTGTGTACCCCTTGGGGTGCACTGAATAGCTCGCTGAATCACCGAGCTGCTGACTGCCGTGAAAGGCTTATCGATTTCTGGGTCCTCTAATTACAGTTTGCATAATGGATAACGCTATTGAAACCATTCTGTTGCCTTGCAGCCTTTCATCTCTACTCGAACCGCACCGAGGAGCGCATCGAGGACGACACGCTGGCTGTGAAATATGAGGACGGCAGATGGTCAAAACCGTATTACGACTGCGGCGGTGGCAACATTTGGATGCTAACCTACACGGTGCCGTTCTTTGGCTACGAGAACGGCACCTATCACTTTAAGTAAGTAAAAGAGAGGATATATATTTGTACTTTTTAGGATATCTTTCAGCTATCAAGAATATTTGATCTTTTTAGGGGGAGGCAAGTTAAATACTAGCAAGCCTCTAGAAAGGGGAATATGTTAAATAAACTTTACCTTTACTAGTCTTATTTTATATATATAAAGTGATTTTTAGAAATCTATTTGTGATATATAACCGATAGCCGACTAAATTTCTTCCTGTGCATCGATACAATGGCACAGCGCCCGAGTTGCATGCACATGACGGATGCCGCCATATGAGCATTTTATAAATAATTCGCAGCATGGGAAATTTGAAAGAAAACTGCAATGTTGCGCTAAGTGCCAGCAGAGCAGTTTTCCGAACAGCACCCGCTACTGCCAGCGACAGCAGGATGGGAAGCCGGAAAAGCCAGAAAACTGAGCGAGTGCCAGTTTTCGGCTTTTGTCTAGAAACGGGAAAAGTAATTGAATAGCTGAATGGCTGCTCCTGGGCAGCGTTTTCGAGTCTGGGCTTTGCTCTGGTGTGGCACGTGCAACATACCAGTTTGCTACGTTCGACTGCTGCCGAATTCCGCTCACGCACCGGTACAAAAACTGAGTACTTCAAAAAGAGCACACAGCATCTTATGAAACTTTTTAACGTGCCAGCTTTTCATCTTCATTTTCCATCTATCTCGTCTTGTTTTTTTAGTTTCTATAATTTTCCTTCCCTCCTTCTTTTTTTTTACTTTCGGATAGTTTTGTGTTTCCCGGCTCTTTGGCAACTTTTTCAATTGAATGATTCGGCCAAGTTTGAAGGCAGCATGAACCAGTTATGTAGTTTGATGAGAGTTTCCCCGAACTTGGCCCAGATCAATAAGTTAAGACCATTTGTGGCTTTCTGAATAAATCACTTTCTATTTTGATAGGCTATCATCTCGGCATTTGTATTTTCTAGAATTACCACAATGGCAAGGTTCTTAAAGTTCAAAATTAAAGAGCTTTTGTAAGCTTAAACACTAATTTAGTGCATTTCCACTAAGTTAAACAGTGAAAATTCAATCTGGCAGAGGAAAATGCGTTTCGTATGTTTCCTGGAATCAAAGTTATAAAAATAAACGCTTTTATAACTTGTAAGCCATCAGCCTAATGACAGCTGTTAAAGAAGAACCCCTTTTTATATTGACAACAAAACACAGAACTGAATGTGGGCGGGGTCGCTGGGGAAAACAGGGCGTGGCAGTCAGTCATCGTTGCCGTCTGCACTTCCACTCTACTTCATCCATAATTCGCAATTATCAATGGCTGGCAGCAGGCAGCAGGCAACAGCCCGGCAGACAGACAGCAGATTGCCAAAGCAAAGCAAAACAACAGCAAAAGCAAAAGCACATTTTGGCCAGAAAACTATTTTCACTTAGTGGCTGAGTTAGTGTCGGTGGGGAGTGCCCAGGATTACGTGGCTTTTGTTTTTCGACCAACAGAAATTGCTTTTGACTGGTTGGATGGAAACTGTAGGAGGTTTATCTCCCTGTTGTCTTAAAATCATCATCAACATCATCATTTGGGAATGAGCAGCAGATCTAGCGATGACTTAAAGCCTTGGATTTGTGTAGATTTACTGGAAAACTCAAACGAACTCAGTTAGAATAGCTCACAAATTTATTTCTTCAGCACCTTTTCATACACCATTCAGCCCTAAAGGGCTACTTATTTAGGAAGAACTGTTCCTTGGTCTCAATCATTCGCTTCTCAACCGGACTGGCGGTGGCCAGCCCGTCGAGAGACGGCTTATAGCAATAGCAGGGATACACCAGTCTGGTTTCGGGGGACTCAGGAGTGGCTCCTGGCCTGGGCGTAGTCGTAAACCGCAGCCTCTGTACCCCTGCATAGGAGATTCAATATTAATTTGATTTTCATTCACGTCACAGAGATTCCTAAATATACAAAACGTACGCTTTGATTGTGGTTTCAGCTGTTCAATCAATGCTGCATTTTAATGCATGCTTTTAAATGGCTTTCAATGTGATTTAAATTTAATCAACATTGCTGCCTGCAGGCATAGCTGTGATAAACATAAGTTATGCATTAAATTGAACAAATGCTTGAATGTATACATCAGCAGAAATTTGTTTAAATTCACTAAAACACCATGTTATATTGCTGTCGATATGAATATAAGTAATATTTTGAATATAGATTGTCAGATGATAATTACCCTTACCCTTACCTTACCCTTACCAGAAAAAATGTAATTAATCCCCATTTTGTACCAGTATTCTCATCATAGCAAAGCCAAAAATGGTCGGAATATTGAAAGTCATATCTCGATGAGTTTGTAATTAAATTTCCAACACAACTGTGTTCACACCTAAAAATGTCAATTTTTGGGCCTTTTTTGCAAAAAAGGATGATGGTACCCCTTATGAAAAATGTGAAAAATAACCAAAATTTAAAAGTTGCAAAATCAATTGGATAGTCAAAGAAATGGTTAGTTTAGGTCGTTAGCTGCACAAATCAATCTCTCTCTACCTCTTATTTTGACTATTTTATAGGCCATAAACCTAGATAAAATATTCCAAAAATCACTTAAAAATCGTTGTTCCGATTTATCGGAAAACAAGTCGTTATTTTCATCATAACTTTGCAAAAAATGGTCGGAATGTGGATTATAATATCTCATTTTGCTCGTAATTAAATTTCTAACAAACCCCTATTCACACCTTAAAATGTCAATTTTGGTCATTTTTCGGAAAAAAGGATGATGGTACCCCTTATGAAAAATGCGAAAAATGCCCAAAAAATTAAAGTTCCAGAATCAACTCAGCAGTGATAGAAATGGTCAGTTTAGGTCGTTAGCTGCTCAGAACAGTTTTTCTTTTAGCTCTACGGCTTCTTTTGACTATTTTATAGGCCGTAAACCTAGATAAACTATTCCAAAAGTTACTTAGCAATCGTTGTTCCGATTTATCAGAAATCATGTTAGTATCTTCATCATAACTTTGCCAAAAGTGTCTCAAATACGGATTTTCATATCTCATTCTGCTCGTAATCAAATTTCTAACAAAACCCTGTTCACACCTAAAAATGGTAAATTTGGGCATTTTTCGCAAAAAAGGATGATGGTACCCCTTATCAAAAATGAGAAAAATGGCCAAAAAATAAATGTCCCCAAATCAACTTTACAGTAACAAAAACTGTCAGTTTAGGTCATTAGCTGTACAGAACAGTCTTTCTTTTTCCTGTAGGTGCCATATTAACCGATTTAGAGTATAAAACCTCCAGAAAACTTTGAAAGTTCTGCTGAGCTACCGTCATTCTGAAATATTGTCAAAGAAGTCAGTATTTCTGCCATAACAAAGACAAAAATGATCAGAAAAACGAAAACTATTCCCCATTAAACTCTTAATAAGAATTCGCTATAAGAAAACTCACATGAGGATTGGTAGTACTGCTTGTGCCACCAGCTCAGCTGCCTCCTTGGTCTTTCGCCGCGCACTAAGTAAGAGCACGTGGCAGATAGGAAAATGAGAAGTAGAACCAATTGCAGCCGCGGCAAGAACATATCTGTTTGGAGATTTTCCAACCAGCTTTCCGCCCTTGTCGAGGGCTTGCCTAATGGCTTCCGTAATTACAGCAACCAGTTCGCTTTGGCCTAAGTAAGCGTTTAAAATTTCATTACCCACGGCTGCCAGGGATGGGATGTGCTCGCCATGCGCCCAGGGCTACATATTTTCGCTGGCAGGTGGGCTGGCAGGCAGCCCTTTCAAAATTTAATTAAAGCAATCAATTATATAGTTGGGCCCTCACACATGCCTACTTAACGTTCGATGACTTTCCACGCTCAATAAATTTCAAACGCAGCCAGTGGGAATATTCAGAGGGTCAGGGGTCAGGGGTCAGGAGTTCGCAGTGGCTGCTCTGTCGAGAAGAGGACCTCCGTGGAATGGAAAAGGAAACTGTCTGCCGCTGGCGGAAGCCCAGAAACTGCCTGCAATTAGTTGCAACATAAATTTAGCGCGCTGAAGTGGACGGAGGCGCTGTGGGTCGAGCGGAAAACGTAGCAATTGCCGGGCTGGAAAATTCAGCTAATACTCTAGTTTCCCTAGAGATTTAGGGCACTTGGAAAAATGAATTCAAATATCTTGTTTGGTGTAGATCTATAACTAAGGCATTAGCATTTAGCATTTCAAATCTGAAATTGGTAATCAAAAAGTTAGTAAAATGTTGAAAAACTTTTTAAATATTTAATTTCTTTATTTTTCTGCTTGTTAGTTTCCCGTTTTTCCCCACTGTAGCGGGCTGGGAGAATTAATGTGGAAATGTTAAAAGTTCGTTAGTTCATTCTAGTCGGACCGCTTGGCGGCTGCACAGTGAGATGGCGGAGGAGAATGCAGGCCGGCAGCAGGACCACGTCAAACAAAGCTCATTTGTTTCAGCGGCTTAGGGGCGGAGAATGACCAAAGTTGAACTGGAAGTCCGGCAGAAGGGGAGGGGTCCTCGCTGCCTCCGGAACCGGGATCCCACATTCCTGACCATGTCCGGCCCGGGCTTATGTTAATAATGTGCTGCTATCAGTTTCCCATTAGTTGGCGAAATTAATTTGTTTACGCTGTGGCGGAAGCAGAGAGCATTCGAAAAAAGTAAAGGAAAAGTGAGAGCGACTAAGCGAGGAGAGCGGCGGAAACTTGCTAATTAATTTAATTTGCTATGCGGTGTGTGTAGCTGCCTCATTTTTCTTAATTGCATGAAATATGCAGGTTGGCTGGTGGGCAGCCGAGCCGAGCAAAGCCCGACAATAAGTATCCGCATTAAGTTAAAGTTAATTTTATTATAAATTATTTGGCCAAACGGGGGATAAAGGCACAAATCACATTAGCCACCCGCTGTGAAAGGACACGAGAGGCCCGGGAGCCGGGAGCCCCAAGGACCTCCTGCCGGGGCAATAATTTTATTTGATTTCATTTAAGTTTCGCTTAGCGCTCACAACTCTGCGGGCACCGCACAAAGTTCCAATATTAAACAGGGCCAAGGGGCAGCTGCAAATGTGGCTTGTAATCCCGGCATTGTATTTACTTGACTTATGCCGCAATATGGCTCAGTCTGCCCCTTCTGCCCCTTCCTCTCTCCCTTTCCCATTTCACTTTTGCCGGGAACTCGGCATAATGATGCAAACGGAAACGGAAATCTCAAATATCAGGCAATAAGCCAGCCTTTGTGAGTCAGCAGCAGAAACTGAATATGTTCTTGATTATGGATTTGCATGTGCAACATACTGAATTCCAGGGGGCTAAGTAAAAGCCAGCACATAAGCGTAGCACAAGCAGGTATCTTAAAGCGCAGTTCGGGGTCAGAAAGCCAAGTATTTAGTAGGTGGGTTGAACTGCTTGGAAATAGACGAGGAATTCTCGGAGATCACAAGTTTAGGCCTTGGGAATTTGATTCCTGGAAATTCCCCACTCTTCCCATTAAATTTCCCACAGCGTTTGACTTTAATGTGGCCTTGCTTTAAGCCACGCTGCCAAGCCTCACGTCCCAGTCCCCCAAAAGGGGTTTGACATCCACTTTGGCGCTGTCATCGGGCCGTATTTTAAATTAGTTTGCAAATGAAGGCTGCCTAGCTGGCTGGCAAATATGGCAGATTAAGAGCTGTGATCAGAGCTGGCAGTATGTTCTTTTGACCAAAAGTACTCGAAAATCTGAACTCTATTTAATCGAAATTCATAAGAAAACACACAATGTAAACATTTAAGGGAGAAAACTTCAGCTAAGAGTACTACCAGAACCCTACTTCTTGGTCCATCTGCCCTTATTGAAGTAGGCCATTTGGCAGCACTGATTTGGCCAACAGGCCACATCTCACTTTGCCTGGTGCGAGGTGCAAACTACAAACCTGATTATGTGCATTAGCTGGCACGACCGAAAATTGGGCACGCATGGCGTATACGTAATGTGGAGCAGCCACGGCAGATGAGTTGTTTACAAACTGGCAACAAAACGGTGTGCGAGATGGTGGATTGGTTTGGGTTTGGCTGGGTTTGGCTGGATGGTACATGCCATTACGTTGAGAGCAATAAAGTTGCTGCCATATTTTGGTTACGCGGCAGTGAACAGAACCATCTTTATGAACTCGCAAATGGAGCAACCAGGGAGCACTGCTGTCGCCAGTTTTAAATAGCCGGCACGTGCATGTGTGTCGGGTATTAGGATGTGAGAAATAGGAGCAGGGATCCTTGGGATGCATTTCACTTATTCACGTAGTGCGTGTTTGTTGCACGTGCCCGGAATGGCAAGTTGCAACACTCTGGATTCGTATCTCCTAATCCCCCAACAAATGTGCTGAGATTCCAGTTTTCCCACGCTTTAAACCGCACTAGAAGCTGAATCTAATCAATGCCTATTAAATTAGGGTCCAATTTAAGTCAAGCTGCTACCAAAAAATGTCAAACTTAATTTGAATTCAACAGGCCTGGTCTTCATCATTCTGGCAGGCCTATTAGCTATTTTTGGGTCTGGAAAATACACAAAAATTAGCCTCGATTATGGCTCATTTGTAAGCATTAGGCAGAGCTCTCGGGAAAGGCGTTTGTCATATAAATCAAGTGTCCGCCAGATAGGAAAACATTGTCACATCAGCAGGCATCGGCAAATATCCTTCGGCGCAAACTAATAAATCAATATGAGACACACACGTACGTCTCTGTATTTATGTTCGGCTAGGAAACTCTGGGCCAAACTCATTCGGTCGGCTCAATCAGCTTATTTTCTAATATCCGTTTACAAATTATCTTCAAAAACTGTCAACAACAACAAAGCCAGACAGACAAAGGCCACTGGTAGGGGTTGGGAAAATGAAACCACAGCAAATAAATGGCAAAGGCAAAAGCAAAGGCAAATAAGAATTGAGAAATAACACACGACAACACATCCGAACTTGGCCCAATAATACGGCTGAGGGAGAGGAAAAAAAGGCCAACCGGTTGGCAGGACACAAAGGCGTCGGGATCAACTGCCTGGGAATTAACATAATCATTACGATAATGTAATATGGCCATTGTGCAGCCAGTCCCGGCGCTGTGCATTTCCCAGTGGTCCCTTTTCCCGAATTTCGCAATCAATAAGTTGTCAGAAACAATCAAATAAATACAAACTGATATGTCAATATTAACTGACAGGCACCATCACGAGCTGGGAGTCCCGAAGTCGGGACTCTGCAGTCTGGAGTCTCGAAACCCGAATCCAGAATTTCGATCCCTACCCAATCCATTGGCCACCGGATATGCCCGGGACAAACACATTACGGCCGCCGGTGGGTGGCCATCGAAAGAGTCTGGATATTGAAAAAGTAAACGAAAAGTTCATGGGAAACTTTCCCTTTGAACCAAAGGGAAACGAAATGGAAATCACCCTTTCCCTGCCTCAATAATTGGCCTTCCATTATCTTATTCAATTTAAGATTGAGCCTGGTTGGAATTCTATGTAGAGTAGAAACTTATACGACTTTTTAAGTTTTTTTAACGTTAAGATTTCTTATATTGTTAGAAGTCTTTCACTATCAAGGTATGCCACCTCCCTACCTAAAGTTAACTTGTGCTTTGTACTATATTGGATATCAATTTTTAGTTTATGCTAAACTTTAAAAGAAAATTCCTTTAAAGAACCTTGAAAAGAAGAAAGGAAGGAAGAAAGAAAGAAATTCGCAAACAAACGACAAGGCAAATGCCGATGGGATCATGCCACAAGAAAACTTTCTCCGGCGCACGGGTAAGGGAAAGCCGAAGAACGGACGAGGGTATGGCCACAGCTCTGGCGTGAAAATGCGGACGGGTGGGAAGGCTGAGATTATGCGTAAAATTCTACATGTGTTCCGGCCGAGAACCTCCAGTTGTCTCCCTCCAGGATTTTGCTTAGGTATGCGTGTAATTGGGTGGCTGCCCATTGCCGGCGGCGACCTTTCAGGAGGCACATAGGATGTGTAGGATGTGGGATATAGGATATAGGATTTCAACTAGCTGACGAAGGGGCGCGGCCAGGGGTCGACAGCTTAGTGCACCCTTTTCATGGCTTTATGTCTTTGTAAAACGACAAGGCCAACCCATTCCCATCAACGACAACAAGAAAATAATTTTCTTCTATTTTTTTTCCGACCCTCGCAAGCCGGAACCAAATACGCATGTTAGTTTATCCCTTTGTGCGGAATCTCTTTCGCCTCCTTGGGCCTCTCCTCAGCACCTCAGGTCCTTAGACATATGCACAATCAGAGCAGGAATTTATTGTTTGTTATCGCTGCCGACTGGCAATGGAGATGGGGAACTGGAACTGGACCACCCGACGACCATGTCCATAAATATCGGCCGCTGTCGGTACACAGGTCTTATTGAATCCAGTTTATAAATGGCGCCATTTGGCTTAAGTGCCGCCCAGTTGATTGTTAGGCTGACAAATTAATAACATAAATTTTTAACGCCTTCTGCTGATTCGCCGTTTTCCTGCAGGGGCACATCTGGCATCGACATCGACTTGCGGCGCGTGGACATCGACCAGTGTCCGCAGCGCCACACGCCGGGCACCAAGCGACCGCTGAACATCTTCGCTGGCACGGACAAGTGCAAGCAGCGCACCACCATGGTGAGTATCAATCTGGCTACACAGAGAGAAAAGCGAGAGAGAAAGAGAAATTTATGACCTTTTTACTTTAAATTGTATGCCTAAAAGTATGCAATGATTTTTTATAAATCCTCAAAAGTTGATGTAAAACTTATAAGAACGCGGAAATACTTAAACAAATTGAATAATGCTTCGTTAAGCTCCAAAAATAAATAATAAAAATTAGTGTACAGTCAGGATGACGTGCCAAAATTCCTCTCTGTGTAGATTGCCAAAATTCTCCGCAGTCAGCACTTAATTTCCATTTGCACTTCTCCATTTGCCGTTCGCAGTGCGAGGCCATCATGGGATTGGGCTTTCGGCGCGGCTCCTACAAATGCTTGTGCCGCAAGGGATTCTACTTCCCCGACATCGTCTCGCAGCACAAGTTCTTCAACGGCAGCCTGCTGGAGGAGGAGTACGAGAAGCTGATGCTGGTAAGTCCTCCTCCTGGTCGAATGGAGAAAGCCGCGTCAAGTGGCCGCCGTAAGAGCCTTACTCTCATTAAATATGTATTAGGGCAAGAACTCCACGTACAACAGCAACACCGAGTACGAGTGCCTGCCGTGCGCCGAGGGCTGCGACTCCTGCGAGGACTCCTCGCCCTGCATCGCCGCCCTCAACTGGCCAATGCGCACCAGCATCTTGGCGCTGGCCTGCATCGTGATTGGCCTCTTGCCCCCGGCAGCCTGGTTCACCTTCCGCTACCAGCAGGTTAAGGTGAGTGAAGTCCCTCTCGAGCCATTTGGCATTTTAACACTACGTCTTTTGGTCCTCTAAGTAGAATATCAGCGGGTTGCCAGCATCACTTTTCCATCTGAAGTAAACAATTTAATCTTGCTTTGATTTTGTTTCCTTATATTTCTTTAATATTAAGTTATTTTCATCGTTATAAGCAGTTCCGAGTCACAGTTGTGGAATTAAAAGCCCTGATAAATCTTTCAAAGCCCCCACCGAAATAGTAAAGCCATTATAATGGTATTATCCCCGAGCAGTCGGAACCTGTCCATGGCTTGTTTTTATTTTTTCATATTTTTTTTGTCTTTTTTATGAGTATCGGTGCGCACTGTCAAATGCCGCTGATCCGGAGCAGGGCCAACCTAAGCTGCTGTCATCATTGAGCCGCTAAGCGGCTTACCATTGTTAGAATCGAGTTAATTTTGAACGTGGCCATCCTGGAATCCTGGCAGCCAGCAGCCAGTAGCCAGCAGACCGATGACAGGCGGCAACAAGCCACCAGGACAGCGGATACTGTCGCGCATAAGCGGAAGTGCAAACATTCGCACAACTGGCCGCGACCACATCCTGTAGCTTCCTGCTGCCAGGAGGAGGCGAGGTTCTGCCCTGTGAACTTCACGCGGAGTGTCACTTGGTCGCTCATTAGACCAGAGGACAAGTCCAGCTGCCGGCGTCCAATTGTCTCTGGCGCGCTTAGATTTAAGCCATTCCCAACTTTCTCATCCACTGCGGATGTAATATATATGCACAGGGAAGAAATAGTCCTCCTATAAAATCGTAAACCAATTCTTAGTATTTTATGTAAACTAAAGGAAAAGCTTTTACATTTTAGCCTTGAATTGATCAGGATTTAATCTCCTTATGTCATATTATTAAAACTTTCTTAAAAATATTGTTAAATTAGGAAAAAGTTAAGCAACAAATTTATTGACTTAAATGAATGACTTTGTTGAATGAATTGAATGTTGGAAATGGATTAAGTTTGATTTTATAGCCATATGAATATTTCATTTTGAATGTACTCCTCGCTATTTCCCTCAGTGAATGCATGTGAAAGAGGGGCTGGGGCTGGGCTGGTGAAAGTGAGTTATTCTATTCCCTTGTCGTTGTCTGACATTTGTGTGCTGTCTGTCCCCTATCTCTCTAACTCTCCCAACCACCATTCCCTTGCCCATTCCTACTCCCACTCCCAATCCCGTTCCACTTGTCCGCGTCCCAAGGCAACTAGCCAACTAAACTGTTTTCATTCGTAATGCGATTCTGTCGCATTTGTGTCTCCGTGGAAGCCCCCAATGGGCGCGGGATGTCGGTTGGGTGAGTGTGTGCCTGGGTGTGTGCCCAAACTAATTAAATGGCGCTAAACATGCCGCCCGACATCCTGGCAAGTGTGGGTCCAACTCCGAGACGGAGCTCCGCACTGATTTCCTGCCGGCGTCCTTGTGAAATTGTGCGGATTAAACGATTTCAATTTAAATTTAGCAAACTTTTCGCAGCGAATGACTAATTGGAATCGTCTTGTTTTGCAGGTTGTTAGGGCCGCCAGTCCGGCTCTGTTACGGGTGATCGCCTTGGGTGCATTCTTCATTTACTGCACGGTAAGTAAGTTGCATTTGCAACAAACTGCAACGGATTAGTCAATCGACTGCATAGCAATTTAGTTTCAATTGAATGGCATAATCAATGGCGAATGCTCGCTTTCACAGCAAGCCGAATTAATTAAGAGCCATCGCAGTGATGCATCCGATTTATTTCGCCAGCCGAAATGAATCATTTTCCGAGTCCGTTCAGCATTATTACAGCTCAATGAAGGCGTTCGGGAGGGCAAACGAAGCCATAAATAGCCGCAAATAGCAAATAGCTAAATTTGCATTCAGTGAAAAATGAGATAGAAAAGCGTTCGGCAAACACAACCGCCACTCGAAACCGAACTCGAGCTCGAACCCAATTCCCATCAATTTCTACACAATTTAATTTGATTGATTTATGGCTGGCGTAGGAAACTAATGGGATGCCGGCCAAATAAACAACTTTAAGCGAGAGTTCATCGAGCATCCGGCGAGCAGCAGTTTGGGGATTTATTTATGTGTGGCAGATTTATTTAGCCACCATGAGTATCTCTTGACGACCACACAATGGACACAGGACGAACATCATCAGGCTGAAGATGAGGTTTAGGTTGAGGATGAGGATGACGACGAGGGTTCCTGTCAGCAGAGTTTGCTTTATGATTTTTTAATATGTGCAAGGCGTGAAGAAAACCGAAAATAGAAGCCAATATAAGCGTGCGAATAACCTATTGTCCTTGACAGCCGGCTATATCGAAGTAGGCCCATTGTCACACGTGCTTCTCGGCTTTATTAAACGGCGGTCTGAGTGGCAAGAGTGACTTTGGTCTGTTTTTGCTATATAACAGAAAAACTTAAGAAAAATAAATGCAGAATAAGGATATACCTTCTCCTTTCTTATTTATTTATTAACTGATTAATTTTATATTCATATTTTAAAATCTTTTCCCCCCAGAACATAGTAATGTATCCCAATCCGAATCTTTACACCTGCACCGCTCGCATTTGGCTGCGCGAGATTGGATTCTCGCTAACCTACGGAGCTCTAATGCTGAAAACCTGGCGGTAAGGCGGTACAACCCTCAATACACATTCATATCTCTGATTCCGATGCTATAACCCTCAGGATATCTGTGATATTCCGAGTTCGTTCAGCGAAGGCTGTGAAAATCACTGATGCCGCCCTGCTAAAGAGACTGGGCATCATCTGCGGAGCCATTGGAACCTGCCTGCTGGTCAGGACACTAGTATCCCCGCCAGACGTGGTCGTGGGACGCACTGCCGACGACCTGAAGGCCTTCCTCTGCAAGACCGACTGGTGGGACTACACCTTCACATCGAGTAAGTTCGGCATATACCTAAAGCAATATGGCTTGTTGGGCATTCCACAGGCCACTTGAAGGTAGCTTTGTCTTCTCTGCTAAAGGGGAAAAAGATGGCAGAACGAACAACTATGTCCTCATAACGCATACGCACTGTTGGCTAAGAAAAAAGAAAGCCAACGGAGAAATGAGAAACGCAAAAGTGCAGCAGCTTGAAAACGTTGCCTGGCCAACATGCAGCTTAAGGCACAGTGGGACGCACACCTGCTGCTCCTGTTAGTTCTCCACCAGCATCAATATTTTCCCTGTTTTTTGTCTGGCTTTCGAACTCCGTTTGCCCTCCTTCCAGATGTCAACCACCAAGGAGGTTAGGGTGGACCATGTTGTATATAAACGGAAGACTTTATGAAAAATATTAAGTGTAGGAGAAAAAGCAGAAAATGAGATATATATAGCCTTAAAACTTATAACTTTTTCACATTATAATCTATTTTCACTACCCCACCTATACCCACCCTAAAAGCAGCTTCAACACCACTTGAGAATACAACTATACACTTTTTCCGCATAACTGCGGTCCACTCTAATGTGCATATGAATGATTTTTGCTCTTTTGCAAACTGACTGGCGACACAGGTCCGTGCCATAAGCCAAGTTGGAGCAGTGGGAGAGTGGATTGACGGGAATGACTGCAACCCACTTGCCAGCTGGCTTGGCTTAATTAAAAAAGTTGGTAAAGGACTCGAGTGCTTCTATCTGCATTTGTTCTCCGTTCTACTGCCACACACGCACAACAATTATCGCTGATTCTCGCGCTCATCACGCACTTTGGCAGTGCCAGCTGCTAAATAACTTCATTTGACTTGGCTACAACCCAGAGCGCGTATTACATTTATAATTGCATGCTTGAACATTTCTCCCGAAAAACTACTTTTCCGCGGGCAACATGCATATTCATATTCCATGCCAAGCGGCGAGAGCCAAGAAAAAAGCGGATTCCGGCAGCCATGAAAGTGAAGTAGTGCTACCCTCTCTTGCTCTCTCTCTCTCTCTAAATATATATATAAATGCAGATGAGATATATAAGTATATAGCTTCTATATAATATAGATAATAATATTGTGGTTGCTCGCGGGCAGCCGTTTTGCGGTTTTGGTAATTAGACTTCAAAGTGAAGCTGGGCAGCCGTCGAAGTGCGGCAAAGAACTAATCCTTTTCTACACTTTTTTTTCATCCGTTTCAGTGGAGGTCCTGTTCCTGGCCTGGGGCGTTCGCCTGTGCATCATGGTGCGGAAGGCGCCCTCGGAGTTCAACGAGAGCCGCTTCATATCGATGGCCATCTACAATGAGTTCCTGCTGACCTGCTTCCTGAACGTGTCCATGTGAGTTATTTTTAGGATTCAAGTTAATGGGCAATGCTTAAATATATTTTCCCCACCATGAAAATATGCATTTTCATGTTTCCCAGAAACATTAAATATTCATTTTAAATGAATTAATTTTGTACAAAACTATTTGTTTTACCCGAAATTTTGTTCAACAACAAATTCCCTGAAACTTTCGAATGAGCTTTGACCACACATTTTGATTTTGCCAGAAAAATAACTCAGATTTCCCCCAAGGCTGAAAAAGGGTGATTCCCAGAACTAGTTGAGATAGTTTTTCAAGGGAAATGCCCTTTGTCTAACCATCCATTTTGATTTACAGGCTCTTCCTGCAGTCACCAGCCAATCCGGACTTGCTGTACATAATCTTCTTTTGCCATACTCAGCTGACGGTGACCCTGCTCCTGGCCCTAATCTTCGGCAGCAAGGTGAGTGTCCTTGTGAACCCACTGTTTTGGCTTTTTCCTGATCCCAGATCCCATCCCCACTTTGGCGCAGGTGTACATCGTGCTGCGTAGCGGCAAATCGCATCAGGAGAACATCGGCCTGGGCAACAAGGCATCGGGGGCCAAATTCAATTTTCGTCCTCAAGTGCGCACCTTTGCCAATCCCAGCTCGGTAACCACTTCCACGGTCCCAGTGGCGGGCAACACGTCAGCAGGTGAGTGCTTGTGCTTGTCCAGCTTTCCTCCAGCGATAGCGGGCAATTGCCCCATTTGTCCTAATGGTCCCAGCGTATCGACGTTTATGACAAACGACGGTGTCCACTTGACAGATGATCTGTGCAGAGGATGTACTGTCCTTCGTAGCACTGACGGAAATAAAGTGCAGTCTTGAGATCAAAAGTGATATTTATACTTTACTCTGAGCATAATCTTGGTTATAAAGTGGCTATATTTAACCATGTTAATGCAGAATCCAATAGCTTATTCCTTACAATAATTCGTAATATAATATAAAAAATTATTTATAAATCAGATAACTCTTAAACTGGAGAAACCTGTTCAAAAGTTTTTCCCGAGTGCCGTGTCGATGAAGTCCTCTCCTCCGTTGACGTTTATTTATGGCGTATTATTCGGCAAATTAAAAAATGAGCGGGACAGGCGGCGTCAGTGGCACGCTTATCGCCGCTGTCTAGACATGAGCCATGCCACATCCAGTTGACAGCCTCGGATGCTGATTTATGGCCCGATGCTGATGCTGATGTTGCTCCGCAGCAATCTTGGCTGTGGTTAACCCGGGTTTCATGTGTGTGTGTGTGTGTGTCGAGTATGTCCGTGTTTTCACGGAAGGAAGCAGCTCCAAAGAGCAAACTTCCGCCAAGTTGCCGCCGACGCCATATTTGTTTATCGCTTCGCTGGCTTTGATGTATAAACAACTATGTGAACTCCCGGGGGGCGAATCTTCACGAGGTCGAGGCAGTCAAGTAGACCATCCAGCCAAGCAACCACCCACCCATCTCTACCAAAGGTGCACTCCCTTTTCCGTAACCCAGAGAAATTTTGATTAGCGTGGGGCAACTTTAAAGCTGTGAAGAGTCTGTAATTGAACTAGGAAATTAAGCAGATGCCACGGAAACGGGAAGCCAATAACTTTTGATTAGAAACTGCAATCGAAACCAAAGCAAACTTTCAAAATCAACACTGAGTTTCGATTAAACGTTTAGAAGTTAGTGAAGTGAGAAAGTATTTTGGGTTTCGTCTTCTAGCTATTTTAATTTGAGCAATTTTAAATAAATATTAATTTCAACATAAGAGCAAACAAACTCAATTTCCAGAAAATAATCTAATTGAATGGAAATGGAAAATATTATGGCCTGCTCTGACCATTGATTCAGTTTAAAAACATTTTGGAGTGGAAATGAAATAAGAGAGAAACGAATTGTTTTTAAATGTCAGACTAAACCTGTGATTTATTTTGCCTCTTTCTATAAAAACTGATAGAGAGAAACCTTGATTTATTTGCATTTAAATATAAATTTATTTAAAAATATAAAAACCTGCAGCTCAGAAAGCATTTCCCCCCCGGATTGCCCGAATTAAAGCTTTCCTTCTAAATTTAATGAGTTGGGGGGGAAAAGAAGAAAATGAAGTGCCATGAAACTCATTTAGAAAGGAGGTAATTTTCGTTGCTGGTTCCTCTTGGCCATTATTATACCTTTTTGCCAGCCATTGTTATCTCGGAGTTTACTATTCGTTTTCATGGGGAACCTTTTTAATTTTCTCGGAACGTTGAAGAAAAAAGCAGTTTATGGCCAGAGAGCGACGCTTTATGTTTTAATGCTTTATAGGCTCTCGGTCCGGCAGAGGTTTTTATTTAATTTTTTATTACTCGTATTTCTATTTTGACACAAAACGTAACGCATTTCGGTGGCTGCGTAAATTGTGCGTTAAATTTGCATTTTTTTTTTGTGTTGCCACTCGGCATTCGGCCTTGTCTCTGCTTTTTGCCGGGCGAGTTTTTAAGCGGCTCTCAATTTGCATATTTAAATTGAACAATCACAAAGTAGCAAACACTCAGCCGCCCTCACACACACACACACACTCGTTTACATGGCTGTGTGGCGAATTTTAAATATTTCGCGAGCAGAGAAAAGGAATATCGTGTTGCATACCAAGAGGGGCACACATAATAAATTCAATTTTGGCCACTGTCGACCGCTCCGCTTGCTTAATTTCACAGCCATAAATCTAAATTCAACGGACAATGGGGAACAAGAAATCAGGGTGCTTTTAATACACTTACCGGAAACAAGGGTCACAAAGCCTCCTTCAATCCGTCAAGGAATTCCCAAGCACTCCTGATTTCACAGAAGAGAAGGAGAGAAAAATGTTCGGTTTTAAATTTATTTGTTTTTCTCCTCATTATTCGGAAGTTGGTAGCGAGTTCGTTTTGAGTGGACGTGGCTTAAATCATACCGACAGGCTTTCAACTGAATTGAATGGCCATTTATCATTCCGCCAGCGAAGGGGAAGTCTGCCACTTTTCCAAGCCCAAGTCAAAGCCACAACAGGGTCCAACTTTCCCTTCCACTTTTCCTGCCACTTTCCTTGCCACTCTCCCTGCCACTTTCCATTCCACAGAGGGTACAAACATTACGCATTTAAATTTGTGGTAGGTCCTGGGGAGGGGATGGGTGGTGTGAAACTTTTGACATGGACGGGCAACTTTTTTAGTGCAAAAGTTGGCAGCAAGGAAACCAAGAAGCGGCGCTTTTTAACGCGGCATGAAAACACTGTTCCCTTTTATTCCGGCACTTACCAAGTCCAGATCGCATCTCCTCCACCTTTGTGGCGACGTTTGGCCAACCCTTTTGGTTGAGAGACGTACTAACTCCTAAGCAACATGACTTAAATTTAAAAGAAGTATCAACCTTTGATCAAATCCCATTTTTTCATTCCCCCAGAAACAAAGCTGTCCGACCAGGAGGCCCTGGAGGAGATCCGTCAGCTGAGCATGCAGCTGCAGCGGATACAGGAGATGGCTCCACCGAAGGGCGTGGCTGTGATGACTATCTCCAGCCTGTTAGATGGCCTGAAGACGCCAGGCGGCCTGATGGTGGTGGCGGCGGCGGCAGGAGCCACTGCCCATGGCCACTCGGCAGCCACCCGCCAGAGCGCCCTTCCCCTTCTCGCCCTGAACGTGGAGATGCAAAAGTACAGCCAGCAGAACAACAACTCGAATGGGAGGAGTGCTAGGACTAGTATACCCACCATGGTGCTAGAGACCCCGCCCAGTTCGACGCCCCCGTCAGCGGCCTACGAAGAGCGGGCCATGAATACAGAGCTAAGTGGCGATGATTTCCGGGAGCAGCTGCTGCGGCGGACGGCCGATGGCCATATCATCTGCAGTCGCTGCCTGGACGCGTCCAAGGAGCACTACTACTGCTGTCCACCGCGCAGCGCCTGCGATCATCTGGGCTCGCCAAAGGACGAGGGCAGCCTGAGCTTCGCCAACATCAAGCTGGAGTGCATGTGCTCCCAGTCGGATGACCTCGACCAGGATCAGGGCCAGCGCCAGAGGAGGCCCACGGTGCGAACGGCAGCCACCAACACTCCGCCGACCAGCTGCAAACGGGCTCCCAGGAACCTACTGGAGGCCGAGCTCAGCATTTCGTATCAAATTTGTGATAACTGTAGAAGTAAGTACAAGTTAACTGGCCGCCGGCGGAGTGGCAGTTACTCCCAGGCACAGGCGAATCCCCAGCTGGGCCAGCAGTCCAGTGTTCAGGTGCAGATCCAATCTCGCAGCAGCGAAGTCCTCGACCACACCACCGCTGTTGAGGTTGAGGGCGAGGCGAGGACCAAGGCGGCCCACTCTACGGACGACATAGTCCTGTACACCAGTTCCAGTGCTGAGAAGATGGAGGAGATCGAGGTCCAGGGCCAGTTGGCCGAGCCCGCGGCTGCACCTTCCCTGGGCAATGTGTCCAACCACTCGAACAATTCCACCAGCGGCAGTGGAGGGACCACTCGTCCCAAGAGGCCAGACAAGTTGGTCCTGGACCTGAACGATCGGTCCAAGTACACCAAAGAGGTTTCCGTGTAGAGAGAATGAGTTTTGGCCAGCAAAGCAAAGGTGTTCGACGGAGGTTATGATTTCAATGGGATGCTATTGATTATTTATCCATCTTTTCTAAGTTCACTTTAACTATTAACCAAGGGTAAAACTCTGTTTCAGAAACATAAAAGCCATGTTGAAGGGTATGGTTTTGGAGTTAGCTCCTCCATTCCAACCCGAAGTTGAGAATCTGTCGAACAGTTTGGGCATTGTCTGGCGGCAATCAAAAATGTTTTATGCTTAGGCCAGATTATCAAAGACTTTATTAATTATATTTGTACAACTAACTAGATAACTGATTGATTTAGCTAAATATAGTGATTAAGTAAGTGGAGGCTGAAAAACACGCGATTTCAATGAAAGTGCTGAAGAGACAGGAGCGATATGCGATTTGCATTGCTAAGCAAAATGATTTGCAACTATAATGAGCCCCAGAATGTTGTGAATTCATTGAATTTGGCAAACAACAAACAAGAATAACAACAAATACCAAACAACAGCCGCACGCGCGAAAGTCAACAACACATTTTGTTGAAAGTCATGTGTTTTGGGCGGAATAATAATTAAATTTACATTCATGTATGTAGATAATTAAATCTAAATTGCTTACTAATTGAAAACTACAGCGAGTCATTTCCAATGAAAATGATTTACACACTCACAATGATGATGATGATGATGCTGATGGTGGTGGGTGGTGGTGAAATGCATTTGCTGTTATATTTACCAAGCCATGTTTAAGTGCCGATCTATTCAAAATGCTAGCCCAACCACACACATACACTTGTAAAATAGCTAATGAAAGTTGATGTGAACTGTAAAATACACATATCTCCTTTAAACTCACACAATACCTTCCGACTAAATATAGTGGATAACTAATTGTAGTTACAATTAAGCATTAATTAGCTGTCGTACACTTAGCCGCAATATTATAAATATTTCAACACCCCTTTGCCCCCCTTCCCCCCAACAAACATTACATTTGCGAATCTGTGTTGCCGCTTGAACAGAAGGAAAGTAGGGAAAACACACAGTTCGAGAATCTATGTACTGTAGTTAAGCGTTGATGTTATTGAGTTGGAAAAATGTGCATTAAATGCGTTTGTTTAAAGCAATCCAATAAAAGGCGAATCTACTGAATGTACCTCCTCCTTCTGGTAGCAATCTGTATCTCGGTGGAATGTCACAAGGTAATGGTAGAAAAACGATTCATTTATCGTTTATCTCCTAGCAACTTCATTAAGTATACGCAGCGGGGTGCGGACTTGACATGCATTTCGGGGTGAGTATTCTAGAGAGTCTGCACTGGGAAAAAGGCTGTCTTAAAGGATGAAATGTCTCTGAAAAGGCAAGGGTTAGCTATATTTTCTAGCTTGTTTCAGGCAAAGAATGTTTCTGGTAGAAACCCAATAGAATTTCCCTTCAGTGTATCTATCTATCTACCGACGACAGTAGATGAAAAGTGTTGGCGCCTTTTTGCGCTTTATGAGCACGTTATGGTTTTTATCTTTATGGACATGCCTGCGTGTGACCCTTTTTGCCATTTTCGTCTGCCATTCCAGGAATGCCTTTTCAACTCCAACACACGCCTTTGCTCCTTGCCAAGGCTACCGCTTCCGAGGAGACGTTAATTTAAATGTTTTACAGCCTCATCGGATGTTGTTTTGTTTTTCGTTTTCGTTTTTGTTTCGTGTTGTTTCTCTGTTTGTGTATCAAATTTAACTTGAGCAACTTTAGTGTTGTTATCAGCCCCAAAAGGACATCCCGGATGCGTGTGTAGGCGTGTATTGAATTTTAAGCACTCGCCCAGGAAAAGTGAAAACTCATTTGGCGCGGCACGTTCCCAGCTCCCACTTGCCAGAGCTCTCTTTAAATTGAATTTCAATCATTACACCACATCGGATATTCCACAATAAATATAAAATATTCAATATATATATATATAGATACCAAACGAGTCTCATCTTCGCAGTTCGAGCACGTGACAACATTAATTAAACTTTCAGCATATGCGGCTGTCGCCTGCCACGCCCCCCACAATCGGAAAACTCTGGGCGCAAGTCGAAAAACCTGCTGACATAAGCGCAGACGTAATCGAGGCAGTTTTCGCCCTGGAGCCCCGTCGACCCAAACAGATTTTTATTTTCACTTTTATTAACTTTACAATGGCGCTGGATCGCAAAATATCGCCATTTATGGGAACATTTATCTGGATTTTCCTTTTTTTTCCTTTAACTATTTTTCATTTGATTGCCACGCAAAACAAAAGCAGTTGAGTAGAGTGTTGTCATGGCAGTTCGAATCCGGAGAGCAATTATTTAAAGCGTTTAATGGGAAATATTCGATTGATGTTGGGGAAAAAATGTGAATAACTGATAACTGAATTCCGAGGGATTTAATTGCATTAATTAGTGTTGGCCAAATATTAGTTTGTAAATTTCATAAAATAACTTAGCATAGTTCATTTCCCAAATATTTATTGAGTTTTATCCCTCAGACTAACTTTATTAATTCTAAATGACTCACAATTAAAGGGTTTTACCCCATTTTTAGCTTGAATTTCCTTTCTGGCATTCAGATTACCTTTAAATTTCATTAAACTTAATGGCTGGGGGCCATTGGCTGACTTACTTTCACTTTGGAGCTTCGAGAAGTAGCACTAAGAGCGTTTAATTAAACGCCTGTTGCAGAAGCCGACTCACCAAAAAGTCGGAGGTAAAAACTGGATCATAAATTTCAAAGCGATTTGAGTGACGGAGCCAGGACGAGGTTGGCAGGACTGGGGCAGAGGCCTTTCACCATACAAAGAAAATGGCACTTACCAGAAAACACAAATTGCTTTTCTTTCTGCCGCCTGGCTGGCAATTGCAAAATCTTGAGCCCAAATTTATTTTGCAGCCGATGCTGGTCTTTGATGGCCAACTGCTTTGTTTCGGGCCTTGGGTCCTCAGAGCAAGTGCGTTCCTTAGCATTTCAAGGATTTTTTCCATCTCTTAATTACGGCAATAAATGCCAATGGCAATTTCTTAGGCATTAAATAAGAACATGTTAACGACCTGGCAAGCCTTCAAAAAAGTGCCTTCGAATAAAAACGAACTCCGCAGACTCCTTCATACACACATGTCCCAAAAAACAAAGCCCCGAAACAGGGGGGAGTTGGGCGGCGACATGGCCATTGAGTAACAGGCTGCCGGCAGGGACACGTGCTGTTGGGCGTGGAGCCAATTAAAATTAAAGGAGCCTCCTACGGCAGTGGATCTTCGTGTATGTGTGTGTGTCTTGTTGTGTCAGAAACCAATAAAATAAAATTGCTCAACACCTTATTAACAGCAGCTGGCTCAGAGCCGAAAAGAAGCAAAACGGCCTAAATGGGCTTACAAGCTTTCCAGTTTCTTTCCCTTACTGCCTCTTTGTAGATTTCTAACTTCACATAGCCTAGTATCTAATTAAATTTGTAAGTTTATTGTTTAGTTTAAAAACAAAACGGAGCTTAGTTGGGCAAACATTGCTGATAAATCCAATACGACCAAGATCCACAAATATTCGTTTAATCAAACTACGTGCTCTTTATAATTGCTGCCAGCATAAATACTGCCACTAAGGTGAAAATGATAATAATGGTAATCCGTACTGTCTTTGCGGCCCACGTGTCCTTGTTCTCGACTTGGTCTGGCGGACAGATTACTGTCGTCGGTGGGTTGGGATTCATGGTCTCTTCTCTGGAGAATGGTGTCGGGTATGGTATCCAGCCCATTGCCTCGTCATAAGAAGGCGGGGGTGTTGCGGGATGCACTTGATGAGGAATAAACATCGTCGAACTCATTGCAACTTTGCATCCAAATTTCAAGGCAGAGGAGTGACTTTACGAAATCTTTCTCCTAGTGGCACATTTTCAACTTCTTCCGCCTATGAATCAACGCTCTGGACTTTTACGAGTAAATTTTAGATTTAAGAACTTGCTAGCAATGAAAAATAGACAACCTCTTAATGTGAGAACTTGAATCAAACTGAGTTCCAAAACGAAAATCCGCTGGCCATTTCTGATAACAGAATTTTATGCGTACGAATTTATGGGCATGTCCGACTTATACAATAAATCCCGAGATTGGGCATTGAATGCTGTGACCATTCGGTTAAACAATATGTGAGATTAACTTCCTCTCCTAAAGAAATACTGATTTATTATCTGAATTCGGGTGTAGGGTATTAGAAAGTCTGGTTTACACGACACTCCCGACATTACGTCACTGGAAGGGTCTTGTTTATTTGAGATTTTCAAGCCTTGAGTCATGGACTTAGAAGTTGATAAGAACTTTTATTATATGTAACTTCTCTCTTATAAAACTACTTAAGTCTAATATTTTATTTCCAGAGCACGCACTGCTAAGATGCTCCCGATGGATCGAAAGACACGCCTAGCAGTAGGGACTCTAGTGATAGACCAGGTTAGAATTACTCAAGATGCAGGAGATCAGGCAGCTTCCTGGGGAAACTTGCTTCGACTGGTCTCTTTGGTTCCCAGATGGGCTCTTCCGTTCTCCAAGGCTTATAAAATCTTTGTTGATGACGGTTATAGACTGCAAAGTTCGTATAAGTTGATAGTAAAAGTCGAATTTCCAGCTGGAAGAATCCAAGCTTTGAGTAAACAAACTCTCTGTACTTTCAAATTCGAGTTCTTGAGGACTTTTGATAAGCTTTTTTAGAAACCAAAAGCTTAATAAATACTACAAATTCTAAAAATGCTTCTAACAAATAAAAAATTCTTGCCCAGATATTTATCAACGCCAGCAGTACATCTTATTCCCCTATCCCAAGGCCTCTGCCTCGAGTGTTTACTTCGCCTATCAAATCTCAATCAAGAAGGACCTCAGCCTGATTGTTGTCTTTACATATTGATATTAATTGCTTTTTATTGTTTGTGTCCTCTTGCCCTGTCAAATATGTGGGGTCAGTGAAAAGTTTTTGCCAGATCCCAGGGAAATCCGTTTTGCAAATGCTGCAAAATGTTTTGCAAATATTCCAAGGATAGTTGAGCACACGTCTGAGTCTCCCTTTCATTCGGCTGGCAGTGAGCTTGTGTAAATATTTATATTGCATATAAAATGCGCTCTAAACTGGGCTAGGAACCCGCTCTGCCAGCTCTCCCAGCTCTCCCAGCTCTGCCAGCTCTCTCCCAGCCACCTATTCAATGCAAATGGACTTCCAACGGACATTGAATTTTATGCCCCAGCCAGATATGAAGTGGCAAAGTTTCCCTGTGTTCTGGTGTCTGATATGTGTAATATGCTCTCCGACACTTCAAGCCACGCACTGACACACACACTAACGCACACTGGCCCAGAGCACCCACACAATTGCATTTATGTGCACACGTGAATTGCATTAGAAAGTTGCCAGCACATAAACTAAATCTGCCTCAAGTGCAGGGATCCCAGTCGCAAGGCTGACAGGAACAGGAAACGACAACGACAGGATTTCGAGGTGCGGTCGAGGTAGGGCCAGGGCCAGGACATTTGCATTAGGGATGAGCCCGTGATCTCTGGACAGGATTAACCATAATATTTTAACAGAGTGTGGTCAGTGAATTAAACATATATGAGAGGAGAAGTAGAGAAATTTACTTAAGACTAGAAATTTTGCAGGATTTCTTAGATTTGTAAACCTTTCTGTGGGAAAAATAAATGATGAAAAGATAGAAATTAATTATAAAAAGGCAGTCATTTTGCCAAGTGTATAACCACGGTAAGTACAAGCACACTTACACCAAATTGAGCATGCAACTCAATCAGATTTATTGGGTAACTTGGTGGTATGCAGATGCTGGAAGAACATATTCATTGCCACTCCTGGATTTCCATCTCTAAGCGGCAAATTCAGCCATTCGTTGGCCCTCCGAATGGCGTGGCCCATTCGACTTTAGTTCCTGCGCTTACTTACGTTTACTTTTGCGTATACGCTTACGTTTACGTTTGGACGTGGTTGACGTGTCAGTTACAAGAAGCAATTGTGCAAATGTGTCGGCTACCGTTTTTGGGATGAGATGTGCGATAAGCGCCGAGTGCTAGGATGGAGCTCAAGCTCAGGGGTGAGGATGTGAATGTGAGTCGGCAGCTGGAGATTGAGATAAAAATGGGAAACTTTGCTGACATCAAAAGTTGCAAAGAGACAAACGTCGTGCGAATAGTAGTTCCATGTTGGCCCTGCCAATCTGGCTGAAGTCGTGCCTGCCTGGAGGGCTGAAAAGAATCCGGCTCATTGACTCATTGGCTGCATATGCTCCGGGCTCTCCTCCGGATTTCGTTCGGTTAAATCCGCTCTTAAAGCCACCATTAAATGTAGAGCTGCAAGAGCATGTAGGGAAAACCCCCTTGAGTGCCCTCAGCTCAAAGGTTATGTCAGTAAATGAGAGTTTAACAGCAGGGACGAAGTGGAAGACGAGAGTGCCAATTACTGCTTCACTTACCTTTGAGGGCCCGCTTTGCCCGGCTTAAAACCCAACCAGATTGCCCGAGATCAGCCTTTGTAATATGTAGTTCTGTTTTTATTACTTTCCCATCGGCATAAGGACAAATTATTGCGCTTCTAGATGGAGTCATTAAATTAAGTCACTTCAACTACGTATACTTAATTTTTTGTCATGCTCAGTTTTTACGGCCAGCACACAGATATGTGGCGGAGTAAAAAGAAATGCTAAATTGCGCCGCATGTTATTACACTTTATGCCACAAAGTACTCGCCGCACAAAGCCAGGGATACCGCAAAGAGGCCTGAAAGATCCGAGCTGCGTACTACAGCTATCCAACATCCGCACTACAATTCGTAGCCACTTCCGCTTCCGGACAGCTCCACTTGGGCAAAGCCAACGAGCATGTGAGCAGCGGCTGCCGTGCTTTATGCTCCATCTTGCGCCGCATTTAACAATAAAAACGTGAATTGTTCGCAATGAAAAGCGCAAAGGCGGTAATAAAGCGAGCAAACAAGAAGCACACATGGACTATCAGCCCGTGTGTGTTAGTGCACTGAAAGAAACTGGGCACTACTGTAGTACAGTATAGCTTTTAGATAATAAGTAAGGCATTCAGCAATCTTATTCATTTTCTGGGACTTATATGAGATTATACTAAGTTTTCCTTTCCAAATTATACACAAAATTCTCCTCAGTGCGGGCTGGCGTGCTTTCCCTGCTCCTACCTAATTGCTGCACTCAAGAACAATACAGGTGTTTGGCCAACCGGAAGCCAGTCAGATACCCGCTCGAGCCGAGGGGGAATGCAGTTTGCGGGCAATGTTTAAGCCAATGACCATTAGCGCTCTCATCTCGGCACTTAAATCGAATGGGCAAACTGTTGGCAGCAGCTGCAGCAGCAGCAGAAAACTCCGTGATCGAGACAATGAAATACATTTACGGCATTAATTGCCCAAACGACATGAAAAGCAACTTGAGCAATTCACACAAAGCTAAATTAATCGTGGCACACGTGAAGAGGTTCATGCGTAGCGAAATCTCGAGATAATTAGGTTACCAAGGAGTAGAAAGAAAACTTAGGATTTGGCAACAATAATTTTGAAGATTTAGTTGATTTTTTAGAACATTTTATCATACATTAGTGACTAGTTTTCAATACCCTACTAATCTAATATAAGTTTACGATCTTCACCTCGTATAAACCCCAATAGATACGCCAAAAGTAACCTCAATACATTGTGTCCTGCCCAACGAGGCCTGAAATTAATTGAGAATGCCATCATAAACATGCCAAACGAGAAAATTTTAATTAATTCCCCAATTGCAAGAGCCCACCACAGACGTCATTTGTTCATTTGGCTACGACTGCGATTACCAGACTACGAATACGTTAACGAATTCCATTTCATTAAGGAACCATGTATCTTGTGTGATTTGTGACAGCTCTGTGCTGGCCAGCAGCACATTTAATCAATGGTGAATGGCCGGAGCAAGCGATGCAATTTGATATGCCCTGTCGAATATGCCCAAATTAGCAGAGACATGACATGGAAAACTGTGAGAGAGGAAAGCATGGAGAAGGAAAATGCGATTAGCCAGGAAGAGAGCAGCCATAAGTTATGTTTAACTATAAGTCTGGATCTGCAGTCGTAATTTTCTTGAAACTAATTACTTTGAAAACAGCAAAGATGCCACTTGACACAGTACTTCGCGCTATAACTCTTTCTCTCCCCAAACAGTTTTTCCTCCCAGCTTACCAGTTTTCCCGCTGCCAGTGCAATTGCAAGCGTGGCTAAATTAAATGGCTGACAAAGTGAGCAGCATCAGCACCAGCAGCCCGCAGCCCGCATCCCGCGGAGACCGGGGACCCAGACCAGAGCTCTCCTTTATATTCTGTCACCAATTGCAGCCGGCAGAAACAGAAGCTGGTGGAAATGAACGCAAGGACATGGACATGGACGTGAAAGTGGAAAGAAGAAAGTACAGAGTGGAAAGTGCCAAATGGCAACTGGCAAAAGTTGCAAACGGGCGGTGAAAGTTTGTCATAAATCAGAATATTTTAAAAGTGTTTGCCCTGGCAGAACAAAAAAAAATGTAACGAAGGATGTGAACTGCGGCAGTCATAAGCCAAGATTATGGCCGGAAACTTGTAGCCATGTCGAACAGAAACTATGATGGCAAAAAAATGGCAGTCTCCAAGGAAGCCAACTTGTTAGATCCTCGCTGTGGGGAAAAATTGGAAAGGAAATCTCCTTTAATTCGTAGATTGATAAAGTTTACACATTTCATTGCCAGCCAGTGAATTGCTTGACAGTGGCAAATATTTTACTAAAACAAGAAAGCTGAAAATCTAGCATTCACAGAAATATTTAAACGAATAAAAGAGAAATTCCAAGTTTAACAAGGTTTTCAAATCACTCATAAAAGTATGCAACATTGTCTTTCGCAAAGGATTCATTGTTGCAAATATATTGCTGCCTACTTCTAGACACCCTTATATATCAGAAAGGCTCTAGTAGAAAACTGATAAAGTAAAGCTTCTTCAAAAGGCGTATAATTCACAAGAAACGGATAATTCATCGCTTCCATTTCATTAGCCAGCGAAATGTAACTTTCATTACTTTGCAGACTTGTTGAGAGTCCGAAATAACCTGAGCGATTTCCTCAACTTTCTTTGACGGCATCATTATGCTCATCAGCACTTCGCTTTGCCCTCGACTGAGTGCACCTAATGCAACCATTTTAGCCCATCAGCCATGCTGAGTGACTCCGCCGTGCCTCCGCCGTACCTCCACCGACATTCCAGCTGGCGAATGCCAATTTAAATTCAAATGCAGACTCTGGCTTCGAGTTGGAATGACATCGGATGTCCAGTGATTTGCATTTGGTGATGGCAAGACGATGGCGATTGCTATGGCCATGGCGACGATCTAATCGACTTGGTCGGATAGTTTTCGATACCGCAGCAGGCGGCAGAGTCTGAATCAGATTCCACAACAGCTGACAACTCAAAGCCAACAAATAGACAGGCAAAACTTTGATTGACATTTCAATTAAATTAAAGCCAAACTCGCTGTCGCTGGCGGGGATGTTCCGAGTGCAGAAAGTTTTGCTAGCCGAATACGAGGAGATCTACGAGCCGGTGCTGGTGGAGAATCCCTTCACCCTGGTCGACATCCGCGGGGTGGGCCTGCGTCAGTATCACATAGGCCTCACCTGCAATCGCCTGCTCTTCGGCTGCGACAACTTCTCCAAATACGGAGATAAGCCGAGCTACCTGGCTCGCGGCTTGGATCCCGAGATCGAGAGCTTCGACCTGGCCAGCATGCTGCCGCTGCAGTTGATCCGGTTCCACTTCTTCCGAAAGGCCAATCGTTGCCTGATGATGTTGAACATCATCCAGCCCCTGGGAAGGCCCATGGCCATCTTGGAACACCCGATGGTCTTCGAGTTCGGTGGGCATATCTTCAAGCAGTACTTCTGGCACACCTGGCGCGAACGTGTATCCGCCATTCGGGTTATGCAGCCAGCCTACAACCAGATAACCGGCTCCTCACCCTTCTCCAGCACTGATGTCCAGCTGGACGAAGAGGTCACCGTGGCCCAGGTGCATTCTGCGCCCCGAACTCCCTCCATCTACAGTGCTTGCCATGTGGGAGGTGCAGATTTCGGCTAGCCAAGAGTTAGTAAGAGGCTTTTACCAGTTTCTATTTTCTATTAACAGATTGGGCCTAAAGGTTCGATTTTCTTGCAGGACCCAAAACTTTCACTTCAGACGGCTGTTTATTTATTTATGTTAAAAGCAATCAGCTCTTCCCACCTTAAGGACAGCTATTTTTGGTAAGTCAAAAATGGCGTTTTAAGCCCGAGGTGAAAGGACCACCCTCGTCGGGTCTTAGATATTTCCAGAAAATGTCACTGATACAAACTTAATTAATAGTTGTAAGTTCTAAGTTGTAAGTTATATTTGTATAATGTGAAATCTTAAGAAAATAATTTAATCAGAAATGATTTCCCACCTTCAAAGTTTTTCCCCACTGCAAACCATCCCCTGATTCCTCTATGATTTTCGTTATTGTTTGACTCCATTTCGGGTGGTTAATGCAATCAGCACGATGGCCAGAAATCCAGCCACAACAGGCGACCGAGCCTTCTGGTTTCGGCGGCTTGTCCGCCTGGTTGTTTATTTGGGAATGGGCTGGAATCGGGTTGAACACGGAGGGGTGGAGGGTGGATGACGACGAAAAAACGTTGTATTGATGTGCCCGGGCTTGCGGCTATTTTTTGCCTCCGAGCCACGTCCCCTCCGCTGCCGTGGGTCAAGTTAAACAACAAAGTTTTCAATTTGCCGACAAACTTAAGCCGCAACCACAGCATTTGTCGGGTATTTGTTGGAGGGAGGGGCTGAGAGAGAGCGGACTGCGGGAGCAGACTGGAGGCTAAGGCTGAGGCTAAAGCCTGGTGGACATGTCTGTCTCCGGGTGAGCGTGCAGCTGACACCAAAAATCAATTGCAATGAAATGCTGGCCAAATAAGAACAACAAGTCCTCATTGGCCGTATTTGGTTTAGGGCATTTAATGGTCAAAGTTTTTCAACTTGTCTGTAATTTATTTGATTTGCTTTGGCTTTCGGTTGTCGGTTGTCGTCGGCAGGGGTATATCGCCGCCTCCTCTGTGCTTTTGATAAATTACAATTTATTTAATGAAATGTGCGGAGTCCCGGGCGGCGCATTAATCATACGCCATGTGGTACGGCCCTACAAATACTCAAATATACTCAAACACTGGATGGAAATAAAAAGTATTTTAAATTCCACATTTTCGCTGCTTTAAAATCCTTTGCTGCCTAAGCTTTGCCACAAAATCCATTGGCATGGCAACGGCAATGCGAAAAGTTAATTAAAGGCCATGGAAAATGGCCTGGAGTCGAGTCAATAAAAAACATTTCAGCACCCTCTCTTTTATTTTTATTAATTTTTAATACACCTGGTGATGCTGGCAATTAAGCGCGGACCTGTTCAATTTCATTTAATTAGCCATAAAGGCGCTTAAAAAGGGGCACAGGCAGAGGCACAGCTCCTTGTCGCCAGTCGCTTCCCTCGGGCAAGAGACATTCAAAATTGAAATAGCTGCCGAGAATGTGCCAGCGGGCAGGGCCCCGAAAAGCCTTGGGCTGTTGGCTTTCGAGTTCTGCATTCTAGGCATTCCGGCTTTGTTACTCATTTCTCCCATATACTCATATATTTTATTGGCTTGCGGAGCTCAAAGCATCTAAACAGCCACATCAAAGCGTCGTGAGTAATTGCTTCTGAAAAATTTGAATTTTGAACGCCGTTCGGCTGACGGCGGCGTCTGCAACTGGCCGTAGGAAAAATTTCATTTCAGGCACTCGCCTACGAAATTCATTGACAGCATCGATAAGTAGATGCTAGACATTTTTGCCGGGCCCCCACTGCGTATACGCAATGCTGTCAATGTTACTCTGTGTGCGTGTGTGTGTGTGTGAGTGTGTGCTGGCCATATTTCATTAGGAAAACACACGGCACAGCTCATCATCACATCGCACATTCGGAGCTTTAAACTCGGCATTTAAGGTGACATTAAAGCTCGACCCGCATGCAGCTTAAGTCGACATTGATGGATGAGTTTCACATTTATTGAATTCCAAGAGGCTGTCAGTGTATGTGTGTGTGTGTGTGCCTGGCAGTACACACATACGCGTACTCATATGTAAATTCGTGGGCTTAATGGCTAAATGCGGACTGGTATATCTTTGCATAAATCGAATTTATCGCTCGGGGACATTTTAAAGAACATTTCAGAATCACTAAGTTGCCTTTGATTGCCTTAACTTTGGCTCGCTTATCGGTTGGTCTTAACAAATTTCAGATTTTTGGGTCAAACTTGATATTTAAATAGTTTGTTTTCTCTTTTCAGTTTAACGGGCCTAGCCAGGTAACTTAACTGAAGGTTAAATGGGGTATAATTCATAGTTCGACATGGTTCTGTTAAATTCAAAACACTTTTTACGGTCATTAAGTGATCTGACACACTCGCCTTCACGAGTAATAAACAATTTTTAAAAAGACTTACATGTTCTTTTTTTAGTTTCCACTCACTTGCAATTGCTTATCATTCTCTCGGGGAATCTAAATGCTTATCAAGAATGTGTTAAGTCGGAAGTCTCTCCAGCTCACAGCTTCCACAAAATCATTATTACGCTCTTGATTTCGAGGAATGCTTATCAAAGTTGCCCAGAGCTCAGCAATGCAAGTCAAGCCAGTCAGTTCACTTCAAGCTTTCTTCACAAGTGGTTGCCTTCTTAAACTTGCAATAAATGAATGCTTTCATAACAATTTATAGTTAAAAGTTGAAAGTTCAATAAAAAGTTTATTACCTAATCATGCAAGGAATATTGTATTCTTCAAGTGTATAATGAATCACCCATCACTAATCGAGAGCTCAGCAAAGCAAATGCAACAAATTAGTTTGTTTCCAGCTCTTACATAACGCGGTTATAGAACTATTTGAGCTCAAAAAGACTCATTAAAAACCTAAAAAGCAAGTTTAAGAAAGATTCAACATGAATTTTCTGGAGTTGCCATTCGAGAGGCCTCTCACACCGCCACCTTCGTATCAGGAGGCCATGGGCTGGGTGCCACCGCCATCGACAATGGGAAGTACCGCGACGCTCATACCGCAAGATGCCACAGCCCGAATCTCGGTGTCCATGATCTGTCCGTTGTGCCAAGAGGAGATTGAGACCACCACAGTAATCCGGCGCGGAAGGATTGCCTACGTAGCCTCGGCCTTAGTTATCTTTACCACGTTCGGGCTGGGATGTTGGCTCGTCCCTTGTATCATGAAAAGCTTCAATGAGGTCCACCACTCCTGTCCCAGCTGCAAGGAGAGCCTGGGGAATGTTTCTCTATAGGATTAGTGATCGAGAAAAGTGATAACTTTGCTTTGCATTTATTTATATAGACTCCACTGGATTCGCTTTACCCGCTCAGCTGTGCTTAATTTTATATTGTAACTTTAGCTAAGAGTACTTAAGAATAAAATGTGTTAGTAGTATTATAAAAATATATATATAAAGTACAATACAACGTTGATACTAAGAAATTTGTAATCAATTCTTACTAAGTTTTGCCTTTATACAGCAATCTTGTATGTATTATTATTATTTTTAGGCTTCTGACTAAGATGGTCATGGGCAGTTAAGTAGAGACTAAAGGATTCCATTGAACTTAAAGGCAACACAAGGAGAGCAAGTGCTTTTAAGAATGGCAGATTGAAACCTCTTCCTCACCTCCCTTGCTCGTGGACTAATTGAATTTGATTTTTACCGGCGGCTGGTTCAAGTTTTAAACGAATCGAGACGTGCCAGGCATGCCAACGGTCCCTCCCCCACTGACCGCAAAAGAGGTGACCCCTCGGCTGGAAGGCTTAAGGCCCCTGTTGAGGGGATTTCCCCTTGGTTGTTTGGCAGGCGGCGGCTTTCATGTGGTTGCACCCACCGAACAAACAGAGAGCGTGCGACAGGAACTTATAAAGCAAACAGTTTGTCGCATGCCTGAAAAATCGCTGCATCCTATTTGCTTTTGTGTCGAGTGTAAGGCGACTGCCGGGGAGTAAGTAAGTGCTGTTAATGCTTTGATAGAGATGGCAGGGAATCCTTCCTTTTTCCTTTCTTCAAGCACACCAACACACTTACAGGTGCCCTTAAACCAACGTCAAATTTATTGCATACTTTGCAGGGCGTGCATTAGCGTGGCAACTCGTCACGTCACAAGGCTCCCTTGAACAAAAAGCGCGGCTAGAAAATGGGAAAACGCCGGGGGAAGCGCGTGAAAGAGAAACAAGTGCGGAGATAGTGCAGAAAGCCAAGAGGAGCCAACAGGAGACGTGACTTGGCCCTGGCACCAGTGTCCCTGCTGCTGATGATGATGATGGTACTCCTCATGATGGCCACACATCAAGTCAAATGGCAGCCATTAAAATTTTGCCCCACAAAGACTTGGCCAAAAAGGCAACTGTCATCGGAATAACTTACTCAAAAACTTCTATGATCTGCAACATAAAGTTAACAGCCTTTAAGTTCTCCATTTTCCCATTTACTAATTCTACATTTTTGTTAATTCACCAGCAGTCTTACAATCTGTAATCAAACTTAACTCAGTGGAGGCAAGATACCCAGCAGTCTGAGCTCCGAAGACTAATTTCCATCGATTAAATCTGATTTGATTACCTTCTTGCGGTGAAATTCGGTATCTCAGCAAGGCAACCTCAGCTAATTGCTAGAAACAATTAATACCATTGCTGGGGTAAGGCAGCAATTCGGATCCCAAACCAAATCCATCGACTGCTTTCGCATTCAAAACCCAATTCGGTTCTGGGGAACGAAACGCTTTTAAGTGCCTACAAGTGAACTGAAAATTGGCCAAGTTGAAAATGCAATCGCATGCAAATCTCTGTGGGATGGGCGCAGCCACACCTGGTCCAAGGACCCGTGCTGGACTAGTTCCAACGACTCCAACCGACCTGTGGCAACATAAGCAAACACAGTGCAAATGGTCGTCAGTTAAGAGGCTATTAAAATGCAAAACTTTAGACGCAACCTCCCAGCTGGAAAGCTGCAAATCTTTGGCCGCTTTCCGGCCCACTGACTAACTAAGGCGATCACATCGGACCAACTGAGTGAGGACGGGCGCACTCCGAGTCCCAGATAAACTGCAAACAAATAGACAGAGAGAGAGTCCTTGTCGATTTCCAGAATTGCATTGCCCCCTTCACTCACTTCACATATCACAGGATGGGTTTTCAGCTGCCATCGCCCGTTAAACGCCTACCAATCTGGGCCCAAATCCTTCGGCCACATCCAATCCTGGATAGCAAACAGCTGCCATGTGTGTGCCATCAGTGGCTGACCTCCGGATGCGAAATCGTAAATGTTAATGGCTGCACGGATTTAATGTCCCAGGTCTTGCCTTGACTTTCGGTTATCCAAAGGGTTGGGATTGCATGGCTATACTCGACACTGAAAGAAGAGAACGGGTGTTAATCCTTAAGATAGATGATAACAGGAACCTAATTTATTCATCATTTTCTATTTCAGATAAGATAAAGTTGTTAAGTTTATTTCCATAATTAGAGTAAAATGTCGTGCTAGGTAGCAGTGACTTACTTCAATTTAGTTAACTAACTTTCCCTTTGTCTCTGGGAAACTTTTAATCTTGATAGAATGGGGAAAATCTTGATATGCAATCCTTTCCTTTCCTTTTTCAGTGTGCAGGCAAAGGAAGTGTTCGTTAATGCTCGCCTGGGAAAGTGGGACTTGGGGATTGGGGACTTTGAACCTGGTCCTGCTCCTGGTTCTGGCTTTGGGATTTGAAAGGGGAGCATCCAATGGCACTGCCTTTCGGCCACATTAAGCCTTTGTTTGGCTTCGAGACATCTGCAGCAGCTGCCTTAAAGCCACTCGTCCCCAGAGGGCCAGATAATCAAACTTGAATTAGGATCTATGCCCCAACGATTGCAGTTTATTTGTCTTTCTTAGGAGCACACGCCTGCCGGAGATTTAAGCCGAGATTTACAAGACATCCACTCGGATGTACCGTACACACTCGAACATATTCGTCATATTTCATGGCAGTCCGGCGGCGGTTGACACGATTGTTGCCATCACGTACAGCCAGGCTAGATAAATCTCTTGGCCCAGTCCCGGCTGCTTTCAGCACTCGACGCCATTGTCGCCACCTTTTGGCCAAATCCCCCCTATTAACCCCTCTCCTTTTTTTTACCCCACAGCACGTGCACGCTGTTAACCTCAAAAATGCGCTGCTAAAACATTTTTTAACGCTTGCTGGCCCTCCGACACCTCGAAATCCTCGTCTTATCCCTTCCCTTCCCCGTATGAAAGCCAGTCCAGACGGTCAGCTAGGTTGAATCCACAAAACATGACCGCAAGGACGCAGCCAGGCCACAACATCTAATCGAGCTGATGGCCAAGGACCCACCCGGGCTAAACTTGACCAAAAGCGTGGACAATCCTTTTCGGTCTGGCATACGTGAGTCCCGTACGTGAGTCGAATGACAAAGTGGTCGAGGCATATGCCTATACAGGGTGCCGTCTTTTGTATATCTTTTAATTCAATTTTATAATCAAATACGAAAGGGTTAAGGCGTTAATGAAGTTAATTTAAGATCGTTAAAGTTATATATTATTATTATTATGTAGAAAAGCTTAGTAAGAGGAGAGATATTCATAAATTTGTTCTTATTTTCTGAAAGACAATAGATTATTCTACTCAACTATGATGCGTGATATCTCTTACGAGTCCCAGTAGAATGGTCACCCTGTCGCCGGGATGTACGTGTGCGGTTTTGGTGACGAAAGGCGCGCGCTCGCTAGTTAAACTCCAAACACACTCGCCTTCAAATTAATGACCAACAATGGGAAATGACCGTGGGTCGGCAGACGGAACGCGACGCGTGCCAAAGTCACGTACCCAAAACGTAGGAACGCACAAACGGCGGGCGGGGGGCTTGCCATATTGGACAGCAGCCCGTGAGTATTCTGCAAATTTTCAACGTTTGCATGCAAAGTGCAGAAAAATTGAGAACGCTTTAAGGACCTTTAAGAAGGAGAAGGGCGCAAATTGTAGCAGCCAAAACGACACACAAAGCGCCAGTTTATCTCGAGAACATTTATTTACTTGGCCAGCCCGTAACCCAAACCGCTTTCCTCTATCTCTTAGCCTGGTTTTTGTCCTGGCCTGGCCTGGGCTGGCCTGTAGGTTAAAATATTTGCGCTGGTTAGGAAAGCAACGCCCGCATGGCTACTTTAGAGGCCACAAGCCAGGGTATGCCAGGGGGAAAATAGTTGGCAACTGAGATAAGAGTCAACAGAAAAAATAATAATATTCCTGCTGGCTGTTGGAGTTGCCAAACTTGAGCTCCTCTTACAACGACTGCGTTGGGCCAAAAGCAAAACTATTTCAATGCCCCAATGTGTCTGTGGCAGTGAAAGGAAGTGTGCGTCCAACTGATAATTAGAATATTTGCCAAAGATGCCAATTCCATTATAATTACTTAACAAAGAACTTATAGTTTCCTCACATTTTTCACTCGCTTTTTGCATTGGCTTGCTGCCAGCTAAAGCTGCTTCACTTGTTAAACATTTATGGAATTTAACTCGGCCATTATGTCGGCTGCGACTTTAAGCCCAGCGATACTTCATGGAGAGTGCAAATAACAGATGGCATTCGGCCTGCGGATATTTTGCGAATAACGCTTTAAATTAATTCAACGGGCTTGCTGGCATTAATATTGAATTTTGCTAGGCTCATTAAGCCGTCAATTATTTAAAAAAGAACCTTCCTTACCCTTCGGTTGGGAAAATAGTTAAGCGTTTAAGAGCATCGCAGCATCACTTTGGTTTACTGTGGGTTAAGTCTCATTCCCATTAAAATGTTCAATGTCAGTGAAAAGCAATTCCCATGCAGCAGCGAGTCCACTTCCTTGGCCCGGAATCCGAACGGAGGCTATTAATTTATACATTATTGGCCACCGCGAAAATCACTTAAACACGCTCGTTAAGAGTGCGAAGCCGATCGAATTGCCACAGAGAAATCTTGCAATGCAATGCATTATTTATCTGGGGGATATCATATATTATATATATGATAGAGATGCACTCCTACTGACCAATCGACCACCGCAGATAAGCTGCTTCTGGGCAGGATTGGGTTTCGCAGCTGGATAATTTCATCCATTCTCGGCGGCCACGACGGCCAAGATGGTCAAGATGGTCGAGATGGCCGGGGTCCAAGTAATGAGATTTGCTAGCTGATACTCCACATTTATTTATGGCCACTGGCCCGTGCGGTTTCACTTACCCAATCCGCCGAAGGGAGACCGAAGGACCACCGATAGCACGGACCATAAATCTGAAGTGTTATGAGAGCACTGAGTGGGAAAACTTTTATCAACGAAACACATTATTTTAGCACATTTCCGAACAGCTCAAATTCCCAATAGTACAAAGCAAAGGAAGCGCAAGTAAGTAATGGAAATCGGACAGAAGAAGGGTCCACTTTATGGAGATAAAGGGAGCCATAATTCCATTTCATCGATGCCGTCGTATTAATCATGCCAGTTTCATACCGATGTAACTATCATAAATAAGAACTATCAGGGAAAATTTCTACAAATTCCCTTCGAATGGCTAGCCAACTCAATTTCATGCCGAGTCCTTGGATCCTCCACGCTACATGCTGGATGCTGGTAAAGCCAGCATATTGCACTTGGCAATCGAACTGTTAGTGGAAATCAATCGACTCAAATCGCATTTGTTGCCGGGCTGAGGGGCTGCCGAGGAGGAGCTGCATTCGTTACCATAATAAAATTTGAGAACAAATCAAGCCAACAATTGGTAGCAATTCCCCTTCGATTGCGCCGCTGCCTTGACAATGGCAAATTTGCAGCCGATTGTTTAGGCCTGAGTTGCCAAGGGACCGAGGAAGGTTTAAGGATGATTTAAACATTAAATAATGCTGAGTATATAGATTAGGTAACCATGATTTATAGTTTAAATCTAAGAATTTATCCACTATCGCTGTAAAATCGTTGTTTATTCTTAAAAAAAAAACTGTATTTATAAATAAATTAAATTATTTCAATAATGATTTGCAGCTTAAAAGTCCTTTGATTTGAATAATAAAATTCTGAATAACCTTAATTAGTTTTATAATTTGTTGGCATAAAAACAATATCAATCTCCCTGCAGATAGCTTCTGTAACTCAGATTTAAATTTATATTTCCAAGTACTAACATTTGTTAGCCGCAGGAGGCATTTACACTAATTAATTTTCCCTTTTTCAGCAAAGTTGTGTCTTTTTTTTTTGGTTCTGTGGATCAATAATTCATTAAAAGTGATTTTATAATTGGATTTATTCAGAAAGCTTAATTACAGTGGTTAGTTTTAAAGCGATTGCCGAGGCCATCGTGGATAAATCGCCGCGGTGCATCTTATTTACTTTGCCTCATGCAAGCCGGCTGGCATCATCATTAGTGTCGGATGTGAATGTGGCAATGCAGAAAAAATAAACCAATCATTTGCATGCTTTTCGGCCTTTTGACTGGTGTTGATGGATCATTTGCGCACATCACAAATACACGGGCCTTGTTTGGAAACCAAATCACGACTCGGCCAACGACAGCGTTAATTAATTATTTCATTTCACCATGCAAATTGCTTAAGCGTTTTTTCCCTATTTATTTTTGCTTGGCTTTGCTGTTGTTTTTCTGGTTTAATCTACTGCATACGCTGGAATAAAAAAACCAAAAAAAAATAAAGAAAAACAGGGCTGACAGCGTAATGAATTCAATGACACGTAGTGCCCTGAACGCGTTCCTCGATTTTCGCAGGCGAAGGCAGAGCGAAAATTGTTTGCGCACGTAAGTATGCAACGATTTATTTCGCCCCTGCTCGTTGGCAAACAGAAGGGCGAGGGGTAGGAGGCTAGGGAAAGACTACTGGCAAGCTCAGGAGCAGATAGGCAAACGTCTTTTCACTTTGACCATGGCAGTGACAGTGAAAGCTGGCCCTGCTCGGGAAGAATGATCAACTAGTTGGTTACCCTGTAAAAGGTCCTGCAGGATCTGTTTTATTTTAAGTTCTACAAAAGAATATTTAAAAAATCTTTGACTTGAAGACTCTTCTACCAAAATCTATGGTGTAAGTTTTATGCAAGATTTCATCAGGCCAAACTTTGAGTAATTAAATCAAAAGGCTGAAATCCTGTTTTCGAACCCCCAATGAGTGGAAAAAGGATCAACTTTCTCCCTACTATCCTATTACACCTTAGCATTCTATATATATTCAGCTTGACCTAAGCCTCTTTAAGCCACCACACCACTCCACTCTAGACAGCCGAACCGCAGCAGGAGGAATAGGTAAACAGGAGTGTGTGAAGGAAAGAAAAACAACTTGTCGGCCTCATTCGCCTTGGTCCTGTCAGCATATCCTTGTACCGATGCCGAGTAATTCATTAACATTTAACTTGATTGACACACCAGTCGGGGGACGGGCCAGGCTCCCTGCTTCGAATTCGGGGATTTGAGTGTTTTTTGTTCCTGTGCGAGGCACGTACTTCGTGAAGGGGAAAGCGGAGATTGAGGGGAATGACACGCACACGATTTGTTTATACAGTTATAATGCATAATGGCATCGGATTTGGCCTGGCCAGGATAGGCACCACGCCCACACACAAACAGCAACACCAACACCCAGCAGTGAGGTTGTTACTTTGTTAATTTAATAAGAGCAAAGACGACAACAGGTGCTGCATCTCACTCCCTGGAACCCTGAATCCAGCCCCGAAATGAAGTCACGTCGCAGGCATAAATCAATTGCCATGAGCAGGCATTTGTGCCGCTCAAATTGCACGATTGCATAGGTAGGGAGTCCTGGATGGAAGGAAGCATGAAGGGTGCTCCGCCAGCTGGCAGCTCGCAAATTGAGCGCAGGCTATGAAAGTGTAACGAGTCTTAATTCGTTTGCCAAGTGCCGCCAAGCGGGCCACAAATCCTGATAACCATCCGATAAGCAACTCCCGTCGATGCCTAAAATACGTTCCCAGGACTGATGGCAAATCAAATACCCAGCTGGGACTTCTAAGTGGCAGTGGAGGTTTGTCTTTAATGGGAAAGTACTTAGGTACTCGATGGGAGGGCAAAGCTTTTCCTAACGTTTAATTTTAGAACTAATATTAATTACTTGGCCTTTGTCATTTTTAAATATATTTTCTCCCTACTTTAAGAACCTTGGTGAACCAAAATGAAAACTCCACGAACTAATTTGCTCTTTTTAAGATTCCCCTCATTAATAATGCAAAGTTGCTTCCGGGAAATAGTAGCTCAGCTCTCTTAATAAGCTTTGACAACTTTAGGTTTTCCTGGAATTGAAAACGCGTGGGCAGGAAGGAAAGTATCATGAAAAGCACTGAGGACAACAAAGTGAGCAGAGGCACACGAAGGACATCATGGATTGATTATCTCCAACACGAATCCTTCCTGCCTCGACACTTCCGCTGCAGTTACAAATTGATGGCAATTACAAATGGAGCGTGCTGAAAGGGAAAAGGACGCCCTGAAAACTTTTGATGTCCTGCCGGGCGCAGCAGGCGGTCCTCACACCGGCCATTTTTCAGTACCAGCCAGCCCCCCGAACAGGTGGACAGGTGTCAACGGTGAGTGCCCCTTGCGGAGCTGTTTCCTTTCACTTGTTGCTTTATTGGGTTTACATACAATAGCGGGGCACTCGAATACTCAACTGCGAGTGGACCGGTCACCACTGGAAAATGGTCAGCATGGCGCGGAGCAGCTCCGGGATGTCCCAGCCATTTTTCCGCAGGGTTCGCAAAGGCTTAGCCACGTCGCGCTTCTTCTGCAGGGTAATTTGGGGGGAGAGTAAAGAAACAAAGGCATGCCTTAAATACAATGTCACAAATATGACTATGAAATATCTCAAAAGAGTATCGAAAAAGGAATGAATACTCTAAGCTAATCATCTTATAGAAGTAGAATAAGTAACTTTACTCACAATGTTGGCCTTCAGAGTGGCCTGGAATTCTGGCGAAACCACCGCCTTTGTGAAGTTGCCGAAATTGGTGTGATTGACTCGGGACTCGGCCACATAATTGTGGATTTCTTGCTTCGGCATTATAGAAAGCAGATCGCCTACGAAAGTGTGGTGCTTCACCGCCTTGCAGTCGCAGTTTCTATCCGGTTGCCTAACTGGCAGGATGATGCAGTAGAAGATATCCGCCACGTTCTCAATATCCCCGGTGTCCACCTTCTCCGATTGGAGTTCTTTAAGAACTGTTTGGTAGGCATCAGTATCCGTCAGCTGCTGGGTAACCTTAGTAAAACCCGAGGTCTTATAGTAGCGCATGGCTCGCCGGAACTTTAGATCACAATTATAATGCACTTCGATCAGGTTCTGCAGGGTCTCCTGATTGATCAGATCGCGAATGTGTTGGAAATTGGCACACAGACTGGCATCGTGATCGGTTCTGTTGGGATTGTTATTACTATTGTTGTTATTGTTATCATCTGGTGGACACCATTCCTCCTCGGAATCCTCGTCGTCCTCGTAATATGGCTGGGCAATTGTGTGGCAGGCGAAGATCGCCAGAGCTGCGGTCAGCAGGGTCAAGGTCTTCAGGTCCATTATTATGATCTTCCAGCTGGCCGAGATTCGATTTCACTGTGGCTGCAATCAGCGGTTCAGCACCCGCTTTTATGGCCATCTCATCCCCGGCAGAATCAATTACATGCATTTCCTCTTTCCTCGGACACCTTGCTTATTACTTTCCAGATAGAGCAGTTTGTCCAGACAACTTTCCGCTTATCAGTTAATGAGAACAACCCATGGAAGCATTTCCCGGAATCAAAATTCCATGCAAAAAATTAAAAACACTGCTCATGATCGGACCCCTCAAGCGCCGAGATAAGATCGAACAGCAGAAGGTACTGGTGTTTTCTTCAAATTTAGCATTTGTTTTCCAACATGTTTTCATTTCAAGTCATTTGTTTTCTCGGTTCTTACAACCACAAGATGTTCCCAAGTCTAGAGTTGTTGCACTTGTTAGGGAAAACGTGAACGAAAACAGTTTTTGCGATTCATATACAAAATGGTCTTAAGTTTGAAGCTTTCAGTTCAAGCTATCAGCTTATGATATCAAAAGTAATTTTCTATCTAATATTCTCTTCCATATATTGCATATTTATTGTTTCCCCTTCAAAGACATTATTTTCTAACAGTGCCAATCTAATTGGTTGATATTAGGGCTCATAATTCCAGAAATTACCTTATAATCTCCATGTTGTGCGCTCCATTAATTGGTAATTATAGTAGAGACCCCCTCATCCACCCGAGCTACAAAAGCCTTATGACTTATGCACCTGATGCTGCTCATTTGTGTGCATATGATTATGGGGGAAAGGAAAGAGGGAACGTCGGGGGGTGACAGGGTAATCCACTCACTCATTAGATCCTTCTGACAAACGATGGGAAACATGGGTAGCAAGAAGAGCAGCAGGCGGGGCAGGGCCAACATCTATACAGAGGACAAACGGCAGACAGCAGAGTGCAAATCACTTTCAGTGGGAGATCAGGAGTCGGAGGACCAACTGTCCAAGGGGAAGTCATTGTATGGTTAGGGGTGAAGGCAGCTCCAAGGGCTTCAACTTGATTCATGGCCTTCTGTTTGGCCAACATTTCAAAAGGGCATTCAGACTCAGTCTCCGTCCAAGTTCTGGGCCAACATTTTACAGCACTTTTGAGGGGTTCGTTCAATGGGCCGAGTGAGTTTTTGCAAGCTCAGACGGTATTCAGAATAAAACGAATCCTTTGTAATAATATTAATAATCATGAGCATGGCTGCGCCCATTTATCTCTCCACGAATGTCATGAGTTTCTCGGCCCTCCAGATATCTCTTCCGCTTTCACGACAAACAAATTTAGCAAATATTTGCTACCATGCCGACCAATGGACCGGAAATAGTTTCATTCAGACGTTTTTTCACTTTGTTTTCATGTTTACGCCTTGTTTTTTCCTGATGCTCGACTCGACTCAATTGCAATTTTAGAAACATGAGGGAAATACAAATGGCAGACAATTTTCCCGAAAAAAGGAATGTTTCGATTTTCCTGCAGTTAAACTTCCTTCCACTTAAGCTTAATCGGCGATTTATTTCAGTGGATAAAATAGTAGAAAATTCGATTTGCCAGTCAGCTGCTTAAATGAGGCAAATAAACTGCATTCAGGGTGAAAAACTTTCTGTCAGAAGGTGGAGTTCAAAAATGCTTATAAACTTTTCGGGGCAGCAAAATGTGGCAGATGGCAGTTGGAAGTTGGCAGTTGGCAGTTTGCATATGAGCAGTTTTATCTCAACGATCTGGTCGCAATTTAATTGCGGTTTTGAGGTTGATTGCTGATGCTGAACGCTGTCATTTAATTAATTTTGGCGGCTAATAAATTGTCATTTGCCAAGGCAAACCGCAGTGCATTGTAGGCAAGGTTTTAGCCTGATTTCCAGGCAAAGGACATTTGCGAACCGCACATCTCAACGACGGAATTGCCACAAAGTTGCTCACATATGGCCAACCATTCTAAATTCTCATTTCCCCGATAATTTAGTCAATTAGAGCTGAACTTGAAGGCTTTGCGGCATTTACGAGAATCGCTTTATTATTGCACTTGAGAGTGCTCCAAATTCTGTTGTGGCGGGCGACACAAGCACATCCACGTTCCACACATCCACACTCCGAGTCCCACTCCAACTTCCACTGCCGCCACCACCACCCACATGCCGACAGCTAATTTAGTTAGCTGATAAAACTAAACTGAGCTGATCATCTCAGTACAAGGCGGATGAAGGGCTCTGGAGCGAAAGTTGAACAGCTAACTTACTTCGATAAACAGGCTTAATTAGCGACCAAAGCTGAAAGCCAACAGACTGCCAACTAAAGTTGGCACTAGGCGCATTATTTCCCATTTCCCAGGACCCAACTTACACACACACTAACACAAATACAGTTAAAGCCACTGGCAGCAGGACTAAAAACACAATCAAATACTAAACAGTGGTCGGAACTCAAATGGCCGGGGTAAGTTTTTCGTTTATTACTCATACGCAACGTTATCCATGATTTTGGTCTCTGTTACTAATCTTCTACTATAAGTAAAAATAAAGTGAAATAATTTATTCCGGTTTATTAAATTAGATTAAACAATTAGTAGCTTACCCCTTAGTTTGCCCCACTGTGGACATGCGGTGGCCGAGGAGCCTCGTCGACTGTCCGGCTTAATTATGTGCAAGCAACAATGATATTTATATTATCAGCCAGTCAATGTCAAACGTCAGCACCGCCCACTGACCAGCAGATGGAGTCCTTCGGCCCATTTTCCCTTCACCCCAACTGACCAGCACACAGGATTAACATTAAGTCCGAAGACAAAGACGCCGGCCAAGGTACCATCATATTGTTTGGGGGGGCTGCGGGGTCTTTGTGGGGCTTTAATAGCTTCGTCGTCCTGCAGGCCATAACCCGAAATTATACTCATGCACACATGGCTCCCCGGAGGCACAGTAAGGAGAGGCCAGATGAAATGGTGGCACCGAAAGTAAATGCAGATTCATGGCTGCCCAGTCAGCAGACAAATGATGTGCGGAGCGAAATCAGCCAGCTCGAAAATTTCAAGAGGCCCGGGCTCCCAGCGAATGTCCTTGGCCCCCAAAACTTAAAGCATTCATTTTTAATTCGTTTCGTTTTATTTCAGCCCCATACCTGTTGCGGGCAATCCCATTTTATTTTCGTCCTCAATTTTCTCTATTTTTTGTTGTATTTTTTTTTTGGATTTTATTGTCGCAAAGCACTCTCGAATCGCATCGAATTGGGGGGAGGAAAAACAAAAGCTTTGTCCGCCTATTGTTTGGCAGGTAAACAATTAAAAATGGCAAATGGCTCTGCGGGCGGGCGAGGAGAAAGGATCTGGGTGGTCGACTATCCAGGAGCCCGTGTCCCGAATATGACGGAGGACATTCGCATGGGCGAATAGAACAGCACCAACACAATACCAAAGTGTTGGCCTCGCACACAACAGCAGAAAATGGCTCACACTCGTGCGGCAGTGACATCTAACAATTTTTATGACAGCTCACCGAGTGGCAGGGAAATGATATGAGGGGAAATAGACAAAGAACGCACAAATTATCCCAATTATATTCGACAATCGGTTGATACTCTTCCACAAACAAATCTCTAATTGGGCAACAGCCAAACGGAAATCACTCGGCATTTAGAATTTATGCGAAAATGCAAGCAAATATGTGGAAAATTAAAGGTAATTCAATTAACAAGCCTTCAATTTTCGGGAATGCGTTCGGTCTCTAACATTTACGATGAATTCGATATAAATATCTGGCAATTTAAATTTAATTTCTACAATAAAAAGTTTATCAAAAATCAATGAAGCATGCCTAGAATTTCTAATGGAGGTCAAGCATTGATAATATCATGGTTTGCGCTCAGAAATTTGTATAGAAAATTCTTCGTTTTAAGCTACAAATTGTTTTTACAGCCGTGTAGAAATCTAGCATCAGATATTTTTTGTATATTTTGTACTTTCCCATTTTCCAACTGAAGCATTTTACTCAGTTTAATTGAAAGCCCCACAAAATTAGAATTTCTATACAGAAATTGAAGGTGAAAATTTCCATGAGCTAAATTTATATTTCCTCAGGTTTTCCATCGAAGCAAGCGAACAGGCTTGACTTGATATTCACAGAGCTATGCTAATGATTTCAGGGTATAGCCAAAGCATAGATACGAGAAAGGCGAAAAAGTATGGAAAAACAAAGCCAAGTTGGAGTTTGTCTAGACAAATTGTGTCCTTATGCCTTCCACCCACGCACCCAAAAGGGCCAGATGGGGAGCCTGAAGGTGGTTGGGGTTGCGTACATTTGTATGCGTGGCGTAGGTTTATCTCTTTAATGGCTGCCATATTTGTTCCCCCTCCACCAGCATCCATTTGAGGCAAGCTACCTGGAACTCCGAATCGGCAACATGAGTTGGCAACAACATCATCTGTGTGGGGCAAAAAGTAATTTGCAGGCAAATTATGATAAATAGACTTGTGACTAACCCGCGACCGCGGCACCCAACTCAATTTAAGCTGGCAAAATTCCCACAAACAGGAACTCAATTTGGTAAATTATCTTTCATTATTTTTTGGAAATCTTTGGAAGTCTAGATCCTGCAGCGAAATACTCTTCTTCGATTGCAGTTTAGGCCAATGCAGATGCTTGGAATATTTATGGCCATGCAATTGCACTTATTAAATTAAATGACATTCAAATGGTTTTCCAACGAGTATGTTTTCCCGAGCTTAAGCTTTCGGCCCATAAATAACTCGGGGGGAATTTGAAGTTCGAGAGTAGTTTTTTCGGGGTAATACGTTTGGAGACCCAAGACACTGGCCGGGCAGCTCAATTAAAATGACACTAAATTGCATTTGGATTGCCTTGTCGTGCCTCGGTCTAAGCCATGCCCCACTCCATCCTGAGGCCCCTAACTTTCCCTCCAAAGGAATTGCCTTTTTCCACAGACACCACTGGAAACAAATGTTGTTTTTAAGTTAGAATTCATTTAGCCTTAAGAAATTATTTTCTATTTTAAGGATCAGAGCTATGTAGTTACCTTTTCTAAACATATTACAAAACATAATCCACTTTCTTGGCCTATTTTTAAGCACAGAAGTAACCCAAATAAGTATATACTATATACCTTAAGATATTCAAATTGAAAGTATTAAAAAATCATTGTTTAAGGATATGGAGATTTGTGATTTTTGTTCAGTGAACTTGAGCCAAGGCAACAGCAGCTGTCTATGCATTCGGGATTTGAGCTTGGGACATAGACGAGGACACTCCACTCAAACGACTTGCCCGCAGCGCCATCATCTTCAGCCCCAGCAGAAGCTTCGCATCCTTCGTCCTCCTTTCTTCGCCTTCGTCCTGGCATCCTGCGTGTCTGTGCATTTGCCGCTGTGGTATTTTCCATGTCGCTGCATTGCTTTCAGCATCTGGCTGGCGACCAACTTTCAAGTCAGCCCGACATCTTGGCATTTAAGGAATTTCGAGGAATAAATTCGCCTTGTCTGTTTGCCTTTAACGCCGGCTGCAGTCCCAGCAATTGGCAAATGCTGATTTGCTGTTAACTTAATTAATTGACAACTCGATGCACACCCCTTTTTCTGGCTAGCGGCATACATTTTGGTTTCAATTCTTGGCGGAATTTAATACGCAATACGACACATACACTCGTTCATAGAAAGAAAACAAAACAAAACAAATTTCCCCGGAAAAGCACTTTGATTTCGAGTGCTGGAAATTCGATTTCAGGTTATCTTGATCCGCAATTGCTAACAAAATATGCGATAATGCGAATAATGTTGCGGGGAAAATCAATTTGTTGGGACTCTGCGACTGCGGCTGACTAAATTGTTTGTGCCAAATACACAGAGAATAATATCCTTACTATAATTATTGATTAAAAAGAAACAAACACTAACTTATTTGCTTACAATTTCAGTTTCTTTTGAATTGAATTTGCTTGTTTTTCGTGTGTAGCAGGACGAGTGCTTAAATGGCGCTCGCACATGATGTATTTGCTGTGCAGGTCAGTGGAAGTTCAGCGCTGAATCCCTAACAATGCCAACTAGTTGCCACTCGCACACAGATACTCACCCACACAGGCGCAGAGCGCCATAAAGTATGCATCAGAAGCGTGAACGTACTGAGGCATCAAGCCGAGGCGCTTGATAAATATTCAAAATTCGATGGCAACGGATATGCAGGATGCCGGGTGGTGGATGAGGGACGCAGGTCGGTGGGCGAAGGAACAAAGGGAAGCTCACACACACCTCACACACACACACAGCCACACGAACAACGCTCCTTCGTTTGCATACTTGATTTGTGTGTGTATGTGCCAGCAATTTATGTGGCATTGAGAACTTTAGTAGATTTGACATTCTAACGCTTGCCGACAAAATATATGTACATATGAATGCATGCACGTGGGTGTGTGGGTGTGTGTGTGTGTGGAGAGGGTCGTAAATATGCCAGCAGGACGTGTAATTCGATTTATATGCATGGACCATATAAAAATATGGCCCTGACGCCCTGCCGCCGCCGTTCGAAATCGGCAATTGACGCCTAACTAACTGCATATGTATGGGCGGAATTAAAAACAAACATAAATCTGCATACCTAAATGGGGATCAAATTGTCAACGGTGAGTAAGTCAAGGATTTGAAAATATGTCCATTGGATCGACAAAATAGATAGTTAAATGGGATATAAAGCCAGACATGCAGACATTATTCGAAAGAACTTTGAAAACTAAAATAATATAAATTGAAGTTAAAATAGTTGTTAAAAAGCAATATAAAGTCGTTTTAATTTAATGTTCACACATAGTTTGCAAATTAGTTTGATATGCAGGAAAGTACCTAATTGAATATCAAAGTGAAAATTACCAATTTGGAGATGAGAGAGAGAGAGAGCTGCAAACAAGACCACTTTCATATTCCATGAATGGTCAAAGAAGTGAGTAATATAATTTTAGCTGTTAGAGCTAGCAAGTATTCAGGTTGAAAGTTGAAGGGTGAAAAGCAGCAATCAAAGTCCGAGAATGCTAATGGATAATTGTGCACATGAACCTATTAGGCGGAACGACAGGCACCTGAGTGAAGTGAGCAATTTATTCGGACAACAGACTCTTTGGTTAACCCAACTGCACACAGACCAAAATTGTGTGGCCAAAGGCCTGGAGGCGGTCTTTGTATATAGATATACGTGTACGAGGTGTGTTCAAAAAGTAAGGTGACTCTTCAAATTTCGCGAATTTCAAATTTTTCGATTATCGATTTTTTTGTTTTGTTATATTGGTACACTCTTCCCTAACATCTGTACCAAGTTTCAATGGAACATCCTCTTTTGTTTGGTTGTGAGAGGCGTAAAGTTACAAGTTATTTTGCGAGCTCGGCGATTTTTTGCTATCGAAAAATATGGATCAAAGGATTTGGATTTTTTGGCCAAAAACAACACCACAATAATGCCTCAGCCACCATATTCACCGGATTTGGCCCCATGTGACTTTTTCTTGTTCCCAAAACTGAAGATAATCGAAAAATTTGAAAAATTTGAAATTTGAAAAGTCACCTTACTTTTTGAACACACCTCGTATAACTTCTAAAAGGTTTCGATAATCGAAAATTTTGAAATTCGCGAAATTTGAAGAGTCACCTTACTTTTTGAACACACCTCGTATATGTACATAAGTATGTATACATATATAGTAATCTGCTCCTTGTGTTGCTGTCTTACCTTGATTACATTGATGCATTTCTACATCATTAAACCGTCTAAACACCATTAGCAAGGAGCCAAGATGTTGAGGTATGTTGTGCGTGTATGGGTCAAGTCCACACACACACACTCACACTAACAAAAACATACAAGCTCTGCGTGTGTGAGCATTGCTTCCGGTTGAGTGCACCTACGCACAAACACAGCTACAGCAGAAGAGAGGAGTCCGTGTGGTGCGGAGCCAACTCATTTGCCATTCCCTAATGGTAAATCAATGGGCTGGCTGAACCACAACCTATAGCCAAGCTAGCTCTATTCCCCGATGGCCCAGGAAGTCCAGCTGGCTATATGGGAACCGTATCCTGGGCCCGACCGCCTGCTAAACGCGTTGATGACACTTGAATGAGTTTCGGTGTCTTTTGTCGCCGGTTTTTTGCCGGCATCTTACGCTAAATTGCACATATTATTTATACATAAGGATTCAACTGACCATAAGTTATGTATATTAGCTAATCGTTAAAGTTGCTTTCGGTGCTTTATGAACTCGCCAGCCTTGACTTCCCTCCTCTACTGTCCTTTCCTTTCACCAACTGACGACCACATTTACCCATTCGATTTAACCTTCCGATGTTCAATCAATTCCCAGTTTCCGGAGTTTGAGGCAACATCCAAGAATCTATTTTGGCTTTTACTTGGCCAGCTTGGGGCGTATATTGATTTTGAATCAATTAGACTGTCATATGTTTCTGATGTCGGCATTCAAAGATTTTATTTTAGAAAAGCAATTTCTTGCTAAATCACTTTAACTTTAGTTTTCCTCCTTACCATTTCCAGATTTTAAATCGTTTATAATAACTTTTTCTCTTAAATACTTAAGCTTAATATCTGAAAATCCTTTAAGAATAAGCAAAGCTTTCCAAATCAAACCTTTCATTAACGCTTTTGATGCAAAAACCTTTCCATATCCGAAACGCACGTTCATCCTAGACCCCCTGGAGGGCCGCACAAGGGTTAATAAAAATACCAGGTCACGCTTCTGGGGGCGAACTTAATGCTAAAGCATTAGGAGCCGGCTATGCCAATACAATTGTAACCCTTGGCATTGTTATGAGGGCATTAAATTCCAATTACACGTTAAGTTGCCGCGTTAATGGCCAAGTTAATGCACTTGCATTGCCGTTAGCCCGATGATTCGCAATGGGGGCGTGACGACTCCCAAAATGACAAAGCACCCAGAATACATTATTACATTTATATTTATTATATGCATGCAGTATAAAATGCTTTGTACATGAATTGGTGTTTGGGTTCCAATGTTTTGTGTATGAGTGTATTGTGAGTGTATTGTTCCCTGTGTTTGCTCGTGTGTTTGTGAGTTAATCTTATGGTTGGTAAGTCAAATGGGCTTAGAGCGAGAGAAGTATATAAAGTCATAATATGCACGCGGCAATTGCTGTTCACACTTAGGATCTAAAGTTAAGATTACAATGAAGCGGATATACCCAGCGCTTGTCAGTGGATCGGGTGGATCGCTTGGGCTGTGGATCTAGCCTAATCAGTGTATTAATACATAGCTTCAAGCCAAGTTTGCTTCTTGCTTTTGTGGTGGCTGCTTTTGGTCTTTGCATATCTAGAGTTGGGTTGGTTAATTGCTTAAACGATGCTGGTTGGCCCTTGAGGCCGTATTCGAACTGCAGTCTGGTTATGTTGACATCACATTGGTTCTTTCACAGAGATGGATCCTAGGGATCGTTTAGATCTTAGTAGCAGCACCAGCTGGGCCTCTCCACCTCGCCGAGGGCAATGTGCTCGATGCTCCACGGCGCCGTCTCCAGCCGACCCACCCCATTGGTCTTCACATCCTCGCCCTCCACCGCCAAGCCGATATCCACGTAGGGCAGTCGGAAGGCGGCGTTACCCGGGCTTCTGGCCAAGGCAGCCACTGTGTGACTGAAGGCAGTGTTGGTGTTAGTGTAGGCCAGCGAATCGCTGGACTCAAATGAACGCAGCGAGGGGCTCTTGCCCTCGTCTGCAAGGCGAACCAATCCCTGGGCAGTGGAGATGAACACCTGCTCCAGTCCCTGGTCCGTTTCCGTTGAGGTTTCAAAATAGGTGGCTCCTATAGAGGTGGCAAACACAAAAGCCTCCTCCCGGGAAACCGCTCGCTGCTGATGCATATCCATCTTATTCCCCACCAGCGTCAGTATCATCGGATCCTGAACATTTCGATGCAGCTCCTGAATCCACGATTTGATCTCCGTAAAGGTTTTATATTGCGTCAGATCGAAGACCAGAATGGCAGCGTTGGCATTCCTATAATACATCGGCGCCACCGCTCGATACCGTTCCTGGCCAGCTGTGTCCCAAATCTACGAAAAAGAAAGTGACCAGTGGTTAGAGTTCGCTTGCCACTTGAACTTTAATTGAGTCATTCAGCGCTTATTCTGCAATTGCGCTTTTTATGGGCGCGTTTTCCCACAGCAATAACAATCATATTGAATGTGGGATCCGTACTTCAGGTCTTTTCGAGGGGACTTCTCTTTATGCGCTTCATAAAAATTTTTGGGGCAACGACATGTTCATTGGCGAAACTAAATCGAAGCACACAAAACCTCACAAAAGAAACAAAGAGCCCCGCATGCGAAACTAACAAGCGGGATCCGAAAACTATATCCTATTATGTATTCATACTTATTGTGCTCAGACGACTGCTTCTGATGGTCTGGTGGAGCTCTCGCAACGGTATGGATAGAGGTCAGCTGGGGGAAAAACAAATCTGACCTGCTTCTTATATCATTTAGTATGCATTAAAGTAAACAAATTTTGAAATATAGCCTGATTAAAACGCTTTTCTAATTCGACGGCACATAGCTCTAGAACTTCGCGAATAACTGCCAGGAATCCTGCCATATCCATATAATTAAATACTAAATTTATAAATGGAAATCTTTAAGCTTCAAAGGACACTCAATGAAAACTACCAAATAGTTTGAAATTGCGACGGAACTATGAAAACCTGCTACCTATAGATGCCAATCTATATATAGTCTTGTCTTGTTAAAAAAGAACAAACAAAGGCACTGTAATATAAAAATATTAAAAAATGAAAATTCAGAAATATTTTAAAATAACATCTTTTGAAAGGGAAAAAAAAGTTCGGCGTTGGAAAGTACACGTCTAGCATTGTAGTGGCCATTGTTATATGGCTGCGCATAAAATCGAAATCACCGAAGAGTAAATATGGCAGCCAGGGCCAAGTGGGTGGTAACCCTTTGGCAATGTGGGAAGCTGCTGCCGCTCTCGTTTAGCTTATCAATAAACTATAAAAAAAAGAAAGTGAGCTAAAAAAAGCGAATAACACACAAAGTGCAGCGGACGCAGAAATTGCAAAATAAAAAAACAAATAAAGTGACCGAAACAGTGGGATGGAGCCAGAGTCGGAGGCGGAGGCGGACAAAAACAGGACCCATGGCGGAGCCAATAGCCAGTGGCAGAATAAACCCAGATTAGCGTTCCGGCAGCCAAGCCGGCAAATAGGATTAGTGGGCGTGGGGCAGTGGCAAATTCCTTTGGCTTTGCCTTTGGCTTCGGCTTTTTTACGAGGCAATTCCATTTGCGTTTGCCCCCAAAAGAGTTGGGTGCAGTGATACATATGCTGGCTAGTGGATACGCACTTGCAATTTAATTTTGACTTCGTCCAGGATGATGTTGCATGTGAAGAAGGACACAGCTATCGTTGGGACCTCGCTTTCGCTCCGGTGTAGGGTGTTCTTTATATACCTGATGACCAAGCGTGTTTTGCCCACACCTGAAAACAGAAATCAATCAGTTAACATATTTAATAGTGCAATTTTAAAACCAAACCTCACAAACATTTTTGTCTGTGCACCCGTTGGCCCTACTTTGGTTCAAATATAACACCTTCTAGCTTATCAGCTTGAATTCAGTGAACGCGAAATGGCGCACGCATTAATTGACCACAGATTAATCATCGCAAAATAAGTTAAATAAACAAAAATGGAGACGCACTAAAAGCCCACAGAAGGTGGTAAACATTGATAAGAAGCCGCGTACCAACCACAAGAGCCTTTGTCTTGATCGCACTCTTGCAGTTCAGAAAAACCCCTCTATGACTGGTCGGACGTTGAATCTGGTTCTATAGCTGCAGTACATGCACTGAGTCATCCGATGATTATGGGAAGAACATATATCTCGGGAAAAGTACCTCCATTTTTTTATCAATGCAAGTCTTTGTTTGACGAAAATCAAACAAAATATATTTAAATTGGCATACTTATAGCTGCGTTCATAGGTGTCTAGATAAAGTTTACTTGACCTTGAAGCCAACTTAAATATTTGTATTGCTAATTCAACCATTGATTACACTAACAAAAATTTCTGTCTATAGTTTTTCTTCGAGAATTATATAAATCAAAATTTCTGAAAGGTAATATTTATTGCGCAGCTACTAGAAATGCTGACCTTCGCTTTGAGCTCAAGGAGTTTTTGTTTTGCAGTATATAGTACTAATTTGTATTACAAATTGTTTCAGTAATATAAATCTTAATCTTCCATCATCTCTACCGAACGCGCATACGTAATAGCTAGCAGTATCTTTTAAAGCTGGAGATTTCGTCAGTCAATGAATTCAGGGGACAGATAAGACGAGTCCTAACCAGACACTGTGGCTTTTCAGGCTTTCTGCCGCGCCATCTCGGTTCCAGATTGCAGATTCCGGATTCCCAATTGTGGGAGTTCGGTTCAAGGCTGCGGCTTATCGGCTCAACCCGGGTGATGCTCTTATCAATGGACAATTTCAAGAATTGCTTGCATTATGCGGATCATCGAGTCTTGTGAATGGACCCAAAGGGGAATTAAAATGGGAAATGGGGCGTGTTGGCTTACCTCGCGAGCCTAGAACAACCACTTTGCCCTCAATTCCGCGCATATCGCCCAGATTAGCAGGTTAATCGCATCGCTTTCGTTGGGTTAAGTGACGTTTTCCGTAAAATAGATGGATGAGATGATGTGTTGTTGGCTCAGTTGTTTCTGATGTTGTTGTTATTGTGGTTGTTATTAAGGCCACTGGCTGAGAAACGAGTAATTGGACTTTTCACGGCCTGCAACGTATAGGCTCTTGATCACAACTGAATTTATCGCTTTCGGTGGGATTTTCGAAACGGGCGCTACTATTAAAGGTCTGCAGGCAGCAGTAAAGATAAAAGATTTAATAATTTTTAAAGGCTTGTTGTTATTGTGCGATGTTTAACGCAAACAGCTGATTACCAGGGCTACCACTTTTTCCGATAGTCGGTGGCACCGATAGTATGTCCATGAAAACGGAAACTATCGTGTAAGGCGAATGCTTTAGAAAGGGTTGTATCTCTTATTGCATCATCAACTTTTTATAATCTGTAAACGTTTACAATAATATGAATAAAGCATAAATAAAAAAGCAATCCATATTGTAAATTTTATTTCTTGTCGACATCACAAGGATTCGACTGTAAAATCACGACCGCGGTCACAGCTTTGTGACTGCCAGCCGATAGGAAGAGTATCGGCCATAACTAATGGCATTTCCCTGACGCGTTAGTACCACCGCCAAAATAAGGCAGATGTTCATGCAAAAGGCAATATTTTAACAACAGTGTTTTGTAACTAAATTAACTAATTAAAGGTGTTTTAAAAGCAAATGTTAAGATGAACTAACAACTAAAAGGTCGCGCGCACAACTGGACACTAAAAATAGGCTTGGAGCGTGCGACTCAACCGAAATAAATGCTCGAAAAATTTGGACTTATACGCGCGTTTTTCGCTTGGGCGGCTTAGATTTCCCCGACCTGGGAAAAGTGCCACATTTCCAAAAGGTAAATGCACTTTCATCAAGATTGATGCGGATAGATAAGAAAATCGACGGCGGTTGACCCGTGCGTACTTTCGTTTTCGTTTTGCCCGGCTCTCCCAGTGTTTAAAGAGCTCCAAAAACTGGAGCGAACCTGTACAAAATGCCGCGTGCCTAAAATAAGTAGCTGCTCTAACTACAACAAAAAATCTATTTTTATTTAAAGAATGGCCACCAGCAACTCTATTAGGAATAAAATAAACAACAGCTACGAATCAGAGCCATCTACAGGAAGCGGGGTAAGATTAATTGACAAAATGTAAAAGTAATAATAGCTGAAATGATGTATTTTATAGTCTTCGCTCAGTGAAAACAATGAGGGCCCCATATCTGACGAGGAGCACATGAATTTGCCGTATCTGATGAAACCGAAAGTACTGAGTAATGAACCGACTGGGGTAAACTTGACGCCACCTAGTCAAAAGCCAAGCAGCCAGGAATCCCAGTTTCGGGGCTTCGGAGATAGTCCATATGGCCAGGTGAACAAGCGTCTATATGGGTCTCAACTGCAAAACTTGAAGCTGCCCGAGGTTGAAACTCCTGCCGTCCGTCGCCCCTCGCCGGGCAAAATTGTCTTTCCCCGGTTCTACGACACCCTCATCGAGGAGAACAGCTGCAATGCAGTGGACATGGCTGTGTCGGTGGCTACTACTTCAACAACGACAACGGGCAGTCTATCCTTCGATGGTAAAATCAAAAGTCTGACTACGAAACCTGAGGATGAAGATAAACCAGGGCCCTCTACGGCAAATCCCCGACTGTCTACTGTACTGGAAACCTCGCTGAACACCTCCCAGCAAAAGTTCAACAACGAACGCTCGCCCGATCTCTTTGCCGACAGCGACGAGGATGGGGAAACCGATGAGCAGGTGGAAAAGGAGCAGCCCACGAGGCTAGAAGATCTACCAGAGGTGCTGGAGGAGTCGCAGTGCGCTAGCGATATTCGCGCTCGGTGCTCCCTGACTGCCCCCACCGAGTCCAGCTTTGTGGATGAGCAGACGATGGACCTGTCGGCTACCCAGCTTAACGCCAACGACCCTCGATCGCATTTCTTAGAGAACTGCCGGAGAGAGCGGGAACTCTATCGTCGGATAAGGCGTTGTCTGCAGGGAGTCCGTCCACCGCCCACGGTTACCACGCCCGATATGGATGTCATCAAAGTGGTGCTTAGCATGAAGGCGAACGTACTCAATTTTCTCTCTAAGGATACCCCAGCCCTAACGCCCACAATTGAAGACAGTGGCATTAGTGAAACGACCTCTCTGTTTCGGCCAACTCACAGTCTCTCGGAGGCTCAAAACATGGGATGGCGGGAAGTACTTGGAGTGAGACAGCATGGACTGAGGTAAGCACACCTATCCTTTGTTTAGTGCTTTTAATACTAATAATATTTGTTTATCTTTTTAGCTACAATCTAAACAAGGCTGCCGAACAAAATGAATACCTCAGCATGTCCGTGGTGGACCGATATGTAGGTGTGGAAACAGCCACATCATATGTTCGATCCCCCTCCAGTGCCAAGAAGAGGAACATGCGTATGAAGTGAGTAATTTAAAATATTCCCCTTGAAATGATTACTTATAAAACTCCACTCTCCACAGAATGTTAACCCAGTCGCCTGGCAACCGCCTAAGTCACTTGGCCAAGCGACGTGCCATATTTTCTTCTGCAAATCTGGCCACCAACTCACAGAAGCTCAACAACTCGATTGGACCACAAATAATGCTAGACAAAAAGTGGGTACCTTAATGCTAATATCAAACACAAATTAATTTTTAAAATTTTGATTTACAGGAAAGCGCGAAATAAAAGGAAGGCCACACCCAAACGAAAGACGCCGGGTAGCAAGAAAAAAGGTAAGTGGTATGATAAGATAAGCCAGTGGATTTCGATTTTTCATTATGGATTTCAAGCAGCCCGCAAGACGCCATCTTCCTCCGCCCGTAAGCGTCTCTTCCGCACCGATCTCATTAAACCAGGACCTTCGAGGGAAACCTCCAAGCGTGCCTTATTCCAAAGCCCAGCCAAGACGCTTCAGCAACACCAACTACTGCCACCCAAGCCGCTATTCAAGCCAGAGATTGCGAATCGCGTGGAGCGATCGAAGCGGGCTCTTTTTTCGCCGGACCACCAAGGCAGCAGTAATCAGCTAGAGTCGCTCCTAAAGCGGAAAAGGAACGCCTGCGATGACGAAGACTCCGCTGATCTGGCAAGCCAAAGCAACAAGCTGTTCCGGGCCGAGAGCAGTGGGCCCAGTGGGTTGACGCCTCGCGCTCTTAAGATAAAGAGTCAGAGTTTCTGTATTGGAGCTGGTTCCTCCACGGCGGGTGTTCAGATAAAGTTGGCGCAACAGATAGCTTCTCCCGCTTGTCAACCGCGACTTAGCCTTGGGCAGAGCAGCAGCAGTAGCAACCTGGTAAACTGTTCATCCTCCTTTGCGAGCGGTACGCCTTTGGCGAGTAAACTGCAGAGAGCGCACTCAGAAATGAGCGCCACTCCGAATAGCAGTATGACGGACAACCAGCGAAAGGTAAGACTAAACGTCATTTTGGTGGGATGCTTATATGTGTCGATATTTTTTTGTTCGCACCCTTAAGATTTGATCACCCCAAGAGTCATAACTTAATATTTTTATTACTTCAGAAACTGCTTTGGGCTGTGTCACAGGCACTGCAGGAGAAAAAAATTACCCCGAAGCACGAGCAATTTCGTCAACATGCGGCAGATCTTACGCGCATTGTGAAGCGCATTTTCCAGGAATTCTACCTGGGGCATTCATCGAGCAATAGTGAAACATTGCTAAGGTGAGTTTCGCTTTGGGATAATCCTGATATATGAATGTTATACATTCGAATACTACTTTTTTCACAGGCTGGCTAAGAAGTTTGCCTTCAGCGTGATTGCCGGTAAAAATGCGGATGACATTTACCTGCAGGCGCGGAGTCAAGAGAGCGAGGCCAAGCGATTGTCGAGCACCCGCCTTTCGGGTTACATTGGCCCCGAGGAGTTCGCCCAGCGTAAGCTAATTCTTTCGCAAGCATCTGGAGTTGGATCCGTACCCTGTTCGGGTCGGTCCTTGCACAATTTATTCGGCAGTGAGAACTCCATTGATTCATTTGGCCTAAGTCAAATGAGCTTGCCAACAAATACCTGCTCGGATACGCAATCGAGTATAGTGGACCGCATCTCGGAGGATCTGTTCTGCAAGGAACGGCAACCCATCCGTCCCAATCCTACGCTGCAGAACAGCTCGTCGAAGAGCAACCTGGGCGGACTGGCGCTACGCGAGAATATGGACTGCGAGACTCGTCGGTCGGCACAGAAGAACTTCACCGGCAAGAACCAGCAGAACATCAGTCCCTACTTTGGGGGTGGAGGAAGTAACGGCTCGGCCCGGAAGTTCCAATTGCCACCCGTGGGAAACAGCAACCAATCTGGAGGCAAGGCCAAGCGGCAGATTTCCTTTGACTGCTAAAGCAGTTGAGTTTAAAGGATACTTGTTTAAAGAAGTAACGCTTACAGTGGCAATCAATCAGCATGAAAGGAAAGGAAGATTTTAGAAGTGGCACAGGACCATCGAAATTGAAATCTATCTTAACGTCTTAGCCACGTAAGCAGATAATTTACCACGTTTTTTGTTTGAATTATTTTTTGGTTGTTTTAGCTTAATTTATTTAGCTGCCAGGTCTCTTTAAAAACAAGCATTTTACATATAATGGCAGACAACCGTATATTAGTTATATTTAAAATACATCTTGTATAGATCTTATAGATCGCCTTACCACAGACTCGCCCAAGACTTTCCCTTGAACTCAAATTTAGTTAAATTTCCAGTTTAATTTTTGTTTAAACAATGGCATATAGGATCTATATGGGATTTATTTTATGCGACTCAAGTTTGATGAATGCAATATTTTCCACTGAAGTTTAGATGTATTAAGAACAAATTGTGCTTAAAAATTACAAATTTTAACTAACTAAACCGCGTGTGTACTCAATGCAACTGAATTAAGCTGAAATCAAGTTCTGTAAGATTGTAAACTGAAATTAGTATAATAAAAGCGCCGCCAATCAGTAGTAACCGCTGCGATTAATGTATCTTCTCACTAGCCCAAAAGACACGAGGTGAAATATGACGGCCACCACCATCAAGCTGAAGCAATCCAGCCAGTAAGTGTAGTCAGCTGTGCGATAGGATCCCTGCTGCAGGACCTCCAAGCCGGTCTTGATGCACGGGTGATCCTCGTTGACGGGGCAGTCTACAGAGGGGAAGCGAACGCGTTAATCAAAATTTGTATTGATTTTCTGTGACTCACCGATGTTATCAATATCAATCCAAAATTTATACATCAGCGCCTCGTTGGAGTAGAAAAACAAGGACAGGTACTTCAAGCCTGGCACCGTATCCACGTTCATGTAGGTACCACCGAAAATCAGGAAGATTAGATCGAAGGGAGCTGCGCACTCGGAAGCCATCTTATCCGACTCGAAAAGACTGGACAGAAAGATTCCGTAGCCCACGGCAGCCACCGCTGATAAACTCATCAGGAAGCCCATACTCATGTACAGAAGGAAGCCACGCGTGTAGTAAATCGATGCGTATATCACCGACAGGAAGACATATCCCTTGAAGAAGGCCACTGGGACGAAGGAGAGCACCAGGGCCACATAATATGCAGACAAGCTGTAGGTTCCCTCTCCAACCTCCCTTCTGATGATGGGCAGGGCGGCGGGGAATATATAAGTCACTCCATAACTGAACGTGAAGATCATCTATAATAAGAAACTCTGCGTTTATCTTCTTCAACTTAGCACGAGTAACACACAAACCTCATTACTCAGCATGAAGATGGAGCCACCTACATCCTGCACTGTCCGCTGGGTAAGTCCTCCGATTCCGGAATACATTAGTGATAATGTTACAGCTGTTATCTATAGTTAGAGATTATTAAAGAGTCTTCTTAAGTGGCAAAACTATCTAACTTACCATGAAGAAGCCGAAAGCTATGAGGCCACTCTTGATATTTCGCACATCTTCAGTCATGAAGCGCACCATTAACAGGTATACCTGGTATACCCAGCGTATTTTCTTGCTGAAATAGAGTAGAGTTTACTATAATTTAAAGAGCTTCTTAAATAATTTTAGTTACAAGTTCTGCACATGTTTCAGGTAATCCCCGCTGTAGCTGCGGGCCAGCAGCCAGCTTCCGCTATAGAGTCCGTCCGTCTCGTGTTCGTACTTCGCCCGGACCACTTCCCCAGCGTTCTCCTTGCCTTCCTTATCTGCTAGGGTCTTTAGGTAAAAATCAGCGGGATTGCAATTCAAGGGAAGCTCATAACCCAGACTATAAAGTTAATCATTTATCAAACTGATCTTGAGAGGAAAGAAGCCCACTCACTCTGTAAAGAACTTAGCCGCCTGTTCAGTGCGTCCCTGATAGACTATCCTACCTCCATCCATCAGTATGATGTGGGTGAACAGCTCGAAGATGTCTGACGTGGGCTGGTGGATTGAGCAGATGGCCGCCTTCTTGTGGGTTCCGTTCGGGCTGTTGCTCAAGATTCTCAATGTCGGAAGCTCCCGCATCGCCTGTAATAGACTCTCGTGGGACTCGGCCACGACCTCCATTTCGATGGACTTACTTCCACTGCCACTGGCACTGCTCTCACCACTTGGCGTCTCGAAGGAATCGTCGCCATAGACTTGGTTCAAAGAGTGCTTTCCAATGCGTCGCCTCGTGCACAAATGCCTCAATGTCTTGATCACCGAGTAGGCACTGAAGCTGTCCAATCCCGTAGTGGGCTCATCGCAGAACAGAAATATGGGATCGGTAATCAGCTCCTCTGCCAAACTCAGCCGCTTCCTCTCTCCGCCAGACAGCTGCTGAATGCGAGTGTGAGCGGAATCCCGTAGGCCTACTGCCAGGAGGAGATCCGCCACCCTTTGTCGCTTCTCCGACTTTGTGGTGCGGCGGTGCATCTTGAAATGGGACTGGAAAGGACAGGGTGAGACAAAAAGAAAAATGACAAAGCTTTTTGGAAGAGGATAAATGGGTATCATATATAGGACCCACCATAAAATAGAGATGCTCGTAGGCCGTAAATGTTTTTACGTTGATCTCAAACTGCGGTAGAAAGCTGGAGATGCGCGTCATCTGATTCCGTTCCATGGCCATGCCGTTCAAAACCACATCCCCGGTCAGGTTACCGCGCAGCCGTTGCGAAATCGCCGCCAGCAACGTGGTCTTACCAGCGCCGGATCCGCCCAAGATAGCGATGAGGTCGCCGGTCTTCATGTGCCCGCTAGCTGCAACACCAAATCAATCCAAGCCAGACCGCAAGTCAGTCCAATTCCCATAGCCACATCCGGAGCATTGACTCACCGTCTTGAAGAATCCGTAGCTCACGCTTTTTGCGGCACTCGTTCCAGAAGCTATAGTTGCTCTGCTCCTGGGCAGGCACATAGTAGTTCAGCTGTTTCCACTCCAGGCACAGCGATGGACCCTGTCCCTGACCCGACGAACTGCCGGATTCCTGCATTTTAATCCAATCTTCGGGGGTTCAGTCACCTCTGATTCTGAATTCTGTAATTCTGGCTATTTGATCTTCCGACTTATCGCCTCCAGAGCAGGCTTATCTTATCTGAGGGTCCGCCGACTACAATGTATTTGCATATCTGCTCGGGATCTTTGGGGGGAAACCTAAAAACTGTCACGGGGAATGGAATCGCGGTCAGACACAGACGACTGTTCGCGTGGAAGACTGAGCGGCAACTGGGCAATGCCGATGCCGGCGACATGGTTTTCTACCCCCAACAGATTCATCACCCACCCATCCACCTCCAATCCCCCCGAGTAACATTAAACTTTTGACCGCATTTGGGTTTCCAGCTAATTGTCGCTTATCAATTCACATAGTCAAACGGCGGCAGTTCAGCGGTGTCGGCCAAAGAGAGGCGGTCGTTGAGGTGGTGCAGTCGGCTGTTGAGGTGGTTCGCCTCCGTCTTGTGGTCTACTCTTCGCCAACAGCGCCTTAAACGGCCGAAAACCATGCGGAGTATGGAAAAGATGTCCATCAAGCAGTTATAAATGAGCACATGGCCCATCTCCACCAGTCCCATCACGCTGACGCCGACGAACAGGGCCAGGACGCCTCCAAAGGATACTGGGGAAGGGTGAGATCATGGTAAGAAATGTGATCAATGAGTTTGTAGTAAATTCTAAACTCACCCACTAAATCCTCAAAACTGTAGACCACATCCCGTCGCATTCGAACCTTCGGGGGGATTAGATCCCAGCGGAAACTGGATGTGGCTGTCTCGCTGCTGGCCACCTCCTCGTTGTTCTTGACGCCCCACGAGCTCTTCTTCACCGTCTGCATGGTGTACTCAATCTCCGTGCAGGTGGAGGGGCACTTGCAGATGTGGAGTGCCCAGATGGGCCACTTGAAGTCCATCAGGCACTCGAACCCGGCGGGATTGCAACTGGGTCCCTCGACATACGGATAGAAGAACGGCACGCAGTTGCACATCTCCAGAGCCATCACGGCACGACATCGGGCCAGGCACAGGGATTTACTATAGATCTGTTTGTAGTATTCAAGGGAAGGTGTCATTAATAAAATATTCATTTAAAAATAGTACAAATCAAGAAAAGCAGATCAAACCTATTATTACAGACTTAATATAAAACATACAAATTAAAAGATTAGTGCTTATGGTTAGCATCAAAAGTTGTTATCATGGAAATACCAGCTCAAGTCTTTATCGTTATATGACAAATAATATAAATAATAATAACAATATTAAAGTACCAAGCACGTGCTTGGGTAGTAAGACATTGTTTTAAAAATTTGAAGTCAGGATGCAGGGGAGAATATTTGAGTTCCTTGCACTGATATCGCTTATCAGGTGCTGCTGCTCTATTTGACTTGAGAAATTTGTTTATTTGCCGACCCGAAACGCAGGGCATCGCTCCAATACCAGAGCATCGTCACCCAGATAAAGTGAATACCTTCAGGTTGGACGTCTCCTCGTTGTTGAACACACACTTGCGCTGCGCCACGCTCAGTTGGCGTAAATTTTTCGATGCCCTGGAGATGGAATAGCATATAAATCAATCTCTTTATGTCCCGGCATGGCTATAATCCGTAGGTCTGGTCTACTTACACCGTTTCGAGCACCTTGAACGAGGCCGTTATCTCGTCGGATTTGTGCAGGGCCACAATGTTCGCCTCTGTGGCCGAAACCTCAAATGGCGAGTGGACGTCTAGCTGCAAGGTTGATTTCATGTTTTACTTAAGGCTCTTCAATGGCTTCCATTGTGCATCACCCACCACGCCCGTACTTTCGTACAGATCCATCCGGATATAGCACTGTTGTTTGCCGTACTGGCAAGACAAGGGCTGCGGCATCAGCTCATAGGCAACGGGTCTGAAGATAAAGAGGATCCTAGCTTGAAGGATTACATCATACCCTTCAATACTTACTGGCCACTCAGCACCGTGGACATGGGTGAGTTGATGGCGTAGCAGGATCCTCGCTCAGTCATCACCCTCTGAACATGGACCTTAAAACCGGAGTCAAAGCTACTGATGACCTGCTCAAAGGGTCTGTCCACCCTCTGGATCATGTCATACAGATCAATCTGATCGAACCGCTCATCCTCAGAGAACTTGGCCAATTCCGCGTAGTTACCCGCCGTGGCATTCACCACGGCATAGAGAAAGTCCATAAAGTAGAAATAGTCCTCGTCGATAATGGACACATTCCACACCTCCTGTATATACTCGTTGGCCTTAAAGGAATCGATGTGGTCGTAGTAGCAGAGGGTAACTGCGGGCAGGGATCCATTCCAGCCACGATAGTCCCGATCCACGGATATCACGGTAGGTGAGCTGAAATAGCGTTCCAGCTGAAAGCGACTGAGCACCAGAGCGGCAATCACACTGCTTATAACGACAGCCAGCCAAAAGACCCGTTCCAATAGGTGAATACTCCGATTGACGCACAGACTCAGAGCCAGGAGGCCCGTTTCAGCTCCAGCCTGAGCAATCACATCCCATAACCTGTCATACACTCGAACGCCTCCAGCCAAGAGCACTCGAAGAAAGGCCAGCAAACCTCTAAGGATCCTGCCAGAGATTCCTTTTATCCAATGCCACACTCGTTCATTCGACATCTTTTACCAAGTGGAAATCAAAGGTAGTTTGTCAAGGCTTTTATTTAAATGTGGTGTTCGACGCCCATTAGTGATTTATTTTCATTATACAAAGAACAAAACCCGCAGGACCAGGATCAGATTTTTATTCAAATGTACACCCAGCTGGATCTATTGAGGGCAACACCCATTAGCGATTTATTGCCCAGTCCGATTTGTATGAGGAAAATGACAATGGCCATCAGAACGCCGATGAACTGGCGATGGACAAAGGCTAAACATAAATTGTTGCAACAAAAGGGTTAATGGAGTGTCTGCCACCACTTACCCCGCCCAAAGATAGGGTGTCCAATGTCACGATTCCACAGGCTTCCAGGGGTTGGTCGATACTCGTATGAAGTTCCAGCAAGAAACGATTAATGGTCCGCTCCAGGTGGGAGCTGCACACCTCAAGTTCATTGAGCTGCTGACAAATGTTGCATTTCTGGGGGATTATAGATGGTGTATATATCAAAATGAATCCCTTTCTAGATTACCTGTTCCAGAATCTGCTCGTTGACCGCCAGGATAAAACAGATGCGTCCGCCATGGAGGAGTAACCAAAGCAGGCGATATATCAGCAACATGTACTCATTCCACAAGGGATTATCGAAGAAGTTGAAAACCAAGTAGAGCTCCACACAAAAGCTGACCAAGGAATTGATGAAGTTTAACAGAAGGAAGATGCCAAACCTGGATAGCAACTTCTTATGGAGTTGCTCAATGAGATTGCAGGTTGATCGCATCTCTTCGACTAACAAAGTAGAACCCCCACCCACATTCACCAGCGCAGCAAAGGCGGACTCATACCGAGCATCCAGTTTATTTATGTCTCCCGGAGGCCTCTGCCGCAGCCTTAGCTCCTTAAGACTTATCCTCATCCGCTCAAGCAAGAGCCATTGAAAGTGCACAGGAAGTGCATACTGGAGAATCCCTAAGCTCATCATAAGGGCAGGCAGATTGTAGACACTGTTACTTATCCAAGTGGTCCAGAACTCAAAGTTAGAGTTGATCACGTCCACCAGAACACACAAGCCATGGAAACCCGTAACAACCACTATTAGGTGAAGAGTCCTCTGACCATGTTTCGTATAAACAACACGAATAGCTTTGCTTTCAAGTCCTCTGATCACGAGGTGAATCTGGGACTCCACGTCATGAGCAGAGGGATGATTTGAGATGGCATAGTAAACGAGGATGGCAATGGTCGACATGTTTCCCGGGAACTCCATCAAGTAGAGTAGTTTCTCGATGGTGGGCATCTCCACTTTGAACTCTATACACTTACAAATGCTTCCTGCCCAGACGTATAGAAGCAGAAAGAGGCACCACAAGGAATGAAGCCAGTGAAGGATTCCCTTTCTTCCACTAGGAGATACACCCAGGAATCGGTTGATGGACAGCAGAAGATTCTCCCAGCGCTGGCAACACGAACCGTCCATCCTGAGGTGCTGCCAATTAATGATAATAATTAATAATAATGGTTAAAGGGATTTACTTTTAATTGGTGTGATTAATGATAGGACTAAAGGTCTTGACAGGCTTAAATGGTTGTAAGAATTTGTAAATCATCAGTAGTCATAATGTGGAGGACAAAGCAGCAACCTATTAAACGACCCAAGCTTGGGACTTGGTTAAGAGAAAGGTATGAAGATATGAACAAGCCAAAGAAATCCTTTTATAAAATATATAAATAAAATATCCTCGCAGATCTTCTTACCATCAGCCATATGTAGAAAGACTCAAGCAGATTTATAAGACTCTTTATTGGTTACTACTGATATCAGTTTTGGCAAATACAGCACCAATAACTATTCTTCCAGGCCCCCCGAATAGATTCTACCGATTGCTGCACCTATGTTGGATGGCTTTGTGGTATGGATGCTTCGCCTTGGCTTCCTACTGGGAGTTCGTGCTCATCACCTTACAGAAGGTTTCCTTGGATCGCTATCTGAATGCCATTGAATCTGGAATCTATGTGATACACATTTTTGTGATAATGCTCCTTACTATTCAAAGTAGAAACTGGTTTCCAAAGATCATAATGGATATAGTAAGATCTGATGTGGAAATGTGTTATGCCGTGGATTGCAAGAGAACCAAAAGGTTTATCCGGTTGCAGATGTTCCTTGTCTGGGTTTTTACCTGTTCAGCTATTTCAATTGATGTATGGAGCCATAAATGTGTGATATATAGATCGATCCTAAGCATAAACAGCTTTATAATGCCCAATATCATAAGCAGCTTATCATTTATGCAGTACTACCTACTGCTCCAAGGAATCGCTTGGCGTCAGAGGAAGGTAACCGAGAACCTGGAGCGAGAGTTATTCCACTCGGCGAACCCTCGAAAAGCTAAAATCCAAAGATTTCGGCTGCATCATGCGGATCTCACCAGTTTCACAAAGTTGGTCAACCGCACTTTTCAGTACTCAATTGTTCTCCTTTTCGTGGGATGTTTCCTGAATTTTAACCTGGTCCTGTTTCTAGTATACCAGGGTATTGAAAATCCGGCGCTGAGCGACTTTGCCAATTGGCTCTATATGATCCTTTGGCTGGCCATGCACCTGGGAAAGGTGTGCAGCATCCTGTACTTTAATCAGAAGATTCAGAATGAGGTAGGACAACATAAAATTTAATTTTAAAACTTCCCTTAAATACATTTGTAGCAATCCAAGTGCTTAACCGTATTAAGTGGGTTGTCTTGTACTGGAAACGATCTTCAGGAGATCGTTAAACACTATATTCTTCAAATGAAGACGAGTGTAAGGCAGCATGTGGTAGGTGGAGTTATCGTATTGGACTTGAAGTATCTAACAGCGGTGAGCTTGCAAATAGTAGATTTATTTGTATTAACTTCTATTTTTATAGTTACTGGTGGCCTCTGCTGATTTTTTCATCTTCCTGCTGCAATACGATGTCACCTATGAGGCTTTGTCTAAATCGGTTCAGGGGAATATCACAAAAAACTAAGATGGTTCTATAATTAAACTGCATATTCTTTTTGGAGATACTTAATTTAAAGTTTTGTCAAATTTGTGGTGTTAAAATTTAAATATATACAAAAATAAAATAAATATAAACACTTACCTGCTCGAGGTCTTTGCTGCTAGCTAACATTTCAAATTGGCGCCATCTTCGTAATCGATACTAATCGATAATTGCCAGGGCCCAGGGCGAGCGTACAACCCTGTCTGCGAATGTGAAGTATCTTGTTTTTTTGCACGCCAAATAACTTTAATTTTGCTAACCATGTGCGACGTTGCAACAGTGCAGAAAATTGCCAATTGCTTGGGCGTGAATCCCGGCAAGGTGCAGCTCAACGAGGAACAGGTATAGATGATCCCATCCAAGTGTTTGACCCTCAAACCAAATGATTCTCACGGCCACATCAATTTATTTCCTATTGTGAAGGTCGTAACGCGCACGAGTGGCCAAAAGAAGAGTGTCGCTGGATTCGCCACAATCCTGGAGAGCCTGGCCAACGAATCCAAGTCGGAGACCGCACAAAACAGCAAGGCATCACGGGAGGTGGAGGCCCAGGTGTACCAGTGGATCGAGTTCTCCGTTCTCTACGTGGCGCCCGGTTCCAAGGACAAGTACGTGTCCAAGCAACTGCTCGCGGACTTCAATAAACTCTTCGCCAGCAAATCGTATCTCGTGGGTCACTTCATCACGCTGGCCGACCTGGCAGTGTACTATGCAATCTATGATCTTGTGGTGAGTGGCCTAAAAATTCCATATTTATATTACAGGTCAGCTAATCTTCTTTTGACTGCATTCATTTTAGAAATCCCTCTCCCCAGTGGATAAGGAAGCCTATTTGAATCTTTCCCGCTGGTTTGATCACCTCCAGAACCGTCCAGATGTTCACCAGGGCGAACCCCTGCTGAACTTTACCACCATCTACCTGCACGGCTGGGCCACAGGCACTCACATCTAATCCCCCGGAACATCTGCATCTATTCACATCCAGTCACAAATGAGACACTTAAGTTATTTATTTCTATTGCATTTCACAATGTAGTTTTGTGTGTGATTATCATTTAATGCCAATGAGAGAGTTCAGCGTTGGAATATGAAGAATCGTTATTGTAGCCCACATTACGAGTTGTTCTTTTGATAATTGGATCTCAGCCGTAGCTCCGAATCACGTGCCCTTGCGTTGCGTCGCCGGTGCAGCGTGGGCTGTGTAGCAGCGACTCCTGCTGCGCCAACATCAGTTCGCCTGGACCTCGCGCGGCGAATTGAGGGAATTGCCCATATCCGTGGGCTCTGTGCACTTCCAGAGGCCGTAGGTCTTGCCCACGGTGGTCTGCCACAGACGCAGAGTGCCATCCTCGGAGCCGCTGGCGTATAGCTCGCCATCTGGGCTGAACTTCACGCTGTGCACCGGTCCAAAGTGGCCTTTGAATGATTCTGTCGGAGAATAGTGAATTAGGTTTCACAGTTTCGTATATGTAAATCGATATTGCCACTTACCAATTTCGTTTCCTGTGATATAATCGAATTTGTACATCTTAAAGTCCTCGCCACCACAAACGAAGACATGTTTATCCGGATGCAAACTGGCCGACGACACGTTCGTCGGCACTTTCACCTCCTTCAGCTTCTTCAGCGTGTCGATTTCCCAGAAGCTAATCGAGGAGCCATGCGATATGGTCAGGATATGGTTGTCGCTTGAGATCTCCAAGCTGTTCGGATTGCTGTTGAACTGCAGGCGCTGCACCTCGATGCCCGTCATGCGATCCCACAGTCGCACTGTCTTGTCCTCAGCCGCCGAGATGATGCACTTATCCCCACGGCAGAAGAGCGCCCGCTTGATGGCCCCCGTGTGTCCGGCGTACTCCTCCGGCTGTGCCTCGGGCTGCTCCAGGTTGAAAACCCTCACCAGCTTCTCGTTGCTGCCAGTCACTATGTTCTCGGAATCCATGTCAAAGGCCACGCTCTTGACGATGTGCTTGTGCTGAAAGCTATGAATCTCGGCGCCGCTCACCGCATTCCACACCTTGCCGGTGAAGTCAGCCGCTCCCGAGGCAGCCAAAGTGGCATTTCGGTTCAGGGTGGCGTTCCATACGGCTCCCTTGTGACCCTCGAAGGTGCCCACCCAGTCGCCGGTGTCGCCATGCCGCAGCATCGGGCTGCCATCTGCAAGATTCAGATCACAATTCTCGGTCAGTTGCATTCGCTTTCGCCCGGCGAGCGTGCGTGCATAAATTAGCGAACGGAAGCCACCTTGACTCAATGCCGGTCGCCAAGGCCAACGGCCTGGCTGCCGCTCGCAATCATGCAAGCGAGCTCCCCAAGTTCACGTCACTTGCACTGCATCGATCGGCGGGATCGGGAGGCAGGGTGCTGCCATACCCAGGCAGGTTGATGCAGTGCAGGGACGTGGCTTGTTAGTTCGTTCAAAGCTACATTTCATTTCGAAATGTGAATGGTTATCATTTCGCGGTTGCGTTTTTAATGAATGATCCTCTAAGCACATGTACAGTGGCGAAAATTATAACCGTTTGAAGGACTACTAGTATTGAAAAATGACTAATCTTTGGGAATATGTATTGAAGAAAAAAAATAAAATGAAATAATTTGATTAATAAATAATTTCCTCAATCTAATTTATACAATTACTGTGGCCTTCCATTTGCTAATGATTCAGCATAATAAATACTGCATTTAATAATCGAATTTATATAATAAATACGGTTTTTGGTTCACAGAAGTATAGAACAATTAACTAAAAAAACGCGTTGATTTTCTGGAATAAATTACTATATAAGTCACCCCCAGGAAGTGTATCCACTGACCAGAATCTTCCAGATGACTCTTTTTTCCTGACAAACGAGCAGCTGCATATACACAGCATATAAATATAGAAGTTCTCAAGGTGCTTCCTGAACTGAACCGAAAGCAGAAACGAGCAGTTTCGAAAAGTTGCTAAACAAGGGGAAGCGAGTACGTTAAAAGGCGATAACGAAAACAACTTGAACTTGCAGTGGGAATACGCTCTTTCCGCATAAATGCAACATTTAGCGAAAGCAACGAATGCAAAGTGCTTGTAAAAAACGAGCAATAGCACTAGCAATTGCAATTGCAATCGCATCGACTAGCTGACACCTCAAGGCAAAGAACGCGGGTTTTGTAGCATGCGAGTGCGGGAAAAGGGTTCGCACTCGGAGCAAACAGGTTTCGCTCGCGATGAATGCCTTTGCATTTGGGTCAAGGTATCGCACGGGCTAGACAGTGCTACATCATGTTTGCCCGCCAGTAGTACATATGTTTCGCGAACTGATGTAGCATCTTTTCTAAGAAAACGATCATTTATCAAAGAAAGCCTGCCACTGTCAATATAGTTTATGATTTGTGTTGGGTCTCTAACTGGTATTAACCCTACCTATACATCATAAACAATATCAATGTCATGTCATGTCAACTATATCTAGATAGTTTCAAATATCATGTGCGTGTACTGGCCTGATCGGAAGGTAAGCTAGGAAGGTGCAACCTTCGTGCGAATATTTTTTATCCTGCAGACTATCTTCTACAATAACAAAAATTATTTGATGTTTCTCCGATATTAATATTCTATAAATTCTATTAATCTTAAGAAAATAGAAAAAAAATAATATGTTTAGCGAATGCAAGGACATAGACGCCCTTCTTATATTTAGTTCCTGAGTAATTCGACCTTCTAGCTCTACCGAAAGGTCCATATTTTTTTAGAAGTCTATGATATTTACATATGTCATACCAGATGACATTTTTTATGTGGTTTTCTCGAAAAGAAACCACTGTGCGACAACGGAATACAGTCTATATATAGTCCACAAGGACGCCTAATCGCATGCGATTTCGGCAGACGACTTTTACCTTTGCAGGCCGAGATGAGAAAGTAGCCGCTGTCGCAGATGTCACTGAAGTCCAGGTGGACCACGGGTCGTGTGTGTCCACTGCAGGTCAGCGGGATTTGTCGCAAGTTATTGGCAGCCATTGTTGTAGAATATCTTAATCCGTCTGTTAATGTCCACTCCTTCCTTCCTTCCTTAATACTTGTTGGTTTGTTCGAGGGTAGCGACCGTTATGTCGTGACCGTTATGTATGTGAGAATCTTGCAAAATTTGCACTTAATGGATAATCTGTCGCTTTTTGGGGGTTTACTTTGCACTTCGATCGGTTATTTCGCCTAATTAATAACTCTTCACAACAAATGATTTTCCCGTTCGTTGCTGAAATTCGTGATCCCGTTGATGCGCTCCTCCAACGCAAGCCGTTTGCTTTTGTTGCTTATTCGGTTTGGAAAAATCGTGCAGTGTATTTACAATTTATTGCGCTGAATTTTATAAACAAGAGGAAAAATAATTATGCGACACGTTGTTGTTGTGGATGGACGATTGGTAGCCGACTCCAGTCTCGATAGCATGTCCCCACACTACCTATCGATGGTGGTGGTCGCATGAAGCGATTACTGCTAGAGGTGGGCGATGCCAGCTAGAGCAGTGATTGGGTAACAAAGAAACCCGTGCTCGAAATCGGAATCAGGAAATTATTGTTCAATCTCAAACTTACAAATATATGATATTGTTAAAAAATTTAAATGTTTAATGTTTAAATGTATTTTTTTGCAATATTCACACCAACAAAAATCACTCCCTAATCACGAAACTATCGATACCTCGAGTCACGACATATCGCTGGGATATACCACCCCTATTTACTTGTCAAAATAGCCAATTTTCATTCGGGCCAGGAATCGACTGAAAATATGTCTGCTATTCTAAATCACGCAATTCGTCGCCAATTTGGCGCTACTGCCGCCCGGAATATGTCCGGAACCGCCGCCGTGGCCGGCGAGCACTCCGGTAAGTGTCCATTCGGAGTCCCAACGGTCAAATACGTCCGTCTTTGTAAGGTTAAGGTTATGTAATTTGACTGTTGGGCAAGATCGATTGGAAAAGGAGTCGTTCTTATAACACAATTCCATTATTATATGTTATCTTCCAGGTGGCTACAAGGTGTGGAAGCGCCTGTCTTTCTTCGTTGCCGTTCCCGCTGTGGGTCTTTGCATGTTGAACGCCTACTTGAAGCACCAAGAGGAGCACGATAAGCCCCGCCAGGAGTTCGTCAAGTACGACTACCTGCGCCGCCGCGAGAAGCGCTTCCCTTGGGGAGAGGGCCAGAAGAGCTTGTTCCACAACCCCCATGTCAACGCCCTGCCCGACGGTTACGAGCACTAGGTGGCCACCGATAATTCGCGGATGTATTCGTTGTTTGGTAGTGATAAACGTTAATGTAAACTGAACTTTAGGCGGAAATACACAGACCTACTGAAAACACCATTATTTAAACTCCAGTTGGCGCTTCAATAAAGATCAAATCAGAGCGAGAACATCCCTAAACGACTGCAGAGATGGTTGATAAATCTAAGGTTGGACTGCGCCAACTTAAGTATTGCCATTAGAACTTCCATTCCAAAAATGCTTACTGCCTTGGAATACATAAACAGTTTAATGTGTAAGCATATACATGGATACATTCTTTGATTCTGTTATTTAGAGTACCTATTTTGCGGATCTACGATTTTTAAGGGAGCGTTCTTGTTTGGGAGGGACCTTAACATCCTTCTTCACTGCTGCCTTTGGTATGTCCCTGCTACGAGTTTGACGCGAAGATTGCTGGGTGTCCTTTAATGCTATGACTTTTCGCTGCTTTGCAGGCGGCGGCGTAAATGAGTCGTCGCTATCATCTAGGTGATCCTCATCAAGAGTATCGTCTTCCAAGTACTCAGCCACGAATTCCTCTTGCTTAATGTCATCCAGCTCTTCTTCCTCCTCAATATGTTCTTCCTTTTCCTCACCTTCGATGTCGTTTTGGTATGGCTCCATATCAATCACATGCTCTTCCTCAATGTGATTCTGAAGGCAGTTTTGAGTCAAGAAGATGTGATCGCAAAACTCGCAGGCGTGACGCTCGCTCTCCTTGTGCTGTTCCATATGGGCTTCGACGCTATCGATATCGTCGATCTGCTCCCGGCACAGAGGGCACTTAAGAGTCGCTTCGGCATGGGTGGTCGAGTGGTCCAACAGACTGTTGTATGTGCTGAACGAAATCTTACACTCGCTGCACACGAACGAGGCGTCCGAAATCTGCGTGTGCATGCGAAGGTGCCGCGAGAGATGATGGGATAATAGGTACGACTTAGGGCAGTACTTGCAGGGATAGGCTCTTTTCCCGGCGTGGGCAACCAGATGGCGAGCCAGCTTGGATGCAGTGGAAAAGGTTCTCTCACAGTGCTGGCAGGGGAAGGGAAGATTGGTAGAGTGGACAACCTGAAAGAATAAAGTTAATAAGTTAGCAAACCAAGTTTTCTCTATATAGTTTATCCGCTTACCTCGTGGCGCTCCAATCCCTGTTTGAAGGCAAATGACTTGGGGCAGACGCTGCACTGGAATGGACGCTTTTTCATATGCCTCTCGGCGTGCTTCTCCATTTCCTGGCGCGAAAGAAAGGGTTTCTCGCAGTACACGCAGATGAACTTTGGGACATCCGTGTGGGTGCGTTCGTGGCGGTGGAGTAGTGCATTCCGGGTAAATGCCTTTCCGCAAACGGCGCACTTGAATGGGCGCTCGCCGGTGTGTACAAAATTGTGCTTGGCGAGGTCGTACTTTGAAAAGAAGCTCTTCTCGCAGTGGGGACACTGGAAACTACGCGAGCGGGCGTGATTCAGGCGATGGATTTCGAGCAACTGTTGCAGTGGGAAAGAGCGTTCGCAATCGGGACACGGAAATACGTCAGTGGCAACCTTCTCGGCATTCTTCGTCGGATCACTACTATCATCTAATGGCATTTCAGCATCCAACACCTCTGTCACGATAGCCACGTTTCCACTGTCATCACGCTTGACTTTGGGAGTCGCTAAACGCGGTTCCACCGGAGCAGAGGGTCCCTTATTAAGGATCCTAATCGACGACTTGTTTAACACCTTTGGTTTTGTGAGTGAAGGCTTGGGAGCAGATTCGACGAACTCCTTATCTAGTTCGTTGGCCATGTCTTCTAGCATGTTCTGGACATCGTCCATTGAGAGCTCCTGATTGTTCTCAACCTTCAACTCGTAGGCATGCGAACGGCGATGCACTGGAGAGGTAACTACTACGTTCTTCTGGGGCACCGAAGTGGTCTCCAACACTTGCACATTCTCGATGACCACCTTGTTCGACTTGGCCATGGTGTTAAGGAGCTTTTTGGGACTTTCTGTTGCATCGGGTGATGCTCGGGGTATGACCACCACCTTCTTGGGGGCCACCGTCATCATGGGAACTCTGGGCTTCTCCAGCGGAGAGGGCCAGTTCCCGGTTAAGGGGTATTGCCGAAGGAGGGTCTCAGCCCGCTTGCACATTTGCTTAAAGCGGTAGCAGTGCTCAAAAAGAAGTCGACATTCCAAGCAGATGAGTCCAGGCATTCCGTCACCGGCGTAGACCTATTGTATTAAAACAAATAGAGAGAAGAATTTTTACACTGCAATATACAACAAAACATACGGACGAAACCTTTATCATAAGAGCTAATAATAAAAATAGAAAATAATACTTGGGGGTGTCCCTCTTTCAACCAAAAGGGAAAAATACGATTGTTATTTCTATAAAATTGTTGTTAGTATTTCAATATCACTATATTAAGTTTCAACCTTTTCTAAATTTAAATAAAACGCAAGGGCCCGCCAAAAATCGTAATACCCCCTACAAAATAAAAACAAAAAACCATCTTAATCGATAGTTTAATCGCATCGCGAATAATATAGCTATCGACGTCTGACCACCTCTGCTTGGCGGCAAGTGCATACACACCACTACATAGTGCAATCGCAGTTTGTTTTCGCGGCGGCGAGCACGCTCAACCTCCGTTAATTGATTGATTGAGCGCTAAGCACGTCACGTCTGATCTGAGCCATAAAAGGACATTCGGTTGATTGTTTAAACTTGAATTGTAACCGACAAAAGCTGGACAAGAAAAACAGCTGTGCTGTGAAAAGTTTGGCCAACTCAGCTTGCTAAGAAGCAACAGAACAAGAACCGCACCAGAAAGGGCGCAACAACTAAAGGAGAGAAAGAACAAGAATAATCGAAGGAGGAGGAGGTAAGAGTCGAACAAAAGGCAAGAGAAAACACAAGGAGAAGCACAAACAATCAAAACAGAGTGCCGAAGAGGGACACAAAATGACGGACGAGTGCATAACCAGAATCAACGGAGTTTTCAACGGGAACGGAGCGGGAAATCGGAGCAGCATTATAGATGATAGTGTCGATGCCAAGGGCTGTACGCCGGAATCGGTTGTTGTTGGTGGTGCAACTGCAGCGAGGTAGGTCCATGTGCGCTCTCTCTCTCTCTTAGCTCTTTTTCTCCTTTCTCTCGTTATGTTTTGTGTTCATTGATACTTGATAAGAAGTATCATTGTATTTTTTATAAAACGATCGATTTTTGATAGAATTTCCCTTTTTAAGCGTTTTTTTTCTCCTAGAAGTCCTTTAAATATCATGGTTAATAACTGTTTCATTAATTATTTGTTGAATAATAAATAAATTAAAATAACTGCGTATATAAAGGCTGTATTTATGATCCACATTCGTTATCTTAAACTTTTGTTCTTATAATTAGGTTATTATCGAGAAGGTTTTAGTTAGTCGTAGGTCTTATCCTGTAACTTTTTTGCTTCCTGGATTAATCATTATTATAATTTGTCTTTTTTTGGAATGGATATTGTTTGTATAAAATATAATAAAATATTTTTACTTCATTAATGTTAGTACATCTTTGAATATAAAAGAAACTCAAACTATAGTGTTTATAGTGCAATTGTATAGTATTTTATATGGAGAACAAGTCAGTTCCAACTTGCGTTAATTGCAAACAAATTTAACAAAACAATTGACTCAGTCATGAAAGTTAAAGACCTATAATTCAGTACGATCAATTTGTCAGATATTTGAGTGCGAAATAAAAGGAGAAAGCCCATTCTTATCATAGTTTCAATGGCCTATTTAAGTCTAACGAAGTACTTTCTTGATAATTAAAAAATCCGTATCAGTAGCACCTTCTATCTTAGCCTTAGTCATGAATATCACTTATTTATAAATAAAAAGGATTACTATGTCTAACAATCGACTGACAATCAATCCGTGAAAGTGTTTTCTTATCTTGAGGATTTAATTTGATTATGAAAGTCATACGCAGTATGACTCCAAGGCATTGCGAAACGCCAACTAAACATATCTTTACCTAATCAAACGATAATTAATGATTGCTAGTTTTAGCCAAACCCCAAATCTAATCTTATCGAGCTTGCAAATATAGTAGAATTATTAAATAGCAGATCATTTGTTTGCAGCACCCCCCTGCTTTCGGCCAACAAATTTGTGGCCCGAATGCCTGTGGAGCGATATGCCAGCGAGTACAATATGAATCACAAGCACCGCGGGCTGGCCCTAATCTTCAACCACGAACACTTTGATATACCCTCTCTGAAGTCTCGCACTGGGACGAATGTGGACGCCCAAGAGCTAAAGAAGGCCTTTGATACTCTGGGTTTCGCAGTGTCAGTGTACAAGGACTGCAAGTTGAGGGACATCCTAAAGAATGTCGAGAAGGCGGCCGAGCAAGACCACACGGATAATGACTGCTTGGCTGTGGCGATCCTCTCCCACGGGGAACACGGATACCTATATGCCAAGGATACGCAGTACAAGCTGGATAACATCTGGCACTACTTCACTGCCTCCTTCTGCCCTTCGTTGGCGGGAAAGCCTAAGATGTTCTTCATCCAAGCTTGCCAGGGCGATCGTCTGGATGGAGGAATCACTTTGGAAAAGTGCGTCACCGAAACGGATGGAGAGTCCTCCATGAGTTACAAGATACCCATACACGCAGACTTTTTGTTTTCATACTCAACCATTCCGGGTAAGAACATTTAGCTACGATAAATATCAAAGTATTTTACGAACTTTCGTCCAATTTCAGGCTACTTCTCCTGGCGGAACGTAGACAAAGGCTCCTGGTACATGCAGTCGCTGATCCGAGAGCTGAACACTAATGGCAAAAAGTACGACATGCTCACCCTGCTCACATTCGTCAACCAGCGAGTAGCCCTAGACTTTGAGTCGAACGTGTCCGGCACCCCGATGATGGATCGCCAGAAACAAATTCCCTGCCTCACCTCCATGCTGACGCGCATACTGCGCTTTGGCGACAAACCGAGCGGCAATAAGGCCGGCTAGAAACAGCGTCATGATTTTTGAAAATAAGCTGACCAAACATCTACCGCAATCATTCACTTTGGATTCCATTTCACTTCAAGTCTAGTTTTAGGTGACGCGTGCCATTATCCCGAAGGATATGTTGCACCTCGACTCCCTTTCATTACCCTCGTCCCCACTCATTTCAGGCCTTATCTATGACGAAATTTGTTGTCCACTTAAGTCTATGATAGACTTATCCCTAAGCATAAGCAGCACTTGCCAATCAGCAAACCCACAAATTTGAGATAAGATAACACAATGATGAATTATACATATACACGAAGACTTTTATATTTGATACGCATAAGAATAAAAATGAATTGATTAAAAGTTTGTGTGTTTTAGGGGATAAATCAGATATAAATTAAAAAAAATATGTTTATTCGCTGAGATAGTGCAATTAAATGAACCTTAAGAGGAATTCGAATGAGGCTAGTATTGGAAGCATAAACATTTGAAACAAAATGATGAACATTTAAAGTTTATTCCTAATCAGAAACGTTGGGCAAGTCGAGTTTCCAACTTATTCTATTCGAATAAAGGCAAATCTGTTACAAAACCAGATTGGGAAGTACTTCTATTTCATAAGGTGGTTTGTAAGGTTTGCGTTTAAAATATATTCAAAATTCTTTAGAGAAATTTGATTTTTTTTTTTGGCGCCAAAAACAACTGACAGCTCTTACGGGCGATCAGCTGATGGCGCATATGTGTGCGTGTGCTGCAGTACAGTTGTCACAATTGATTAAAATGGGTTTTTTCACGCCGCCAAAAAAGGGAAACTCCAGTTGTTATTACTTTGTAAACAGGGCGTCCAGGATATGAACCCCTTTTCAAGGACTTTTTAGATGAGGAAAGACCAGGGAAAGGGCTACTGTGGGCCGTGCAAACTTAGCCAAGACGCCATTGCAGTCAATTCGGAAACCCACGAACAATTTCTTAGCCAAGTTATGCGTGGCGTTCAATAGTGCAAGTTAGAACCCCAGTGGTAGTGTTATTCCGCTTACCTCGATCGCCGTCATAGCCATGATCTGCAGCGGAAGATTGGCGGTGGTCTTTACTCGCGGGTTTTCCTCGAAAATCGAGGCCAACTTCTGCTCCGTCAGACAAAAGCGACAGACCTTCTTTTCGGTCAAGAGAGCCTCGCGAGCCTCTAGTTTCTCGGCCATCGCGACAATTTAAAACCAACTCGATTGCGGGCTAAAGTAAATAACGCGAAAACTCTTCTGTAAAATAAGGACAGATTGGAAAAGCAAGGAAAACAATCCGCTTGGCGTCTTTTAGAGATGCGAAATATAAAAGTATCAATATATCGATAATTTTTGAAAAATATTTATATCGTGATTTGGCGATGTCGATATTTTTCAGTAATATTTCAAACCCATTTCTCTCCACCGTTTTCGGAAAACAATTTTCCCGGCAGATGGCGTTATTTTTTTTAAGGCAAACTGTACTAAACTACCGGATCTGTTACTAGGGCAAATTAAAAAATATCGATATCCAAGTTCCATTCTGATAATTGAGGGCGTCTCGACTAAATGCTATACGATTTTCAAAGAATAAATAAACTTAAACTAACGAACATTTTCGAAATAGAAAAAATATAAGCTGTATTTATTTATCGTATTTCTAATCCTCAAACTAATCATCGGAGTCCCTCAGTCGAGCCTGCGTCTGTTCGCCAATATCGTAGATGACATTTTGTTGGAGCAGCTCGTGGGCCTCGTACTTGAGGGACTCCTCGTAGGCGTACTGGATGCTGGTGTCGTAGATCATCAACTTGCACTTAGCCAGCGCCAGGATGGAGTTTCTTAACCGGGCGATCACTTCCCGGTCAACTCGCGGTATATGCTCGTTCAAATTTTGAGCGAATCCTCCCTCGCCACCCTCCTGCTCTTGACCTTTGGTCGGTGATATCCAGATGTAGCCATTGTTACCCAGGATCACGGAGGCGCCGCAGGGCAGATTGTGAAAGTGCATCTTGCGCCGCTTGACGAGAGCGGGAAAAACCTTAACTAGGATGCCCTGCGACAGTTTTCCGTACTTCAAACTGCGTGTGTAGAGGGAAAGGGTTCCCTCCTCGAAGATGTTCTGCAAAACGTAGGATTTTAGCAAAGAAATCCCATCATTCGCTATCTAATACCGACCTGGACCTCCGCAGAGATGAGATCTCCTTCGTCCAGATAGCGCCGCATCATCTGTTCGTCTTCCGCGGATCTCCGCCTGAGTTCACCTCCCGGAAGATTCACCGAGGAGAGCAGAAGAACGGAGTCCAGCCTGGAGTTGGTGTCTACTCGCCAGCGCTTTTGCTGCACCTCACTGACGCGTGCCACCACCACGTCTCCGATTTCGCCCACATACCGACTCTTCAGGGGACGCACTGATATGAGCTTGTTTACCTTCTGAATCACTCCTGCTACAGAGGCTTTTATGTTTTCGTCCTCCACGAAGGTTCCGTGACCACGCATGAATCCCGCTTCCGGCATCAGCACTTCTCCGGGAGTGTAGACCCTGGGAAGGTTATCTGCGTGGGCAGCTAGGTCTCGCCAGTCCACCCGATCCAGGGCCAGTTCTATTGCTGCATTTGTGGACATCTCGGATTCCAATTCACGAGGTAAACAAAAAATTAAATTTGAGCGAGGTAAATGAAGAACAGCTGGCAAAACACGCGCGCCGTAGAACTGGTTCCGGACTTGGTGTCAGTGGTTCGATAGCTTCGCCGCATCTGCTGTGGTTATCTATTAAGGCAATTGGAATTCAAATTTGAGTACCAACCAAAATTTGTTTACTAAAAATTATACTTATATCCGAGTTTTGCGTTTTTTTAATTGTACTCGCGATATCTCTAATGTCTCAAAATAACTACATGTGTATGTGTGACTGTAGATTTCAGAGTTTAAAAAAACGAGAAAGGAATTACCAGTTACCAGTTATTTCCCTTTTTATTTGATAACGTTTTGTGGAGTAGTCTTAAGAGTTTCTTTGTATGTACATATAAGCATATATATGTAGATACTAGGAAAACTTCAGTACAGTAAACTCCAGTTAAGACATATTCGACATTCTATGATTTTTCCCATATAGTATATTTACAAATGTAAATGTATGACTTAATAGAAAACTTGATAACTTGAGCTTCACTTATTTTTATTCCTATTCATTTCGAGTTCCTCCGAGTGTGGAGTCGGTTCTCGAGCGACAACTTTCAAGTCTTTATAATAAAATGCCTCGCCTTTTCTTTTTTGCCTTGCTGGCTTTAACATCCCAGATCGAAGCATTTACCTTTTCACCTCATCCTAATCGAGTGATACATTTCCCGAATCATCTGAAAACCTACTTAAACCAAACGCGCAGTTCCTACTTTGGATACTCTCTCGTCATCCGTCCAACCAGGTGAGTTGCAAGCTTTTTACTTTGGGATCTTTGAGTAATTCTTCTGAGTAATTCCCACCAAAATTTAAGTTTTTCCTGAAAAAACTTTCTTATATTTCAATACAGCATTTTGGTGGGTGCTCCTCGGGCGCAATCTACCTTGGAAAAACAGAACAACATCGTCGAGAGTGGGGCGATATTCAGGTGCTCCGTGGAGGATGGAACCTGCTTTCCATATGTCCTGGACTCACATGGAAATCTTGACGCGCCCCCCGACTTAAACAATTTGAAATCGCAGGGCAAGGACTACCAGTGGCTGGGTGGATCAATGGACGGGGGAACTCAGGACACGGATAAGCTGCTCGTATGTGCGCCCCGATTCACAACTCCCCGATCCAACAGCAACGACAGCAAGGAGGGCTACCTGCACGGAATCTGCTACTGGGTCATGGACACCTTGGCGAACAACCCTCGTGCAAGTGACGTGTTCACCATCTGTCCACTTCGCTTAAAAAAAATGCAGATGATGAAAGGAGATCCTTACTTCTACATGGGGGAACTAGGCTTAAGTGCACATGTGCCAGATGATAATTCGCAGTTCGTGATTGGAGCGCCAGGTATTGATATTTGGAGGGGATCGGTGATCCTGTATCAGAGGAACAAAGTCCGGACCAATAGACGCCCAATGACAGACGTGGCAAAAAACATCTATAATCCGGAATTTGACTCAAATATCCTTCAACCCAGCTCATGGGGAGAGAAGATGTACTCTTACATTGGGTATGCCGTTAGCTCCGGATATTTTGACAGTGACAACCTGAGCAAGCTCCTCTACATGGCCACTGCTCCCCATGCTAACAACAATTTAGGCGAGGCCTATATCTTCGATGCCTTGAGCAAGAATGTCAGTAAGTTGCATGTCTTTCAGGGCGAACAGCTAGGAGACTTCTTCGGCTACTCTGTTCTGGCGGAGGATCTCAATGGGGATGGACTAACGGACGTTATCATCTCAGCACCCCTATACGCTGCAGGGGAATCCTATGACGTTGGCGCCCTTTATGTGTACATCAACAAGGGTTTCGTAAGCATTATGTTAGTGCAGATTAGTCAGACTTTCTTTCTAATTATAATTCTTATCTTTGTAGTTCAACTTTGAGCGGAAGATTGTTCGGTCTCCGGTCGACAGTCCGGGTCGGTTCGGAACGGCTCTCTCCCGACTTGGCGATATCAATCATGACGGTTACAATGGTGAGACCTTGAAATTATATAACTTAAGTGGTGTTATTTGCTTATGCGACTCCTCAACTGACAGACGTGGCCGTTGGAGCTCCCTTTCATGGAAACGGAGCGGTTTTCATATACCTGGGCAGCGAGGATGGATTGAGGGATCAGCCGTGTCAGCGACTGGATGCCCCTTCTGAGAAACCTTCCCAATGGGGTTCATACATGTTCGGGCACGGCCTCTCCCGTGGGTCGGACATAGACGGCAATGGAATCAACGACATGGTCATTGGAGCTCCCAATGCCGAGGCCTTGTATATATACCGTACCTATCCAGTGGTCAAAATATATGTCACAGCAAAGTCGGAATCGGAAGAAATCAAGCCTTATCAGGATAGCGTAAATATCACTGCCTGCTACCGAATAACTACCCCTTCCCAGGCGAATGATGTGCAGCAGCAACGGCTAAATATGCGGATTAACATTGATAAGCTTCTAAAGCGGGTGAAGTTCGCCCAGACGCAGACCAATGAGTTGATCTTTGAGGCGAACGCGGGTCCCTCCACTATGTGCCGTGACTTTGTGGTCCAGGTGGGCTATAAGGGCGAGATTCTAACAGATATTGATTTGGAGATCCATTACGAACTGTCGAGGAAGGTCCCATACTGGGAGGGTGAGGGTGACGGCTTAGAGTTAACAAGAACTTAGTTTCTAATGTGCTCTTCCCCAATAGAGTTCTGTGAAACCTGCGCAGTGGTCAATCCATCGGATCCGACGGTTTCCACGGGTAAGATCAGCTTCATTACGGGATGCGCCACCAATGTTTGTGTCACTGATTTGCAGTTGAGGAGTCAGCATGTAAGGTAAGCTGGGATCCAAAAGATTTTAGAAATGCTTTTTAACAGATTTCAACATTTACCCAGAACAACCTATACTTTGGGCACTACCAACACCCTCCGATTGAACTACGAGGTCACCAGCATTGGAGAGACCGCCTACCCGCCCCAATTCAACGTGACCAGTCTTCCTCGTCTGCCCTTTGCCCAGGTTCCTGGAAACTGCAGGATCAGGGAGGAAGCTATGGTGTGCGATCTGAACAGCGGACGACCGCTGGCCAAAGGTGACACCGACTCCCTCACCATAATTTTCGATGTGAGTCAACTTAGTGGGTACTCATTGATCATAGAGGCAGCTGTATTCAGCGCAGGAATCGATAGGAATCCCACCGACAACCGCTGGAGAGACGTTATCAGCCTGAAGGTGCTTGCTAAGGATGCCAGAGGGTAATATTCAGTGGGAAAGGATTACACATTGGTTAGATCTAATTTGGATTGATTGTTTTAGAGGTTCCACAGACGGTCGGATTGTCCTCGACAAATATTCCGCGGAAATCGTCAACAATTACGAGATCATGCTTGGGTCTTCTACATTCAAACCCCTCATTAATCCAACTAGCCTGCAGATGGGGGCCACTTATAGTTCCGATCTGTTGCCCGGCAAGCTTTACGACCAAAATAATGTGCCGGATAAGTCTATTAGCCCGAACATGGGTTTTAAAGTGGATATGATTGAAGATTTAAGTCCTTTTGAGTACTTGGTTCCGATTTTAACCGATCTGAAGCTTCTCATAGAGAATTGTTCCAATATCACTTTAATGGTAATTAATCAAAATATCAAACCAAATGTGATCTTCAAGATGCTGAAGGAGGAACTGCCCATCTTGTACATAATTTTGGCTGTGGCCGTCGGGTTGCTGATCCTCGCAGCAATAACTTATGCTCTGTTCAAGGTTAGTATTGCGATTGATAATAAGTTATTCTTCTACTTAGACGGTTTTTAATCCTTAGCTTGGCTTTTTTAAACGCTTGAAGAGGGATGAGCTGAATATTTTGAAAGCCAACCATGGCCCCCTACCAAATCGGGATGAAAACCACGAGGATCCAACTATGATCCAAGAATTATAAAAGCCTTGTCACAAACAAGATTTAACGCTTTTTTACTTATTCAAATCTAAACCAAGAATATATGAATAGTTTTAAATCTGAACATTAACCCTTTTATATATATTTAAATAAATTTAACCGACAATAAATCTTTTATAAAAGGAACGTTTGAAAACATGTAATATTCGCGCGCACTCATTCAAAATTGATAACAAAGTCTTAAGACTGGTCTTTGTTTGTTCGTATATGGTTATTCCAATATAGTTTGAATTTATTTCGAAATTTAGGATCATATCGTTTATATTATACATATATATGGTACACATCATATGTTCATATGTATATGTAAGACTCAATAGAAAACTTGATAACTTGAGCTTAAGCTTCACTTATTTTTATTTCTGATCATTTCGAGTTCCTCCGAGTGTGGAGTCGGTTCTCGAGCGACAACTTTCAAGTCTTTATAATAAAATGCCTCGCCTTATCTTCTTTGCCTTGCTGGCTTTAAAATACCAGAGCGAAGCATTTAACTTTTCACCTCATCCTAATCGAGTGATACATTTCCCAAATCATCTGAAAACCTACTTAAACCAAACGCGCAGTTCCTACTTTGGATACTCGCTCGTCATCCGTCCAACCAGGTGAGTTGCAAGCTTTTTACTTTGGATCTTTGAGTAATTCCCACCATTTCCGGAATTCGAAAAATTTAAGTTTTTGCTGATAAAACTTTATTATATTTCATTACAGCATTTTGGTGGGTGCTCCTCGAGCGCAATCTACCCTGGAAAAACAGAGCACCACCGTCGAGAGTGGGGCGATATTCAGGTGCTCCGTGGAGGATGGAACCTGTTTTCCATATGTCCTGGACTCACATGGAAATCTTGACGCGCCCCCCGACGATTACACGTTGAACTCGCAGCGTAAGGACTACCAGTGGCTGGGCGGATCAATGGACGGGGGAACTCAGGACACGGATAAGCTCCTCGTATGTGCGCCGCGTTTCACAACTCCCCATTCCAACAGCAACGACGGCGCGGAGGGCCACCTGCACGGAATCTGCTACTGGGTCATGGACACCTTGGCGATCAATCCTCGTGCAAGAGACGTGTTTACCATATGTCCACTTCTCTTAAAAAACATGCAGACAATAGATACAGAGCCTTACTTCTACATGGGGGAACTGGGCTTAAGTGCACATGTGCCGGATGATAATTCCCAGTTCGTAATTGGAGCCCCAGGTATCGATAATTGGAGGGGATCGGTGATCCTGTATCAGAGGCACAAAGTCCGGACCAATAGACGCCCAATGAGAGATGTGGCTAGAAACATCTATAATCCGGAATTTGACTCCAATATCCTTCACCCCAGCTCATGGGGAGAGGAGCTTTTCTCATACATTGGGTATTCCGTTAGCTCCGGATATTTTGACAGTGACAACCTGAGCAAGCTCCACTACGTGGCCACTGCTCCCCATGCTAACAACAATTTAGGCGAGGCCTATATCTTCGATGCCTTCAGCAAGAATGTCCGTAAGTTGCATGTCTTTCAGGGCGAACAGCTAGGAGACTACTTCGGCTACTCTGTTCTGACGGAGGATCTCAATGGAGACGGACTAACGGACGTTATCATCTCAGCACCCCTATACGCTGCAGGGGAATCCTATGACGTTGGCGCCCTTTATGTGTACATCAACAAGGGTTTCGTAAGCATTCTGTTACTGCAGATTAGTCAGACTTTCTTTCTAATTATAATTCTTATCTTTGTAGTTCAACTTTGAGCGGAAGATTGTTCGGTCTCCGGTCGACAGTCCGGGTCGGTTCGGAACGGCTCTCTCCCGACTTGGCGATATCAATCATGACGGTTACAATGGTGAGACCTTGAAATTTTACAACTTAAGTGGTGTTATTTGCTTATGCGACTTCTCAACTGACAGACGTGGCCGTTGGAGCTCCCTTTCATGGAAACGGAGCGGTTTTCATATACCTGGGCAGCGAGGATGGATTGAGGGATCAGCCGTGTCAGCGACTGGATGCCCCTTCTGAGAAACCTTCCCAATGGGGTTCATACATGTTCGGGCACGGCCTCTCCCGTGGGTCGGACATAGACGGCAATGGAATCAACGACATGGTCATTGGAGCTCCCAATGCCGAGGCCTTGTATATATACCGTACCTATCCAGTGGTCAAAATATATGTCACAGCAAAGTCGGAATCGGAAGAAATCAAGCCTTATCAGGATAGCGTAAATATCACTGCCTGCTACCGAATAACTACCCCTTCCCAGGCGAATGATGTGCAGCAGCAACGGCTAAATATGCGGATTAACATTGATAAGCTTCTAAAGCGGGTGAAGTTCGCCCAGACGCAGACCAATGAGTTGATCTTCGAGGCGAACGCGGGTCCCTCCACAATGTGCCGTGACTTTGTGGTCCAGGTGGGCTATAAGGGCGAGATTCTAACAGATATTGATTTGGAGATCCATTACGAACTGTCGAGGAAGGTCCCATACTGGGAGGGTGAGGGTGACGGCTTAGAGTTAACAAGAACTTAGTTTCTAATGTGCTCTTCCCCAATAGAGTTCTGTGAAACCTGCGCAGTGGTCAATCCATCGGATCCGACGGTTTCCACGGGTAAGATCAGCTTCATTACGGGATGCGCCACCAATGTTTGTGTCACTGATTTGCAGTTGAGGAGTCAGCATGTAAGGTAAGCTGGGATCCAAAAGATTTTAGAAATGCTTTTTAACAGATTTCAACATTTACCCAGAACAACCTATACTTTGGGCACTACCAACACCCTCCGATTGAACTACGAGGTCACCAGCATTGGAGAGACCGCCTACCCGCCCCAATTCAACGTGACCAGTCTTCCTCGTCTGCCCTTTGCCCAGGTTCCTGGAAACTGCAGGATCAGGGAGGAAGCTATGGTGTGCGATCTGAACAGCGGACGACCGCTGGCCAAAGGTGACACCGACTCCCTCACCATAATTTTCGATGTGAGTCAACTTAGTGGGTACTCATTGATCATAGAGGCAGCTGTATTCAGTGCAGGAATCGATAAGAATCTCACGGACAACAGTTGGAGAGACGTTATCAGCCTAGACGTGCTTGCCAAGGTCGATGCCGGAGGGTAAGATTCAGTGGATAACGATTACACATTAGTTAAATCTTTTTTGGATTACTTATTTTAGAGGTCCTTCAGACGGTCTAATTCTCCTCGACAAATATCCTTATTCCGCGGAAATCGTCAACAATTATGAGATCAAAAGCCATGGACCCAGTGTCATCCAAGATTTATCCGTGATCTTCTATATGCCCATCGCTTATAGAATGCCTGGGTCTTCTACATTCAAACCCCTCATTAATCTAACTAGCCTGCAGATAGAGGCCACCTATGGTTCCGATTTATTGCCCAGCAAGCTCTACGACCAAAATAATGTGCTGTTCAATGAGTTCCCCGTCGAGAAGTCCACTCCTAACGACCAGATGGCCTCAATCACATCCCGAAAGCGGAGGGATCTCGAGGATCCAGAGAGAATTGATGATAAAACCCGGCACCTCCTGTTGAAAGACGATCTGCCTATAAATCGCACTTTGGTATTCAACTGCCAGGATACCAAGGGAACAATATGTGTTCAAGCAGTGATCCGCCTCCGACTTGTGCCGGGTATACCTATTAGCCTGAACACAGGTTTTAATGTAGATCTGAATGAAGATTTGAGTCCTTTTGAGTACTTTGTCATTTTAACCGATCTGAAGCTTGTCATAGGGAACTATTCCGATATCACTTTAATGGTAATTAATCAAAATATCAAACCAAATGTGATCTTCAAGATGCTGAAGGAGGAACTGCCCATCTTGTACATAATTTTGGCTGTGGCCGTCGGGTTGCTGATGCTGGCAGCAATAACTTATGCTCTGTACAAGGTTAGTACCGCGATTGTTAAAATGTTTTTCTTCTACTTAGACGGTTTTAATCCTTAGCTTGGCTTTTTTAAACGCTTGAAGAGGGATGAGCTGAATAGTTTGAAAGGCAACGATGACCCGCTACTAGATCGGGATGAAAACAACGAGGATCCAACTATGAATCAAGAATTATCGTAAACAAGTTTCCAACGCTTTTTTAACAATTATTACTTTGTATATAATTAAATGTAATTAAATAAATCTTTAAATTAAAAATTTCAAATTGTGTAATATTTCCGCGCATTCATGACATCACCATTAATATCGATAGAAAGGTCAAACTGATTATCGGTATTTTAAACGATATATCGCGCTCCAGAATCCTCTACAACGGTTTTTATTAAATTTATAAAATTGTTAAATGAACCTACAAAACAATTTATAAATAATAAAAAATGACTTCATAATAAAATTATATATTAATATAAAGAAATATCACAAAATACATCTTAGGTAGTGTCCATTGTACTTCGCCGCGTCGCTATCTCATCAGCTGTTTTCTGTTGTGGGCAATTTTTGTTGCTGCTCCGTGAAAATTACGCATAAATGAAAAAGTGAATTGGCATCAGGAAAATGGACCAGCCCGATGATCATTTCCGCTACATACACAGCTCTTCGCTCCATGAACGTGTGCAAATTAAGGTGTAAGTGGACAATGTCACAAAACCTTGAAAATCTCATGTCTAAAATATATCTATTGTTCTTTTTCAGTGGAACGCTCGAGGGTAAGAAGCGCCAGCCTGACTATGAAAAACTTCTGGAGGACCCAATCCTAAGGTTCTCCGGCTTGTACTCCGAGGAGCATCCTTCGTTCCAGGTACGCCTAGAGGTGTACAACCAGGGCAGGCCTTATTGCCTTCCAGTGACCAGCTCCTACAAGGCTTTCGGCAAGAGGTGGAGTTGGAACGAGTGGGTTTCGTTGCCGCTGCAGTTCTCCGATCTCCCTAGAAGTGCTATGCTAGTGCTAACCATCCTGGACTGTTCGGGTGCTGGACAGACCACCGTCATTGGAGGCACATCCATTTCAGTGTTCGGCAAGGACGGTATGTTTCGACAAGGAATGTACGACCTTAGAGTTTGGCTGGGAGTCGAGGGAGATGGCAACTTTCCCAGTCGCACGCCCGGTAAAGGCAAAGAGTCCTCCAAGTCGCAGATGCAGCGTCTCGGGAAGTTGGCCAAAAAACATCGGAATGGACAAGTTCAGAAGGTGGATTGGCTCGACAGGCTCACGTTCCGGGAGATCGAGGTGATCAACGAACGCGAGAAGCGTATGTCCGACTATATGTTTCTCATGATCGAGTTTCCTGCAATCGTTGTGGACGACACGTTTAACGTAAGTCCTTGAAACACTGATCTTGTCCAGCTTTTATAAATATTTTTCGTTATAGTATGCAGTGGTTTACTTCGAGCCGGAGGGCGATGTCAAATATAAGCTTCCAGCCAAGCCAAAGTTGGTATCTGTGCCCGATTCGGAGATTCAAATGGTATTTAAGCCCAAAACTGTCATCGAATATGTTTAATTCATAATCATGTTGCAGGAAAACCTGGTGGAAAGAAAGCACCATCGCTTGGCCCGTTCGGAGCGTTCGGGTATATCCGATAGAGATGCCAAACCCACTGCCAGGTATGGCAAATGATTCAACGTTTCGATCCATATTAATATATCGTATCCCCGCAGCATTCGAGATCAACTTCACACCATTGTTTATAGATATCCTCCGACTTATGTGCTTAGCAGCGAGGAGCAAGATTTGGTTTGGAAATTCAGGTTTTACCTTTCCTCTCACAAAAAGGCCTTGACCAAGTTCCTGAAGTGCATCAATTGGAAATTGGAGGACGAGGTTACGCAAGCTCTTTGGATGCTGGCCAACTGGGCGCCCATGGATGTAGAAGATGCATTGGAGCTTCTGAGTCCCACCTTTACGCATCCTCAGGTGCGAAAGTATGCCGTCAGTCGATTGGCCCAAGCGCCAGACGAAGACTTGCTCTTGTATCTGCTTCAGCTGGTACAAGCTCTGAAGTACGAGGATCCCCGGCACATTGTTCACTTACATGGTTGCATCTTTCCTGAGCGTGATGTTGTGCGCTCTATCTTGGATGACAATGGCTCACTGCTGGATCAGAGCAGCCTATCCGATCTGAGTGCCACCAGCAGTGGACTCCATGCTTCGGTGATTCCAGCTAATCAGCGAGCGGCAAGTGTTTTAGCCGCCATCAAGGGCGATAAGTCCGTAAGTCCTGGATCAGCTGGTGGTAGCGGAGGTCAGGGATCGGTTGCGCTTCCAAATCCTTCTACTCCCGCCACTCCTGGTAGCAGTTCTCTTCCCTGTGACTCCAATTCCAATGCCCTCATGTTGGCAGAAGGCATAAGCTTTGGCAGTGTTCCAGCCAATCTCTGCACATTCCTTATCCAGCGCGCCTGCACGAATGCCACGCTGGCCAACTACTTCTATTGGTATTTGTCCATCGAAGTGGAAGAGGTGGAGTCGGTGAGGAAACAGGACGAAAGGGCGCACGACATGTACGCAATGGTACTCAAGATGTTCCTAAAGGTGCTGGAGAACGGTGGGTGCCATTTAATGCAACAAAAGTGCTTTGTCTATCCTAATGTCTCTTTCCAGGTAACTTTAATCTTCGAGGAATCTTTTATAACCTTAGAAAGCAGCGCCGCTTCATTGACGAGCTGGTCAAGTTGGTGAAACTGGTGGCCAAGGAGCCGGGAAATCGCAATAAGAAAACGGAGAAATTTCAGAAGCTGCTGGCCGAACAGGACATGTTCAAGGTGAACTTTACCAACTTCGAGCCAATTCCATTTCCTCTGGATCCAGAGATCTACATCACCAAGATTGTACCCATGCGCACTTCGCTCTTCAAGAGCGCCCTAATGCCAGCTAAGTAAATTTCGCAAAATCACGAACTAGTCGGAGAATCACTAAATGTTTTCCATTTTCAATACCTTAGACTCACCTTTGTCACTTCTATTGCCCAACACGAGTACGCTGCTATCTTCAAGCACGGTGATGATCTGCGCCAGGATCAGCTCATCTTGCAGATGATCACTTTGATGGACAAGTTACTAAGAAGAGAGAACCTCGATCTGAAGCTGACTCCCTACAAAGTGCTGGCCACGAGCTCGAAACATGGATTTCTGCAGTACGTCGACTCGTGCACAGTGGCAGAGGTTCTTGCTCGGGAGGGCAATATCCATAACTTCTTCCGGAAACATCATCCATGCGACAATGGCCCGTATGGCATTTCGGCTGAGGTCATGGATACCTACATTAAGAGCTGTGCGGGCTACTGTGTGATCACCTATTTGCTTGGTAAGACTAATGAAAAGTATCCTGATTGATTATCTAATCCATATATTCCTGTGCAGGCGTGGGTGACCGACATTTGGACAATCTGTTGCTAACCACCAACGGCAAGCTCTTCCACATTGACTTTGGCTACATTTTGGGTCGCGATCCGAAACCCATGCCGCCGCCCATGAAGCTGAGCAAGGAAATGGTGGAGGCAATGGGTGGTATAAGCTCAGAACACCACCATGAGTTCCGTAAGCAATGCTATACGGCCTATTTGCATTTGCGTCGGCATGCCAACGTAATGCTCAACTTGTTCTCCCTGATGGTGGATGCCACTGTTCCGGATATCGCCCTGGAGCCTGACAAGGCTGTCAAAAAGGTGGAGGAGAACCTGCAGCTTGGACTCACCGACGAGGAGGCCGTCCAGCATTTGCAGAGCCTACTGGATGTGTCCATAACGGCCGTAATGCCAGCTCTGGTGGAGCAGATCCATCGGTTCACACAGTACTGGCGAAAGTAAAGGGGAAATATCTACTCACTGATGGGTTGAAAAGCTTGGATAACGAATTGTAGGAGGAGAAAGTAATCAATGAACCATTTTTGGAATTTTCCCGAGCTTGAAGAAACGTAGTAGTAAACATCAAAAGTGTAATATAGATTAGATTTACTAAGAAACAACTTATATATTTCTTTCAGTATATATTATTTTAGGATTTTAATTATTAAAATGTTGTACTGATCACTTTAGGCTCCTACAATTCTATCACACATTCAATCGCACTCTTAAATCAAGAATAATCTTATTTGTAAGGTCGCTTTAGTCGTAGCTGTCCTGTAGCTTCAAGTCTGTAATCGAGATTTAAATGTAATCTGTTTTGTGTCGCAATTGTAATATAACCTACTATTCGAGAAAATATGCAGGCACGCTCAAAGAAGCCCGTTTGGTTCCTCTTTAAGGTGATGGAACTGCTGCTGAGCCTTGGGTGTTGCATTGTCCATTGGCACTGCACTAATGCACCGCACGTATTCCTCCTATGTGGGACCTATGGCGGATCTGTGATCATCTGTGTGGTTTCTGTGGTGGGAGTTTTTTATGCAGAGCGACCGACTATGAAGCATGAAGCTGCGTTTGGTGCCATCTTGGGAACCCTTCACATGCTTACAGTATACGCCCACATGTATATTGCTACATTGGATGAGTTCCGGAATGAGAATTGGCCCGATTTTTATGGATGCTGTAGGGACAACGCCATTATAGCTCTTTACGCCGGCGCCATTTACTTGCTGCACTGCACCTTCGCTCTGGATCTGATGCTCTCTCATAGACGAAGTAAGCTGCATCCTCGGAGGAGCAGGCGACCACTCCAGCTCTTCTTCATTAGTCGGGGGGCCGAGGCCTACTTCAGTCGATTTCGGTGGTTCCAGCGCATCTCCTCTAGAATGTTGACTAGCGAACAGGCATCGGAGAATACAACCCAAAGTCGTGAATTTTCATCGGAATCGGACTCTGAAGCCATGGAGGAATCAAGGCGAAAGTCGGAAATCAAGGAAAGGGAAAAAAGTGTTTAATTTCAAATTAAATTAGGAATTTTAACTTAAAACTTCTTTTTTTAACTTTATTTTCACCTGTCAAGCGATCTTCACTGTACTTTCGTATTGCCACATGCAACCCTGGTCGGAAACAGCTGTCTTTTGAAGTTCAGCCCCGTCTTTGGTGCCCGCGCACTTTGACAGCTGTTTGTTTACAGTTATTTTAGAATTTCAATTTTGTTTTAGGCGTCGCTTGTGATTATTTTAATTTATTTATATTATAAATTTGCTGTTATTGTGACAATTCTGTGAATATTCACGTTGAAGCTTACGGATAGTCCGACTTTAATGACGATGGCGAGCGGGGCGGTAAGTTCGTCCATTTCCCCATTGTTCGGATGCATTGCTGGAAATTTCTGTCTGCAAACTTTTCTGATTTTCATAGTTCGATGCGTGGTGGAAACTTCTGTGGCTGGCTCTTGTGCTGTAGGTCTGTGTGCCTGTGGTTTTAGTTAGTGGCAGGTATTCGAACCTAAAACTTTTGCTAAAAGTTAGCCGGGGCCACTAAAGTTGCCAGCAGACGCACCACAAAAAAAAAACAGAAGCACACTCGCAGCCACATGAATATAAACACTTAGTCCCAAGAGACCAACTAAGTTTGTCCCACCAAAACGGCATAGTACAGTGGTTTTCTTCTATCTAAAACTAGTACTTGAAACTTAAGGAAATCAAATTGAAAAACTGTTCACTGACTAATTTTTCTAAGTTTTTAAATTATAAACTTTGCAAACAAGAAGTACAGCTTCTTGCTTTTTAGGGTTACAGGGAACCAAAGGCTACGTACTTTATTTAATTTGATCGGCGTTTGTTCACTATAACATTATGATAATACAGTTCATGATAAAACTTACTTTACAGAACACATATTGTACCTATAACGACTTCTAGAATTCCAATTTTTAGGATATTGTAATTTTCTTAAAATTTAACCATTATCCTGATGGGTACGATGATTTGTATTCAGTTTCCGCTTTTCCAAGTTATTATTGTCAAGTAGATGTGGGCAAGTTGAATAATAGTAGTTGGTCGTTAATTTGTAAATCAGACGCCTAAGTAAAACGCTCTTATCGGAGCACTATATCCACATCCCGCTCTTCCCGAAGAGAACCCGTTGCAGCTGGGAGTGCGAGTGAGTGGGAGTGCGGGCTTGCGAGTGAGTGAGCTGGTGACTCACACCGCTGCTAACTGCACTCAACTTGGCCTTTGTTATTGTCTGTGGTTGTGGCTGCAAGCCACCGGGGACCCAGCCCAGCCCCAGTCCCCACTGCCTTCCGCCCCTCCACTCCCTTTGAGCCGCAATCCCCGCGGTCGTGGTCCTTCGAGCCAAATGCAGCACGTGTTCATTTTCGTGTGCAAAGTCACTTGGAATGCCAAGTTGAAGTTATGTGTGCGCCTTTTTTGCAGACTCTATAGACAGAGCTATAGACAGACACACACGGCTGTGTGGGTGTGGAAAAGCGTGTGCATCTGAAAGATACATTTTCTAGATCGCAGCATGTTTGGTTTAGTTGGCAGCTAAATTTCACTACGTGCAGTTTGCGGTGGGTGTTGGAGTCTAAGTTTCGGAATGCCAACTATGTTGCGCAATAACAACTTGGCCGGCTGCTGATAACTGGTGATAAAAGCCGAGTTCCGAGTCGATTGAGTGAATAAGATTAATCGCTGCGATGATGAGTAAATTATGAATGTGCATTATCATATAGTCGCAAAGATACTTATAGTTAGATAGCTGCGAAAGGCAAGCTAATGAGCTAATAAAACTAGAATAGATGACTCACAAAATTAAATTAGCGGACACGCAAGTAAGGCAAACAAACTTGGCAAGTATCTTAAAAGGTTAGATTATAAATTATAAACTGTAATAATAAACATGCGATTACTTAAACATTAGTAAAAATTCTTATACTATAGCTAAATGAAAGTAATTTAAACGAAAGTTCGACAGAATAACGGTGGTTCCCGAAGATGAGCTAGCACGTTCCATTAATTAGTAATCGCTTTGGGTCGTTCCCTCTCTTTCGCCTCGTCGTCTCCAGTTCTTGGAACCCTATGCTAGTTTGGTTATAATTTCACAATCAACCCATGGGTGCCACTGTAATTGAAGTCTTAACTTCGACTTCCTATGTGCAGTCGGTTTTAACTGGAACTCTTGGGTTGTCGAGTCGTTCTGTCTTCCCCATCGGGGGAACTTAACTCCCAAAACGAAGGTTTCCCAGCGTAGCACTAAACCCCGTAAGCCCCTTCTCCGTTTTTGGCCCAAAAACGCTGTGTACGTGCCTCTAGTTCAGCTCCATAGATCGTCCGGTGGTAATCAGTTTACGCTGACGTCGTTCACTTACTTACCACTTTCCCCTCTTAGTGCCCCTAAAACCCCTTCCCCCACGCCCCTGACCCTGCGGATACAGCAGGGGTCAATATACTAGAATATAGTCAATGAGTAAGTCCCCAATTTCTAATAGTTATAACCTCTGATATTTCACTCTTAACCATCTTACCTGTAACGACTATATAGGTATATACTCTATTTTGAAGTACTATATATTATATATGACTTTGATACTATAGTTTCGACCCCATCTGTAGATAAGTATGCACATTCATATTCAAATCCAAGTGCAAGTCGTGTAGCTACATGCGAAACTCTATGTAAACCGAAATGGTTTTCATTTATATTTTTTTCAATTCTATTTTGCTGCCGTTCGTTTTTCATGAACCGATACTAACACGAGTGCTACTATTTCAGTTGGTTACTAAACATTTAGTGCCTCCCCCTCCAGCCGCGTCCGTCTTAGAAAGAGTCGAGAGCAGCGGGCTGACTAAGCGAACGAGCAGCAAACGGCAGCGGATGAAATGTCGCGCTATATTAACCATATTGCTCAGTCCCAGAAAGGGGGGCTTTGGCAGTGGCTTTTGCATACTGTCCATGTCCCACTATTTGGCCCTCCCCCCCTTAATGCTCTGTCCCTGCCTCCTTCTTCTCCTCCCTCTTCCTTCTGTCCATGGATCCCCCTTTCGCCGCCCTCTTAGCCCGCATCTGTGGCCTGACAGTTGGCTGCAGTTGCTCCATTTGTTTGTTTGTGTTGGCCTGCCAGCCAGCGTCCAAGTACAGTGAAGCCTTGCAAATCTATTAAAGTTCCTCAAGTACTTAAAAGGCCTGTGTCCTTACTTTAATGATGAACCTTAAATGATTTTTATAAGGCAAAGGAAATGGTTTGTCAAAGAGCAACTTGTGGTCTTGCTAGTAGAGGTAATACTGTACAGTTTAGTTGTGTTTGAGTGTGGCGCTGTGTTTTCGCTATAGTTGTTGGTGTTGTTGTTGTCCACGACGTGATAAAAACTTTAAACATTGAATTGTGATACTTCGTCACTTGGTTGTAAATTGAAATAAGACTACCTTCCTCTCGTGCTCCCCCCAGTTTGCCCCTACTCTATCGCATTTCCCCACTCCGCGAACAGTTGAGCGAAATGCGAAGCTAAGGCAAAAACAAAATAGATGGGAAAACCCAAATAAAAAGAAAAATCTCTTGCAATTGTCAGCAAATTTTCTTCAAATGAGCGAGAACTTAGCAACAACAAGGCTCCCAAGGCAGGCAGGAAAAAATGAAGAAAAAAGAGTGGGAAAAATCGGGGAATACAAGGAGGACTGAGTGAGACATTTGTTTAGTTGGGTTTTTGGTTTTGTAAGTTTATGATTTAAATGCAAACAATTCCCACTCATCACTTTCTTACATGGGTGTGTGTGTGTGTGTACATGAATGTTTATGTGTGTGCATTCATTATTTATGTGAAGCTTTGCCCGATTCCATATATTCCACTCCTCGATCGCCCGATTCCACTTCCAATTTCAGTGCACTTTCTGACGCCTTCGGTCTGGCTTTCCTCTCCGTTTAAGTTTTTAGTTTTTCCGTTTTTCGGTTTCTGTGGTTTTAGTACTAACTATATCCCCCGCCTTCACTGTTTGTTGCTTTGTGCTCTGTGATTCGGCATTTGACTTGCGAATATGCACAAAATTTGTGCAAATTAAATAAATAATAAACGTGCCTGAACTTTTAATGGACTTTTGTTAAAGGCCCCTAAATAAGTTGAACAAAAGAAAGCCAAATGCGAATCACATTCGATCAATTCCACAAATAATTCACATTTTGTATGGTGAGTTTAACAAAGTTATGAGTAAAGGTGAATGGTTTTTGGTGGCCATTATATATTTAATATCAGAAAACAGTATTAATATGTACAGTTATATACTGGGCCACCCTCTTTCTAACATTTGTTTAACTACAAAAAGTGTTCATTCCTAAAATTAAGTTATAAAACATGGATTTGCTTATAAAGTCACTAATTAGGCGTAATAATATTCCACTTTGATCCAATAAAACTAAGTTTTTAAACATTAGTAAAAACTATTCCAGTAGTCCAATCACGAATGCCAAAATCTAAAGCCTGCAGAATGGACTTTTATGGTGGCTGGAATTACCGTTGGCCGAGTGCTAAGTTTATGGCTCTTGAGTCACAAGCGTAGTGTTAGCGCACTCTGCTTACCTTTGGCTCAATTATCTGATAAGGAATGCCGCGCAAAAGGGGGCGGGGCTGGCTATGGGCTACGGGCTGTTGTGAGCGATATCCGCGGTTTGTTGACCTCTTACTGCTGATAAAGATTTGTCCGCTTGTGTATCTTGTTGTGGCCTCTTCTAGGTTTTGCAAAAACTTAACTTGCACGAAGATCATGGCTAGAAAGCTGGGCCAGAAGCGAACGCTTTATGGCTAAGAAGCGGCTACTATGTGGTATGACTATATGGTAATTAGGGGCTAATAAGTAAAACCCGCACGTAGACCAAATAAAAATGGTAACAGAATCGAAAAAGCGTTCCACGGATTGGTGACAGTCAAGTCCGAGTCCGAGTTCGAGTCTTTCTCAGCCGCTTTTAGCGTTTCAAGGCCAGTGGATCTATCAGGTTAATTACCCGCCATTGTTAATCCTAGTACTCGGTACACCTCTATCTCGTTT